GTTTTAATCTAGATACATCTCCACCATGCCTTTTCTTTACTGTTGAGTTGTAGGATACTTGATGTGCATTTTTGAAGAAAAACTTGATGAAGCAACTCTGGAGAAAGTTCAAGATTTTGAATTTGCTGTAAGTTGAAATACAGTTGAGTATCTTGTAACTGGTATGCATTTGCATAAGAAAATATAGCTATCAAACTTAGTTCTCTGATGCAGAAGGAGAAACGAAAAGGTTCTTTTATCATACAGCAAAGACACGAGAGTTGGACAATTTACTGGGAGATATCTATCATAAAATACTAGGTATGCATATAATTTAACCATGACTAGTGTGTCGTGGCAGCCTAGTGAGAGCTAAGCCCAAAAACTTAAGTGAATAATTTTTAATAAATGAGACATTCAGAGTTTCATTCCGATCTAACTTTAAGTTTTCTTGTTCTACAAATGTTTTCATTAATAAAATTTATTGATACAGATATGGAGAGGGTGATTACTCGAGATTTGGTGTCACATATACTTCTATTTTCAGAACACCTACTTAAGGCTGTAAATTTTGCCGCTGAACTTGATTGGTGAGAGTCATTTTTAATATCAGTGCTCTGGCCCTGGCTCCCTTCCTTCCCTCATCTCATTCTTTGATAAGTCTCTATATATTTTCTTTCCTGTAATTATATTATTCTTACTAAGTAATATATATCTTCATGTGGACATTTAGCTTTTTGTCATTGGCACTGGTTTCTCGTCAAAACAATTATGTAAGGCCTACTTTGACTATGGATTGCTTGATTGATATACAAAATGGAAGGTGATAAACGTATGGTTTATTTGCATTAATTTATTGGCAATACTTCTAGAGGTTATTATTTACTTAGGGGTAGTAACAAGAGTTCTTTGAATTATCAGACATGTTTTGCAGGAAATGACTGTAGACACCTTTGTTCCCAATGATACAATGATTCAAAATGAGGGTAATGGAATTGTACATTTAATTGTGGAAATACTAAATTATAGTTGACTCAGTTCAGGAAAATGAAAAATCCCGTCTTTGCATACTGAATATAATTTCTAATGGTTCTTTCGTTTCAGGAAGAATTAATATAATCACTGGTCCTAACTATTCAGGGAAAAGCATCTACATAAAGCAGGTCAGTAATTGTTCTATTGGTTCTAGGGAAGGGAGGGTTATTGATGTTTGTATTGAACTTAAAGTTATTCTAAGGTCACCGTTTTGCTGATTTTGTTTGGTGTCTCTTTCACATAGCTGACCATTAATTATGCCTCTACTGTAGAAATTCATTGCAGATCTATACATATTGAAAAATTTGTTTTCCAGGTAGCTTTAATTGTTTTCCTGTCCCACATTGGAAGTTTTGTACCAGCAGATGCTGCAACTATTGGTTTGACGGATAGGTTTGATCTAAATATTACCAACATCTTTCTCACATTCAATGTTATGCTTGTATGAAATTGGTTGTAATTATAACGACCATAATTTTTATTAATGTTTACAGAATATTCTGCGCAATGGGAAGCAAGCTCATGAATGCCGAAAAGTCAACATTTATGATTGATCTGCATCAAGTAGGGATGATGCTAAGGTATATTCAAACTACACTCTTCAAATTCTCACTGTGCTAATTTTACCGATTTAGTTTTTAGCATTTATTTCTCTGGCAGCATGTCGTTTTTAACTCTTTTTATGTATGTGATAAGCCTAAATTTGCTTCTTTTTAGTACTTGAGGCATAATTCATAGTGCTCCGGAATAAGATTATCTTATTGGCATGTGTAAAAGCATTTCTTTAATGCACACTAAACGTTACTGCAAGAGAACATGGGAAAATCAATTGCTCTGTTTGAGAATACTACTTAGTTCGTAACTAATATGAATCATACGATTTCAGTAGATTGTATTAATAAGGACATGAGTTTATATTGTTCAATACCAAGTGACTCGGACATTTATTTAGCTATGATAACTAGTAATTATTAGTTGTCTACTTTCTGGTAATATCCAGTCTCTGAACCTGCTTAATGATTATATGGCTTCAAAGTATTTATTATTTCTCAGAACTAATGATGCTGCACCAATCACTGTATTAAAAATGTATATTCCATTTGACTTGTATGTGTTCATTTGAGAAAATTAACAGGCAGGCAACTTCAAGGTCTTTGTGCCTATTGGATGAATTTGGTAAAGGCACTCTTACAGAAGGTTAGTTTTTCATGCTTCCTCTCAAACAAAACAACAAAAAAAAATCTATAATATTGATATGAGTTTAGCACTTGCAGTATCACCTAAATGTTCTCGATATTCTTTCAGATGGCGTCGGTCTGCTTGGTGGAACCATAAACTACTTGGTCTCACATGACGACCCTCCAAAGGTTTCAGGCTCTCTTCACGCCATGAGAATTTCATTATCAGTACTATTTAGTTCTTCCAAATTAGTTTTTTCAACACATTTCTTACATTAAGTGGGCACCCGGTCCCTATGACAATTGAAGGTTATTTTCTATGTGTTTTGCAATATTCTTCTGTAGGTTCTGGTGTGCACTCATTTGACTGAGCTATTCAGTGAGAGTTGTTTACCTAAAGTAAGCAATCTTGTAGACTTGCTATACAAGTAATCCCTACTTCCATGCTTGAATTGTGTGAGACTGATGGGTATTATTCTTTTGTTCTTATTATAGTCCAAGAAGATCGAATTTTACACCATGAGTGTGCTGAGACCTGACAACTCTACAGATATCGAGGATATTGTATTTCTGTATAGGTAAACTTTCATTGCCTTTATACATTGGTCCTGCAAAGGAAATGTGCCACTCTGTCAGGAATGAATAAGATGCCATTCTATGGCAGGTTTATGCCTTATCTTTTAGCACATTTACTCTACATAACTGTGAACTTCCGTGTCCTCTGACCCCTAGGCATAGATCAAAATCTTGACAACTTGTTTCCTTGTGTGAGATAATGTGCATCAGTGGATGATTCTAGTTGCTTCAGTTACAGGCCCAATAGGCAATTATAATTTTTTGGTAAAAAAAGTTTAACCATGTCTTAGCCTCAAATAATCAGATATGGCTTTATGAAGTGTTACAGTCAGTAGCAACCTCTCTGTTTCCACCCACATGCATATGTTCAATTTTCTCACTGCTGTTGATGAAACTTTGATATTCAAATTTTACTTTTTATTTCTTGCAGGCTAGTTCCTGGGCATGCCCTTCTAAGCTATGGTGAGTGAATACATGCATACATATGGAAAGAGGGGGGATGGGGATGGGGATGGGGATGGGGATACTAAGGTTCTCACCGGTCAGCCTTTTTAATAAAGCACTTGCTTGATTCAATGGCTTAAAACATGATAAGTGCCTTATTAAATTACTAACTGGAAAATGTCTTAGCATTTGTATATAGGGAGATTCACTATTATACCCAATATAAGGACCCAAATTATAAAAATGCCCCATATGAATGGACTTTAGAAACACACCCAAAGCTCATTTACAACATAATAAAGAGGCTTTTAACTTCTTATAAATTACAAAACTGCCATCAATTTCTTAAAATAAGTTCAACCCCAAAATCTCATAAAAATACTCAAAACATTCAGTAGGGCATCAAAGTAATTTAATAATCAATATTAAATTCAATAAACTAGCTGTCATTTTTGGGGTTTTTTTTTGGGTTTGTTTATAGAAATTCAATGATGTAGGGTTTATTTATAATATTAGTGCTAAGAATGGGTATATCACTAAATATCTCTTGTATATATGTATATAAACGTATGTATATGCATCTATGTAAGTTTGGGATGCCTTGGAATCACAGTCTGTTTACATCCTGCAGGTCTGCATTGTGCGCTACTTGCTGGTACCTCTTTGGAGCTTAAAACTTATGTTCCTGATTTCCAGAATTGGGAGAAAAAGATTTTTTGAGTTCTTGTCGCAGACACAAGCATGCACACACACACAGAAATGTGCATGCACACACACATAGATGAATGAAATGAATCTTTGGGTTCACATACATGTATTTCCTTCCCTGGACTAAAATCTTAAGGAACTCTTGGTGGCAGCTTCAGTTTTCTAGTTGAACTGTTTGTATTGTTTACATAGGTGTCCCAGAGGAAGTTATTAAGAGAGCAGCATTTATATTGGAAGCTCTTGGAAAGAACGAACACGTTGAGCGATTGTGCAATGAGAATGTATCAGCTCAGGATCAGCAATACCAGGTTTCAATCCCAAAACGAAATCTCAGATTGAGATATGAAACATGACATTTATAGAGTAACAACTTCATAAGAAGCCAGAATTAAATTTTCCGTTCATATCCTTCAGCTATAATTGTAGAATTTTTCTTTAATTTGTTTCTTTTTTCTTAATTTAAATGCAGAATGTGGTGGACAAGATGTTGGCATTTGATTTCCACAAAGGTGATATAGGTCTGTTTTTTCAGGCCTTATTTTCAACTGAGTCCTAAACAAGCACTAAAGGTAACTTTTTTTAAGCCCCGTCTTGTAAGTAAGAATATGAATCTGAAATTAAGTACTTAAATTACAGTTGCTTCTAATCTTAGGAAACTTTATACTTTGCTTTGCAGAAAATTTCGCCAACATTGTGAATGCAGAAGGGTTGAAAGTTGCGTCTCAGGCCAGATACTTTCCCTTGTCCATTCAATAGAAAGGTTGATTAATTAAGATAGTTTTTTTTTTTTTTTTTTTTTTTTTTTTTTCAATCGTGTGAAGCACGATATATAATTGTTTCGTTTGTTTTGCACAATGTGGCACGTTAGAAGTGTATATAGCTGGGCGTACCCTCTTTTGTGGATGGTACATATACCACATCGTTCGTTCTTTGTTTTTGTTGCACATGCACGTAGCCTAAGTAACTTCCTAAGAACCGTATCTGTATTCTATAAGCAAACTAAAGTCACACGTTGAATTTTCTATTGCATCTGAAAATCGATTGGCCCATTGAGAAGGTAAGGTGGGCGGGGGTCTCTCATTAGGAGTCTGCTTCCTTGAGCTTTGATAGAGCAATTAACTCCTTCACATTCGTTGGGAATGTGTATTCTGAAGGACCACTGAAAAGTTTGTCCACCAAGTTACCATGAGGTGCCTCTGTAGGATGAAATCGGTCCCAGAAGAAATAGTCCCTTCTGTTGGAGCACAAAGATGAAACCGGCAGGCAAGCAGCGATGGTGTTAAGCTTCCCAATACCACAGCATGCAGCTTCGGTCTCTGTAAATCCTGGAATGGTTACGGAATTTGGAATTTCTCAGTCAAGTTCACCAAAAAAATTAGTTTATAGGAAATTGGCGTATAAGAATGCACACGCTTAGTATCTAGGGAAATTGGCGAATAATAATGCACGCGCTTATTTTTCAGTTTGATAACATAACATGTGGGTAAGATTAGTAGGGTAGGAAAATAAGATCAATACCCATATATGTGGGATCTATTTGTATTAGAAATAATATAATCAGTAAATGTGGATCTCACTGATATATATATATATATATATATATATATATATATATATATATAGAACCAATTTGTATTAAAGAAGTGATCAGTAATATAATAAATAAATATAGTACAAATAACATCACCCTTGACATTTGCACCAACCTGCATAAGTGGGTCTTACATCGATCGCACCTCATGTAAAAAGAATGAATTGGGTTGTAAAGCAATTTGTTGGATAATATTACACGTGCCATAGAAATATTTTTTAATTTTTTGAATGAGTACTGCTTATTGAGAATATCTTTTGTTTCAATAGTGCTTACGTATTGTTCATCTGAGGCATTGAAGATTCCAGCCCCCCCGGAGGCAAAGCTAACTCCGGTGACGAAGGACGGTTTTTGCTCGTTGGACTTGGATACAAGCGAGAGATAGGGTGGTGATGTTGGTAACCCAACTTTCTCGGCTGCCAAACGAAAAAGAGATACAAATACATTAACATATGATCTCTCACTTACAAGAAAGCCTATCCCCATCTCTCACTAATGTATTATACATAATAGGGTGGCTCTGAGGGTGTGCAAGTGGTACCATGCACAGGGCCCTTGATTTTTTAAGGCACCCGATTTTTTTGTGTGTGTATAATATATGTATATATTAGCAAATGTTATAGGGCCTCAACTTCTATTCAGGGCGTGACTTCAAAACTTGCTTGTGTAGATCATAGTTTTAGTTTTTTATTTTTTATTTTTTATTTTTTTAACAACAATTAATAATCATAATTAAAAAAAAAGGCAAACACGTTATTTTTTGTAAGTAATAATAATCTTTCTTTGGCTCTCCTTTTTAAGCCTTTGATAAATTTTTTTTTCAATTTCAAGGATTTCAACACAAAAAATCGACCAAAAAAATTCATAAATGTCACTCAAAAGAAAATAGTCATATTTAAATCTGAATTCAAATCAAGTATGTATCTAAATTTTAATTTATATATACTAAATGACTTACTTCATTATCATGTTGATTGGTTATATAATGAAAGATGATTTAATTTGTAATTTGTATGCTAATTGATGATGATTTTTACTTTAAGAAAATCTTGAGGCAATCTTGAGGATTTTTGCACAGTGCACCCAAGTTCGATTCACGTAAACGACAATCTTGAGGCAACCCAATATAATACTCCCTCATTTCCCTCCCTATTGAATGACAAAAATAAAATAAAAAAGATCAAATTGCAAAAAGTAGCATAAAAATTATAGTTGAAAATGTATATGACTAGTAAAATTTCTTTAAAGAACATAGTCATATGCAAATGCGACCTAGCTAGCAGCAAAACCACCATAATGACAATAAGGGTCAAATTAAAATTTTGGTTTGTTTTTTTGAAACTGGTTGTTTTCGTTGAAAGATGAAAATTGCTCTACTATTTGTCCATCACATATGTTGCAACTACTGTTTAAAGCAGCTTGTCCGATGTCAACACCAACATTCAATATCCCAGCTACTTTCACAACCACATATTGAAATAATAAATACCCCATCACAACGAATTAGTCAGTAATTATGTAGGCAAAGGTCATGCTCCCTATTCTTTAGTTAAAATTTACTTTAAAACACACAAAAGTTATTTTAGGAACTCTATAAAATTTGAACTCCAATCATACTCCCTAAGTTAGAAAGTCAGAAATACTATAGTTATTTTTATTCAATATGATTGGTTATCATCTCGATGAAAAAAAAATAGTTTGTATTAATTAAAAGTTTAAACAATGCATAAAACGAAACAACATTAAATTATAAGGAGCCACTAGGAATCATTTTTTTCTCCTCAATTTTAGGAGTTCCTAGAGGTCTCTTTATTTAAGGAGGTGAATAGAGAGCATGGTTGGAGTTGTATTTTTCCAATTCCTCCATAAAATTTGTCTAAAGAGGTGGTTTAGGGACCCCATTGTGAATGCTTTAAGTGTGAGTAATTATATTGTACATAGTATGAGAGCATGTCACGTGGTATAACTCGTTGTTAGAATATAAGTGGATATTTATTGATATTATATCATAAAAGTGGGAATATTAACCATATTGCTCATCCATATTATAACATGTGGACGCAGTAAAGCGTACGTGCATGTGGGTTTTTGGCAGGTCATTCGACAAAAACAAGTTTAAGCACTTAAATCAATCTCAACCACATGATTTCATTGAAATAGATCCAATGACTAAGCACTTCATTCCTCAAATGATGACACTGAATCTCTCAATTGCATGCATGCCACTATATATATATATATATATATATATTCTTCAGCAAGAATATTCTAATTGCCCCAATAATATCTATGTTCCTATGTGCATACATTGCTTGTCACGTGCATACGTCCCCACCATAGACTTGACGGTAGCTCTTCAATTACTCTTGTAGAATTTTTTTTTCAAGTGCCCATAAAGATAAGACTTCCATATATAGGGCTCATGTAACATCTCACATCGACCAATGGAAATGGGGTGATGTGCCTTATATGTGCATGCCCACCTCTATCTAGTACGAGGCTATTTTGGAAGCTCACTGACTTCGGAGTTAGGGGAACTCCGAAGTTAAGCTAGTTTGGGCTAGAGCAATTCTAGAATGGGTGACCCACTGGGAAGTTGCTCGTGAGTTCCCATAAACAAAACCATGAGAGCAAGAGGGCCCAAAGCAGACAATATTGTGTTATGGCGGAGCTGATATAACCATTATTTTGTACATTTTTATTATCTTTATCTTAGATTTTTGCTATGTTCTTGAGTGAGTTTAGTCCATTTTTACTTAGTTTTGTATTTTACTAGGTTTGAAGAGTAAAGATGGAAAAGCAAGCAAAAGGAGCAATTTTGGGATTGAAATATAATGTGCTGTGCAGAACAGTCAACTTGACAGAATATACTGTACTTCCTCAGAGGGAACCAGATGTTGAGCCTATATCGTTGGAAAGATACGGATGTTAGCTTTCTGTAGAATTTTACAGTTTGTGATTTGGACTTGTGTGGAGAGAGTTGTGGCCGTTTTAGTACAAACAGTTCGGGCAGAATGTGTTCTGCGGGTTTTGCAAAATAATCTATTTGAAGTCCAATCCTTGACATTTGGGAAGTGTCTACAAGGATGTGGAGTTATTTTCTGAAGTCTGATCCTATATTTAGTAGGATTTTGGATGCCAACTCATCAAAGACAATTGAAGCCAAACTAGGAAAACATAGTTACCAAGTCAAAAGAGGATTTGTTCCTTATTTAAAGAAGACCAGAAAATAGGGTTCTTTGGGATGCTGGAATTTGAAGGAGAGTCAAAGAGTCACTGCCATCGTCAAGTTCTCAAGCATCGTCACAATCCATAAGTTTTATTTTATGTTATTTAGTTTTTCAATTATGTTTTCTTTGAACATGAGTAACAAAATTATTCTCTAGGGCGAGGATGACGCCCGAGCATGGATAGTTATGATTTTTAATGATATTTAATGGATTCTAAGTTTATTTTAGATGAATGTTTAATCACTATTTCAATTGTTGCTATTTGTTTAAGTTCTTTGATTGATCACCTTAGGGCTTTGCATCTAGTAAATTGGAAGATGAATTTGAGGCAGAACTCGCAATATAATTCAATTAGCTTCTTGTGATTAAGTGTGGTGAATTACATTATTGCTTGACGAAGAATAATGGTTTGCTTGGTTCCCTTGTTTTCTAGAACGTAAGGAATTCAACTTGTTAAATTTATGCCTTAACCAGGATAGATTGAAGGATTTGGTATATGATCTTTGTCTGAACTAGAAAAGAATCTTACACTTAAGGAAAACTATGGTTTAAGTGCCTGAAAAGGATTTAGATACGGGAATTATCATCTAAAGAATCGAAGGAATCTGTTGAATGCATTGAAATCTAACTTGGATTGCTTGTGGTTGATTCTGAAACCCTAGACCTTCATCATCTTTTTTCAATCTTTAAAAGTCAACGTTTTAATTCTTAATTGCCTTGATTAATTTCTTGTTTATTTCATAAACCTTCACAACAACAATCTCTACAAATTTACTTGTGTGTCAGTTAGATTTAATTTAGGTATTCGAGTATTAGATTAATTTGGAATCCTTGTGGGAACGATACTTGGACTTGTCAAACGCTATACTACATCAATCTTGTGCACTTGCAAGAACAGACCAAGTTTTTGGCGCCATTGCCGGGGATTCCTAAATTAATTTAGAATTTGGATTCCTAATTCACATCTAATTGGGTTTGTTTTTATTATTTTATTTTATTTTATTTTGGTTTTCTTTTCTTTATTTTTATTTTTATCTTCCTTCTCTCTTAAAATTATTATTGTGATTCCAGGTTATACAAGATTCAAAGACAAAGAAAGAAGACAGTTTTCCTTTGGTAAGTGTTACACGCCACTTTCCAGCTTTTCTTTATAAAAAAAAAGAAAAATAAAAGGGAAATAAAAGCAAATAAAAGGAACTGTACAACAGCCAATAAAAGCCAAAGATACAGAGTGGAGTGCGCTACTTGAAAAACTGGAAATGAAGCAAAAGAAGCAAAAAGGGAGTTGAGTTTTTATCTTCCAGCCATTCACGCCACAGCTCCAGGCACTCCAAATTGGAGAGGAAAAACCCATTCACGCAGCCACGCCATGCCAATTGATTTGGGTTTTGGTCTTCCAGCTTCTTCTTCTTTAATTGGGAATCATCTCCCACTCCAACTCAAGTTTAAAATTTCTGTTTTCTTTCCAATTGAAGTTGGGTTTTATTTATTTCTTTCTCCAATCATTCTTCTCCTATTTAAGCAATTCTTTGTCTTTGTTGTAGGTACAAAAACCTAATTTCTGAAATTCGTATGCAGGGAGGCGTTCTCTCCAATTGGAGCTAATTCCCATTGATCAAGAACTTGAGCGTACGGTATGAAAACATCGAAGGGAGAATTTTTCACCAAGACCAGCCATGGCTAATCGAGTCAACAATGGTGGAGATGACCCACCAGCACAACAAAGGCTTTTAAGGGAATACACTACCAGCGGAGTACAATGCACCGTCGTGCATCGTATTGACTCCAATCACACAACGTTTCGAAATTCGCCCAACACTATCCAACTTCTACCTAGTTTTCATGGGAAGGAGGAGGAAAAACCTTACCATCATCTCAAGACATTCTTCACCATCTGTTCAACATTCAATTATGGCGGTGTTAGTGAAGAGCAAATTCGACACTGACTGTTCCCATTTTCTTTGAGGGATAAAGCGACAAACTGGTTAGACTCTCTTCCAGAGCATCTAAAATTCTTGGACTGATTTATCTAAGAAATTTCTGTCAAAATTTTTCCTGCTCGTAAAAACCAATGCTTGATATAAAAATTAGAGGTTTCGTCAACAAGAGCGTGAACAATTTCTGAAGTTGGGAGCGATATAAGGATTTGTTTCTTTAATGCCCTCATCATGGTTTCGACTATGGCAAAAGGTTCACTATTTTATAGAGGGTTGAACCCGCAAAGTAGGAGCATGGTAAATTCAACAGTTGGTGGAAGCTTAATGGACAAGATGAGATGAAGCTATCAGCGCATTTGAAACAATTTTTGAGAACTCAGAGCATTGGGACTTTCCTACAAAAGATTCAAGAGTTGCACCTACATCATCAACACATAAAGGAGGTATCTAAGAAGTTAGTGCCAGCACGAGTTTAGAAGCCCAAGTTGCAGCTCTCACAAAATTCTCACGCCACTGGTACAGAAGGTAACTGCACAACCATGTAACCTATGTGCCAGCATCGCTCACAACACTGCAAATTGCCCATCGAATCCTATCCTAGAAGATGTGCAAGAGGTCAATGCGTTCAATGGAAGGCCCCGAAATGATCCCTATTCCAATACTTATAATTCGGGGTGGAGACAACACCCAAACTTCTCTTGGAGCAATTCACAGAAACAATGGGACCTTCCAATTCCTCAAAGCCGTACCAACAACCCTATCAAGCTCCTCCCACACAACACGAAGATCCTTCTATTAAGGAGATGATATCTCAACTCTTGAAGAAATCAGACAGATATGAACAAGAGGTTGCATCACTTAAACAAAGTCAATCAGTGTTGAAAAAAAGTCAATCCAAATTCAAAGTTCAGCTGGGACAAATAGCCATCACTCTAAACAGATTAGAGAGAACACAAGGTCAATTTCCAAGCCAAACAGAAGCCAATCCTGGCAATCATGATCAAGCCCAAGCTATTACAACTCTAAGAAGTGGAAAAGTGATTGATAATAAGATTGGAAATTCAGAGATCACTAATAAAGAAGAAGATGAGGTCATGACAGAACCAGGGCAGCAACTTCATAAGTAGTTTGAAGACTCCTTGAAGTCTAATAGGCACACTGAATCTGTGAAACACACTCTTCCTACTCAAAACACAGACACTCATGGTCCTCTACCCTTCCCTCCACGTAGTAAACAGGTTCAAAACGATAAGTATAAGGGAGATATTATGGAGCAATTTAAGAAGGTACAAATTAATATTCCTTTGCTTGAGGCTATTAAACAAATCCCTTCATATGCAAAGTTTTTGAAGGATATTTGCACCAACAAAAGGAGGTTTGAAGCGCATGAAAAAGTGATGTTATCCGACAATGTGAGCGCTGTACTTCAAAGAAAGTTGCCACCTAAGCTTCAGGATCCTGGGAGCTTTACAATCCCCTGTATCATTGGAGAGAGAAAGTTCGACAAAGCTTTGTTGATTTAGGGGCCAGTGTGAACTTAATGCCTTATTCAGTATATGAACACCTTGGGCTAGGGGAATTGAAGCATATCTCTACATCTTTGCAATTCTCGGATCGCTCTGTGAAGTACCCAAGAGGGATTATTGAAGATGTACTCATTCACGTTGATCACTTTATCCTCCCTGCTGACTTCGTCATCTTGGATATGGAAGAAGCTGAAATTTCAGGTCGCGAACTCCCTCTCATCCTTGGCAGACCTTTTATGGCCACTGCAGGTACAAAATTGATGTTAAATCAGGGTTTACTAACCATGACTGTGCAAGATATCACTGTCAATTTTCAGGTCTTTGAAGCTTTGAAGAGACCCATAGATCCTTATGATTGTTTTCACCTCGAAGTTATGGATCGCATTATAGAGAATACATTCATTGAATCAAGCCTAAAAGATCCATTGGAAATATGCATCTCACAACATGGAATGAGTTTTGAGAAGGCCACCATTCTTGCAGCAGAGGAAGATCTCAATGCTGTGACATCATATCTCCCTTGGAGCCAACCTAAGTTTGAAATTTTGCCCTCTTCACATGCCAAACTCATTCCTTCCATTGTCCAACCTCCAAAGCTCGAACTCAAGCCCCTTCCAACGATTTTGAAGTACGTATACTTGGGTGATTCAGAGACTCTTCCTGTTATTATAGCTGCTGACTTAGTCAAACTGAAGAAGAAAAATTGATTCGGGTATTAAGGGAGTATAAGCAAGCCTTGGGATGGAGTATTGCAGACATCAAAGGAATTAGTCCTTCACTTTGCATGCATCGGATACACCTTGAAGCTGATTCAAAGCCTTCTAGGGAGGCTCAGAGACGCTTAAATCCAAACAAGAAAGAGGTGGTACGTGCAGAAGTTCTTAAGTTGTTAGATGTTGGTATCATATACCATATCTCTGACAGTAAATGGGTGAGTCCAGTGCAAGTGGTACCCAAGAAATCCGAATTACAGTAGTAAAGAATGAACACAATGAGCTCATACCTCAGAGGACAGTCACGGGTTGGCGGGTTTGTATTGACTATCGGAAGCTCAACAGTGCAACCCGAAAGGATCATTTTCCATTACCCTTCATTGATCAAATGCTTGAGCGACTTGCAGGCCATAGTCATTATTGTTTTCTTGATGGGTATTTAGGGTATAACCAAATTCCGATAGCTCCAGAAGATCAAGACAAAACAACATTCACTTGTCCCTTTGGCACTTTTGCATATCGAAGAATGCCTTTTGGTTTATGCAACGCTCCAGCAACCTTCCAAAGATGCATGATGAGCATATTTTCAGATATGGTGGAGAGGTTTATTGAAGTGTTTATGGATGACTTCACAATTTTCGGTTCCTCTTTTGATCAGTGCCTCCACCATCTTTCATTGGTGCTCCAACGGTGTCAAGAAACCAATTTGATCTTAAATTGGGAAAAGTGCCACTTTATGGTAAAAAGGGGAATAGTTCTCGGCCATATGATCTCCTCTCAAGGCATTGAAGTAGATAGAGCCAAGGTGGAGCTTATTTCGAAGCTTCCCCCTCCAACCTCAGTCAAAGAAGTTCGCTCCTTTCTTGGACATGCAGGTTTTTACCGACGATTCATCAAGGATTTCTCGAAAGTCACAAAACCCTTGTGTGATTTGCTTGCTAAGGATTCTATTTTTAACTTTAATGAAGAGTGTTTGACAGCTCTCGAAACTCTCAAGAAAGAATTGACCAAGCCCCTATCATAAGAGACCCAGATTGGACTCTTCCTTTCGAAATCATGTGTGATGCTTCTGATTATGCAATAGGGGCTGTGTTGGGACAGCGGGTTGACAAGCTTCCTCATGTCATATATTATGCAAGTAGAACTCTAAATGATGCTCAAATGTACTACTCAACCACCGAGAAAGAATTGCTTGCAGTAGTGTTTGCATTGGAGAAGTTTCGGAGCTATTTGATCGGCTCTAAGGTGATTATATTCTCTGATCATGCAGCACTCCGGCACTTATTAACCAAGAAAGACGCAAAGCCACGACTTCTCAGGTGGATTCTCCTCTTGCAAGAATTCGATCTTGACATCAAAGACAAAAAGGGGATTAAAAATGTTGTCGCCGACCACCTTTCGAGATTGGTTCAAGAAGGTGGAGATCTCCCTATCAACGAATCATTTCCGGATGAGCAACTCTTCTCTATCGAACAACTTCCTTGGTATGCAGACATAGTAAATTACCTTGCCCAAAAGTATATTCCAAAAAATTGGGACAAGCAACAAAGGAAGCGCTTCCTCTCCCAAGTGCGACACTACTATTGGGATGATTCATATCTCTTCAAGCATTGCCCTGATCAAATCATTCGAAGATGTGTTCCCTAAAGTGAAGTTCAGAGTATCTTGACGTTTTGCCATTCATATGCTTCCGGTGTGCATTTTGGTGCCAAGAAGACAGCTTTAAAGGTACTACATAGTGGATTTTATTGGCCTACTTTATTTAAAGATGCACACCATTTTGTTATAACATGCAATAGGTGCCAAAGAACGGGAAACTTATCCTCAAGATCACAGATGCCCTTAACCAATATTTGGAAGTTGAGTTGTTTGATGTTTGGGGCATCGATTTTATGGGCCCTTTTTCCTATATCTCATGGTTATCTCTACATTATTGTTGCGGGGGATTACGTATCTAAAGGGTAGAGGCGCTGCCGCACGGACAATGATCATAAGGTGGTGGTAAAACTTTTTGAAAAAGAAACACATCTTTACCCGTTTTGGAACCCCGCGTGCTGCATTAGGGATGGGGGCTCCCACTTTATCAATAAGCCTTTCGACGCTCTAATGCGGAAGGATATGTCACACATAAAGGTGCTACTCCTACCACCTCAAACAAGTGGCCAAGTTGAAGTTTCCAATAGGGAGATTAAACACATCCTTGAGAAAACCGTGGAATCAAAACCGTAAAGATTGGGCTTTGAGGGTGAAGCGATGCATGTTGGGCATATAGGACAGCTTTCAAGACTCCTTTAGGCATGTCTCCTTATCGGCTTGTCTTTGGGAAAGCATGTCATCTTCCGCTGGAGTTAGAACATCGGCATTTTGGGCCTTAAAAACATTGAATTTTTTGACATAAATGAAGCTGGGATTGCAAGGAAACTCCAACTTATGAATTGGCTGAATTGCGTTTTTTTTTTTTTTTTTTTTTTTTTTTTTTTTTTTTTTTTTTTTTTTTTTTTTTTTTTTTTTTTTTTTTTTTTTTTTTTTTTTTTTTTTTTTTTTTTTTTTTTTTTTTTTTTTTTTTTTTTTTTTTTTTTTTTTTTTTTTTTTTTTTTTTTTTTTTTTTTTTTTTTTTTTTTTTTTTTTTTTTTTTTTTTTTTTTTTTTTTTTTTTTTTTTTTTTTTTTTTTTTTTTTTTTTTTTTTTTTTTTTTTTTTTTTTTTTTTTTTTTTTTTTTTTTTTTTTTTTTTTTTTTTTTTTTTTTTTTTTTTTTTTTTTTTTTTTTTTTTTTTTTTTTTTTTTTTTTTTTTTTTTTTTTTTTTTTTTTTTTTTTTTTTTTTTTTTTTTTTTTTTTTTGTGGTAGGTAGAGCCTCATAAATTTGCATTTTATTTGTCAAGTTTCCGAATGTGAGACTTATATTCTTCAAACACATATTAGTTGAATCAAACCACCAATCCAAACTTTCATGTGTAATTGTGGGGAGCGGATCCGCTGTCCCCAAATTGGTGTCCCCTCCATGTCCCCTCTCTAATTTGCTGACACGTGTCAACTAACATAACGGGAAGTTAACTCCGTTAACCTTTTTTATTTGACAATTTTAAAAATTAAAAAAAATTAAAAACTGCCCCAATAACCCAGCAGCCAGCGAGCGTCCTTCCTTGCTAAACCCAGCAAGCGTTCTTCCTTGCTAAACCCAGCGAGCATCCTCTTCCTTGGGATCTTTCATGTGTTTGGCTATCTTTGAAGAATTTGTGAATTAAATGGTTAATTGGAGTTGAATCTACTGCTGTTATGACATAGAGATTTAGTTATTTGGAGTTTAACGATATTCACGAGGTGATGGTTTTGCTCTGTCACCAACAACCTTCAAGAGGCAGAGGAGAGGACCCATCACCTTGGATGGTTTTGCTCATGCTCTTCCACAGCTTCCCATACCAAACAAGCTTTGATGCCGTCAAAAGCACCAGTTTAATGACTCTGTCTCTTCTTCCATACCCTCCTCCTCCTCCATCATCAGTTTCTGTTGTGACCAACCAAGCAATGGTGCCAGTTGATTTTGAGTTTGAGTTAATTAAACCTTGTGAAGGAGAGAAGAGAAGCTGATGGATTTGAACACTGCGGCTGCAATTCCAGAAGAAAAAGATATGCTCCAGCAACTACAAGGAAGTGCCCCTACCCCTACACCAATCAATGTCATAGGGTCTGAAAAAGTGAATGCACAATGTGTTTTTGACAAAATGTTGCAACGAGATGTATGAGGGAAAGAATGAAATACAGTATTGTTCAATACTTGTCCTACCACTTAACAACGAGCAATATTCAGTTATAATTGATTCCACATAGTCGCTGGTTTTGTTCCAATATATATGACATCAAATGCCCATTAAAATTGTCATACATATGAGTCTTTAACATACAAAAGTAAATACATGCTTGCTCCAAATGTCATAACCAAATATTCTTAAATGAAAACTTTGAGTCCAAAGAAGGAAAAATTCTTCAACATTCTTCTCATTCAACATCTTGGACGCACATATCATGTGTCTTGGCACTGCATGTCAATTCAGAGCTCAGCAAGTCTAGTCCTTCAGAGCTCAGTAAGCTTAATTCTTCTTCTTGTGGTAATTCTGCCTGCATATATGTGTATACAATGAAATAATTAGTACTCATTCACGAGAAAACAAAAGGTAGTAACCAATTACAAGGAATTACCTGCAATAATTCATCATGCTAGTTGGACCTTGTTGATAGTTTGCGCAAAGTATTGTGGGTTCTTATGTAGTATTGCTAGTATACAAAGAAGCACACATGAAGAATATATATAAGTTAAGTCAGTAACATATTTAACATTACTTGTGAAATGCCATAGATAGACACCAAAAAAAGATAAATTTAACTTAAACTTACTTGTGAAATATCCATTGTTGCTTGAGATTGGGTTGGCATGTGAATAGTCTCATTGTGAGATCAGGTTCCTAACATTATTTCAAAACCATAACTTTTAAAAAGAGTTAAAATAAAACACAATATTAACAATCATAACTTTTAAATAATAAAAATATATATTAAAATACCTGTTCCAATAGAGCACATTCTCTTTATTTCGAGGCTTTTTCTTCTTTGTGACTTTTCCAAAGCTTCTTTGGCCTTTTAGAATTGCCAACAACTTTGGTCTTAGTTTTGATTCCTCTAACTTTAATGATATCATCGTCAATACAAATATACTCATTAAGCTTAGATGCACTGGTAGTTTTTTGGGATCACCTGAGTTGGTTCTTGACTTGCTTTCTTCTTCAAACACGCATCCACATCTCTCAACGTATTGTTAAGTCCTAATATAGCAGTTTCATATGCATCTTTCGACTCTGATGCTCGTGTTGCTAACTGAGTATGCAACCGACATAATTCTCTGTAACGCCTGACAATTTCTACTTTTGAGTCATTTTCACTAGAGACATTGCAAGTAGATTTTGTACTCTTAGCCTTAATATTTTGGTCCATCTCTTCAAGATGTATTGAGCGGGAATATTTTTAATATTTCTGGTAGAGAGGACTTTTAAGGCATGTGCACACAAGATTCCTGCAAACTCATACTTCTTACAACTACATAAACCGTATTATCTATTGAGTCAAATGTGACTGTGTGGTGCCAATACTTCTTATGAGGGATAACTTCATATTTGCTGATGCTTCCAATCTCACCATTGAATTTCAAGACACAATCATGAGCTTTACACAACTCATCTTGAAACAACTTAAACACTTCTGGTGTATATATTTGATGCGTGCTTTAATATTTCCACTGGAAATGACAATGCAGGTGAACTTTGACTTGCTCTAAATTCAGCTTTCAACTCTTGATAACGACGATCTTCAACTAACCTCTGAAAATGTTGAAAAAATCGTAGCAAATCATATTTGTAACTAACATACTTCTTTAAAGCACTATTCATGCTTTCACTGCGTTGGGTAGTAGTAATATCAGCACAAAAAGTTTGTCGCCCATAAACTAATGCCCATTGCTCCTTTATATTAAACAATCGCCTCAACCAATCATTATCCTTGAGATTATATTTTTCAAGCATGTTATTCCAAGCGTTTATAAAATCATCTTCATCTTCATAATCATATATGCATCTACCGAAGTCTTTGGTAAAATTTTTGAACTTCTCAAAAGCATTGCTAAGATGCTTGGCTGCATTTTGGTATATGTGCCAAATGCACAAACGGTGACATGTTTCTGGCCACTCTGAAAGCAACGCTTTAGCCATTGCTGCATCTTGGTCTGTTAGAATACTTATTGGTTTTTTTCCAGACATAGCCTTGACAAAAGTATCAAATAACCAAAATAAATGTGTCAGCTGTTTCAGCATACAATAATGCAGCACCGAATACGACAGTTTGCCTATGATTGTTGACACCAACAAACATTGCAAAAGGTCTTCCTTCTTTATTTTTTCTATAGGTCGTATCAAAGCATACCACATCACCAAAATAATCATAATCCACCATCATCCTTGCATCAGCCCAAAAGATATTAGTAATCATATCATCTTCATCCACTTGTATAGCATAAAAGAAATTAGGATCATTCAATTGCATTTGTTGTAATATTCTAACAGGCCCCCTGTATCTCCTACCCTCATTTCTCTTGTACGCTTTGAACGTAAATAATTTTTATAATCTACAGGAATGAATCCAAGATTCTGACGTCCACGGCTTGTCTACTCAGAAGTTCTAGAGTTGCTTTTGGAGAAATTCCCGAACTATCGGCCATATCAGCTTCAACTATTTGTGCAAGAGACATGTTTCCTATGTGACCTAAAAAAATGGGTCTTACAAGGACTAGAAGTAACATGCGTATGCTCAGGCACAAACTCAGTAACACAATACTTATCATTTAGCCGACAACTAATTTTCATCCTTGCTAGACATCCAAATCTTGTCTCAGCACGATGAGATTTCACACTGCCATCACACTTATTCTTTTCACGCTTACCTTCAGCAGAGCAAACAAAAAGTCTGTCTCTCAACTTTCCCACATTTCTCTTTATGAAATTTACTTCGTCTAATACTAAAACCAACACCATATGCATATGCATTGTAAATTTAAAGGCTTCTTCTTCTGTCTCAAACTCCATGCCTATTTCAGGAACTAGTTTTTTCTGCATGTTAGAATGGATCAACTCTATGTTTTTGTTACCTTGTGTAGTTTCTGAAAACTTTTCTTCATTACTTTCACTGCCTGCAAAAGCATTGAAGTCCCCCACCTGTTTCAAAAATTAGCTTCAGACTTGCTTGAGTTCCATCATCATCTCTGTAATTATTTTCCCCGTTCATGTCCTTGAGAAAATTGGCAACACGTTATGAATCTATATATAAAACAATAATCATAAAATAACAATTAATTTAATCAAGACAGGGATTGATTATTATATATGACTGGGTTTGATTCCTATGAAATCAAAAGGTTGATTCCTATGAATATATGGCTGGGATTGTTCAAAAGATTGATTACTATGAATATGAAATCAAACATATCATCAAACATATCATGAAGATAAAACCTAACAAAGAAAATTGAATAAATAATACTTTGATTTAGTGTATATTATATAAGTTTCCAATACACAGAGCTTTGCTCACCTCCATCCACGGGGCTTCAACAAAAGGTATAATCGATTGGTTTAATGGTGCTGCAATTTCCAAACAGAGATTAGGAGGGAGGAGAATTGAGTTTTGCAAGTATTTGAGAGTTGATTGTGGAGAAGATGTAGTGATTATGAGGGAGGAGAGTGGGTATGGCTGGTTTTTGCAAGGAAGACGACGCTTGTTGGTTGCAATTGGAGAAGAGGAGAAGACTCTCGCGGAGAAGACGATGCTTGCTGGGTTTAGCAAGGAAGACGTTCGCTGGGTTTAGCAAGGAAGGACGCTCGCTGGCTGCTAGGTTATTTGGGCAGTTTTTAATTTTTTTAATTTTTAAAATTGTCAAATAAAAAAGTTAACGGAGTTAACTTCCCGTTATGTTAGTTGACACGTGTCAGCAAATTAGAGAGGGGACATGGAGGGGACACCAATTTGGGGACAGCGGATCCACTCCCGTAATTGTGATGGCTTAGTGGTCAACAATGGCGGAACTAGGAATTTTCAACGGGTGGGTTAGCTAAAGTTATTAGCTTAAAATCTAATTATTTTTTTTTTTTTTTTTTTTTTTTTTTTTTTTTTTATACTTATATTTTCTATAGTCTTTGTCTAGAATATAATAGTATACATTAAATCATATAAACCATGCTAGTAATTTCTAATAGCTTTGATTAAAAAAAAATACATATTAAATGCAACTGAAAAACACGTTATCAAAATGAAAATATATTCATAGATATGGGCTTAGCCAAGTTGGCTAGAGCGGATGTGCTCCCAACTCTGCACTCGAGTTCGAATCCCTCTCCGTATAGTTTAGATTAGAGTAAAGTAGAATATCATTTGTATAAAATTAAAAGTAAAAATATATTCAACAATAGAATTGAAAGTGTACCCATTTTTATTGTTGCGCTGCAACTAAATTCATAAAAAATTATACTTTTTTGGACTTTAATAAATTATAATACATACTGGCTATATTTAAAATAAGTCCATGGCCAATACATAAATTTACTTCTTCCCCCTCCCAAAACCTCCCTGGTCTACAGCCCAGCGTAGCCCATAGGCTAGTTCTGCCAGTGGTGGGCAGGGACGGACATGCTAGAGGCTTGGGGAGCTGTTATCGTGAGAATGAAGGAAATTGTTTATGTGCAGTGCGCTAGGATTGGATGTTCTGGGAATAGGGTTGGTGGCTGTACGTGAAGGCTTAATGATGATGGCCTTCAATGGTTACACCCGATTTCTTCTTGCAACGAATTATAAAGAAGCAATGTCTATATATGCTTAAGGGCATGTTAAGATTGGTGGTGTAACATTGGCAATGTGGTGGAAGATATTAGAAGGCTGCTAATTGATAGGGAGGTGATAATGCAAATGGTGTGTGGTACATGCCCTTGCCAAATTTTGATTGAAGGATGGAACAAGGTTCTTTTGGGAGGATGGCGCACCTCCTTGACAGGGTTTACTTATGGATAAAGATAGGGAGTCGGGGTAAGTTTTATCATGTTTGTGAATGCTTTTAGGAGGTGGAGTGGTACCCTTTTTTCTTGACCGAATTTTCCTCAATAGTGAGTTCTGTAAGGCAAAGTTTATACTAGGCCACATATATTCCCTCCCATCCTTACAGTTGTTATATTGTATGTTTTTAAAGTTGCATGAAGTTCTTCTCTTTGATGAAAAAAAAAAACTTTGGTAATCCATACAAACAAAAATTACAATGGACTCTATTATTTAGTGTCTTTTGTTCTTTTCTTTTGATATAAGTGATACTAGAAGAGGGTGGTTTTCTCACACACTTGAATCTAAAACCACTAATATGCAAATTAAGACATATTTTTCCACTGGGATACAGACCTTGTTATCCTTTTTATTATAACCTTATCTTTTCTGTGCAAGCCCGGGGTTTTTGTTGGCCATAAGCTTCAACTACGTCTAATCAAGGTCTATATAGCTCTGGGGTAACTCTATACAAGGACCACAATATTTATGAATCGTATTGTATATCACATTTGTCTAACTAATGACTGGTACTATAATCAATTAGGTAGTATATCCTTAGATAGGATTGGTATTTTCATTAAAAGTTGGGTGGTCTTCAACCTATAGGTTTTATTTATTTATTTATTTATTTTTTTTCACAAAACTCTATGAGGTTTCAGAAATTACACGAACACCCCATGAGGTTTCAAATTATTTTCACAAAACCAATTTTCGTTGATTGTTCGTCCAAAACTTGATGATTTCATATGTGTGCAAACAACAAAATCAACCTCAATGAATGTATGTGCAATCTAATTTCAAAGGCTAACTTTGTCATTTGGAGAAATTTTTAATTTAAAATCATCAATCTTTGAATGAAAAATCACCAAAAAAGGTTTTGTGAAAACAATTTAAAACTTGAGGGGGTGTTCATGTAATTATTAAAACCACAAGGAATTTTGTGAAAAAGTCCAAACCTGAGGGGGAGTAGTGTAAATAACTCAGAATTTTCGTATCAATTGTAAATCAGTGATATTTATTCAATGTAAGTCAATAAAATTGCACCAATTAATGTAACTGCTTTTTATTCATTTTAGGGTTAGGTTTGGGGCTTAGGTTCCTTGCAACCCACCCTAATAACATCTCTGCCAAACCATGCTGCACCTAGCTAACCCAAGGGCTTCAATCAAAATTAATGTTCACATTATTATGGGGCATCCACCGAAAGCTTTAATTTACAAAAACAATAATAATATGAGTTGACATTCTAACATGAAAAGATATATCCAACACAAACACTAGAAAAATATATGAAGAAATCACGTGTTGCTATAGAAGATTCTCTTCGTTAAAAAAATTGCCAAAAAATAAAATCATGAAAAAAGTTTAGGTTCGGCATAGCACACACAAAAGAAAAGAAGTGTCTCTTGATAATCCTATCGTCATCTGCAAATACAATCATAATAAACAAAATAAGAAGATTTGAAGTATTGAGATGACAAGTTGGAAAGGTATTCAGACCGAAAAATAAAAATTCAGTAAGTTATTAAATTACAAAGCTATATTATGTAAGGGCCGGACCTACTTCTGGTTTTTTATTTTTTATTTTTATTTGAATGAAGAAAAGTTTAAGGGGAGATTGATTACTCTCACCACCAGCGCCAGGGCAGATTCACAACCTTGAGCTGAAATGACTTACATGTGGCATCCAACTGCGGACTAATGAGGACTGCTGGCGGCGCGACTCGAACACTAGTGAGGCTACACACAATACATAGACCTTACCAACTCAACCATACTTTCTTCAAAGCTCTATTGATGTCCAATTAACCCCACTCATTATCTTAAGAAAATGATTATTCCGAAAACCTATTTTTCATACTTAGTCAATATTTTTACATAAGGTAGTCTTCTTATAATTGTTCCGTCCCTCCTTCCTTGTTGAACAGGAGTTTTTGAAACACCAAAGCAGCCAAATCTTTGTCTAAATAGGCATCGGCGGAACTGGCAACAGGTAGCCTTTAAAAAATATTAAAAAATATTATATGTATTTTAATATGATTTCACTCTATAAAAGATTAGTAGTCCACCCAAATATAGCATAGTAACCCATTGTCCACTCAACCTATAGGCTTATAATCATGTTCGATCACTTAAGAGAATTTCCAATGGAGATGTCAAATAATATGTATCAAAATTGAATTTGATGGCTAATAACTTTAGTCAATTAAACTATGATACATTATAAGCCCACCAAACAATGGCTAGGACCCATATCAATTTTAAGTGAAAAATCTCATCCAGTCCAGCTCACCAAACAAGGCCTATTAACTTACGACGCCGCATTATATAATGGCCAACTTTCTGCAAACTCATATCATGCAATGAAGGATCAACCTTCTTGTAATTAAATGGGGCTTTTGAGCACGGTTTTCGTTAAGTCCTATGTAGAGTTCTGGGGGAGGAAATGGAATATACAAGACATATCCATGGTGGTTGTGTTTTTGGCTTTGCATTGCCTTTGTTTATTTGCACCCTTTCATTTCAACTGGGGTGCATTTTGGGTGGCTATGGCTCTCTATCTTCTGACTGGTTTAGGAGTGACTCTCTCCTACCATAGAAATCTTTCCCACAGGAGTTTCACCCTTCCAAAATGGCTCGAGTACTCCTTTGCCTACTGTGGGCTTTTGTCACTTCAGGTAGATAATATGTACATACATGAAATTATTCTGATCCATCGATGTGACTGGAAAAGGATTTCATGTGATCAAGAACGTTTCATATGTTTTTTTTTTCATTATATTAGCTAGCTGTTACTTAGTAGAAAGATAAAATATGCCTGTGCGTGTATGTTTGGGTTTGCAGGGTAGTCCGATTGAATGGGTGAGTACGCACCGGTACCACCATCAGTTTACTGATAGAGGGAAAGACCCTCACAGCCCTATCAAGGGTTTTTGGCATAGTCACATGGGTTGGATCTTTGATAGCAGTTATCGGTTCGGACAAGTAGAAAACAAATCTCTCTCTCTCTCTCTCTCTCTCTCTCTCTCTCTCTCTCTCTCTCTCTCTCTCATACATTCTTCGTTCTTTTTATTTAAATGAGAAATTTGCAGTATGGAGGCCTGAATAACGTTTAAGATTTGAAGAAGCAGCTCTTCTATAGGTTTCTTCGTCATAGTAACCTTCTACATTCAGTTCTTCTTGGAGGTTTACTATATGCTGCGGGTGGATTTTCCTTCTTGGTTTGGGGAATGGTGAGATTGGTTATTTACTGGTTAATTTCCATTATTTAAATGGGAACATGTGGTCTTTAAAAATTTATATCCAAAAGAAACAACCTATGCTAATGAGTCAATAAATACATCATGGGATGAGGAAGTATATATCAAAGTTCAACCTGTGGAATTTAAAAACTTGTGACTACATATATGGGTTTAATCAAGTTGACTAAAGTGAATGTTCTCCCCATTCTCCATCCGAGTTCAAATCCCTCTCTCCCTATTTTTATTTTTATTTTTTGACCTACCTCCTCTACTATATTATATATATATATATATATTATATAATATTATATAAACTTAATAATTGACAACTTGTAATTTAAGTTAATGGCCTCTTTAAAATAAATTAGACATGATTAAGTTCGAAATATTAAACTATAACTTGTAAGTTTTAAATCATATATATTTGACATACTTTATTTTCTATTTCGATTCCCCCCAATCTTACAATTCTAGCTCTGTCATTGGGTTTATTTTCTATTCGTATAGTGTGTGTGAGTTTAGTATATTATGATTTCGTTATCAATTGGGTTTATTTTCTATTCGTATAGTGTGTGTGAGTTTAGTATATTATCGTCTCTCTCAATAAGAAATATTCTTTAAAAAAGAGAAAAAAAATAGCATTTGTTTAAAGAAAAATTCCTTCTTAATATGGATCATTAGGTCACCACCTGCCTGACATTTAAAATCTGATTAATGTCACCCGACATCTCACATGTTACCTAATTACTAATTAGAAAGGCAAGCTATGAACATCAAAATATAGACAACAAGAATTTAGGACTTTATTCCATTTGGTAAAGAAAGCCATATATAATCAGCAGCATATAATGAAAAAAAAAAAGTGATCATCCCGATAGCATATATATCACCTTGAAATTATCTTCTTTTTCTTTTCAGATTGCATAAAAACACGTTTGGTATATATCTTTACAAAGATTTCATGAAAATAAAAAAAAATAAAAAAACTTTGGGGAGAGAGAGAGAGAGAGAGAGAGAGAGAGAGAGAGAGAGAGAGAGAGAGAGGAGAGAAGGAGTTTAGTTCATTCATTAGCAATGGCTAAACAAGAAGCTTCCTGAAAAGGTGATTAGATGAGATGAGAAAGTGACAACAAGAATGGGAGCTGAGCACCAAGAAATGAAAAGGGAATACCAACAAACTAGTTGCAAACACCATGCCTGATGGGGACTTGCATCCTTTTGTTTGTTTCCAAAGAAAATAATTGGTAGAAAATTTAAAGTTTTCCGGGAAAATTAAAAGTGAAAATACTTTACCTCCATTTGAAGCAAGTAAAGATAAGATCTTTATATTATTTATTTATGTATTAAATATTATCTGGTGGGAAAAAGTTTGGGGAGAGCTGGATTTAAAACTTCCTCGTTTATCAACCCAATTGATAACGAAATCATAATATACTACTCCTTAAAACATGAATTTTGTCTAATTATATGTTTAACTTCTTCATCCAAACATGCCCTAAATCTAAATTCCTTATAATTTCAGGGGGTGAGGACCGTACTTGTTTTCCACAACATTTTTCTAGTTAATTCAGTTGGCCACATGTGGGGAAAGAAACCATGGAACACCGGTGATATGTCGACCAACAATTGGTATATCACATCTATTCCCCACTTTGCTATATTTCATCATTACTAAATGTAAAATTGGGATACTAACATGTTTTATGTAAAATTGGGATATATTTTTAATAATTTAGGTGGCTGGCAATTATGGTGTTTGGAGAAGGGTGGCATAATAACCACCATGCTTTTGAATACTCAGCTCGACATGGGCTGGAATGGTGGCAGTTTGATTTTACTTGGTACATAATAAAATTTCTTCAAGCTATTGGATTAGCAACAGATGTGAAGGTCCCAACTGAAATTCAAAAGCAACGAAAAGCTTCAAAGAGTAGAATCCTGGCTACTCAAAATTAGTCTTTGAAGATTCACCCTACTATGGATACGATGGATAATTATAGCTTCAAATCCTATATGCATTTGTAATGGGGTTAATATTCCTGCTTGGTGTGGATTCTGCGATTAGTATCGTATTTCTATGGCTTCTAAAATAATCACTTATAATCATATTGTGGAAAAATCAGCTATGAAAAGTGTGTAATTTTCTGTATTATGAATAAAATTGACCACATGTTGAAAGTGTGTTTAGTTACCTGTTCGGTTAAAAAAAAAGTTACTTTCATTTGCATTCACACTGATTAGTTAAGATTAAAATAAGAGTTTTTTACACATACATCTCATGAGATTTCTCTTGTTTTCACATAACCCCCTGAGGTTTTGAAAATTACACGACCACCTTCTTGAGATTTCCAAATCATTACATGTGTCCCCTTGATAGAATTTGAGAAAGAAAAAAGTACATGTTTGTGTCTTATCTTCCAATACTCGTTACAAGCAATTGGGCTAGAAAATCAGCCCACTCATCCTATTCCATGTTTATTTACTTGTGTTTTAGGGAGCATATGCAGGCCCAATTCATGGCCTATACATCTTTCTATGCAGGCCCCCCCGCCCATAGAATACGAGAGTTGGGTGATGGCATAGGACCCCAAAAAATGGGGCCTCCTATAAGACCTTTCAGCCCAAGAATTGTAGTAACAAAAACGACATTTTATTTGTGTAATTCATGCTTTTTGGGATTTATTATGAAATGTTTTCGGCATTTTTCTTTATTTTTCATATAGAGAATCTCTTTTATGTAAATTAACCAACTTAGCACCTAAACTAAGATTTTTTAATTTTTATTGGTTCAGAATGAGGTAAGTGTTGAACATAAAAGGCCTCAACTTTTATTTCTACCCAGAACCCCCAAAATCAATGAACCAGCCCTGTTGGCATGTCCATCAGAGGTGCCTTCTTTTGTGTTCAAGTGACATCATTTTCACCTAACTAGTATGTGTGTGTGTCTTTTTTGTATTTTGTTTTTTTTAATTTTATAATGTATGGAAAAAAGGGAACTAATATGTAATGTGGTGTGCGTTGTGTTTCTGCGTCTTGGTACAAGTGTTAATTTTGTTGACGTGAGTTAACTTACTAAATCAAGGTGATTTATTTCCTAAGTTAATTAGGTGATTTACTTCTTTGTTTTATATAGTTGACACATCTTTTTATAATTAGGGGGATATTATCCTAATTAATTAATGTATATTTTTCCTTGTAAAGCACCCTTGTAAACTCCTACATATACCTCCTCAATGAGAAGAATACAATTAACTTAAAGTATTCAAACCAAATATCATATCTTAGCATGGTATCAGAGCAATTGATCCTAAGTTGTCTCTAAACCCTCAAATCATACCCTCAAATTCAAACTCAAACCCTAAATCAAATTCCTTATCTCTCAAATCAAATCCTCTTGTCCAACTCCTTAAACACGTACCTCTCAAATCAAATTCCTAAATCAAGTTCCTAAATCAAATTCGTATCAAATTTCTCAAATCAAATTCATGAAATTCTCAAATCAACTCCTTAACCACAAACACACACTCATAACAAATCTTACTTCCGTTGCGATGTTAGGACCCTTTACGATTCTCTTCCTCTTTGCAGACTCACAGAAGCATGCGGTCAATCCTGTTGAAATGGCTACTCGGGCTCATGTTTCTATCGCCACCACCAAATGTTCTACCTTTTATATGTCATCTCCAAAGCCCGAATGGATTATTAACTCAGATGCTACAGATCACACGACATTTGATCATAGCCAACTTATTAGTCGCAAACCATCCACTCAGTCGGTGGTGTCTAATGCTAATAGTACCCTTTCCCCTGTGGCTGGGGAGGGTTCTCTATAATTCTCTAACTCCATACATCTAGATTCTATATTGATTGTTCCATTATTGGACCATAACTTTTGTCTATTGCACAACTTACTACTACTTTGGAGGTGTATTGTAACATTTTGGCTCAATCATTGTGTTTTTCAAGACATCTTCACGGGGAAGACAATTGATTGCAGTGCTAGACGGGCAAACTCTACTACTTGGACTGGGCACTGGATAGTAAGACCAAGGTTGATCAAGCTTTCACAACAAGTGGAGCTAGTTCTAAGAGGCAGAAAGACAAAGTTTGGTTATGGCATAAATGTCTTGGGCATGTCTCGTTCGGTTATCTGAAGAAGTTTCCATTTCCAGCTTCCATTGTGATACTTGTGAATTGGCCAAGAGTCATCGTGTTCCTTTCCCATTAAGTACAAATAAAAGTTTGGTTCTTGTTCACCCGTTTTGTGTTTGCTCCTGTGATGGAAGGGTAAAGTTCCCCATTGCCTTGAAAACCATTAACCGCTCAACAAGTCAACTTTCTTTAGTGTGCGAGCGTGCCACTGCTAGCAATAACAATTCTAGTAGACTTCTTAAAATACATAACTTGCGCCCCAAGTTATTGATTTCTAAACAAGCGATTGTGAATTTGGGTGAGGAATATCTCCCAAGTAAGTTCTTTTCCTGCCTCAGACTGGTGATGACTTCACAATTTATCTCAGTACAAAATTGGTGGTTCTAGCCAGAATAATTGATAATAAAGTGGACTGTTTTAGGTAAAACTGCCTTTTACGAAACTAGAAAGAAAAAAATTTAATTCTAGAAAGAAAAAAACTTAATTCTAGAAAGAAAAAAAGAAAGCTGGAATTCCATTTTTGCCTGGATAGAAGTCTCTGATCCGAGCTGGACTGGGTATGTCTGTGTTGGACTAAATTGTTAACAACTTCAACTACTAAGCTTCAGCTGTAAATCGATACCAAAGTTTGAGTTTGGCAGAACTTTAATCTATTTCAAGCTCTGGAAGGCTTTTTTAACGGGCATATCTGCAACTTCTTTGGTCTGAACGGGGCAGAAGTGGTTGGACTTGAGGATTATTGAGCCGGAATTGCACTATGGTACCTGTTTTGCTTGGTCAGGGCTCTCCATAAATTTGTTGAGGTTTTCATTTTTGTGAAAACTCAAACTCTGCTTGTTTTGACTTTTGCTGAACCAAATTTGTAACAAGAGGAATCTCGTTTTGAATGACTTATTTTCTAAGTTTGAACTTAGAAATTCTGATTTATAGCTGGCTTCTTCTATGGCTTAAATGAGCTTTTGGTTGCTTCAGTCTGTTTGAGGGTTCTCAAGGATCAAGTGATCATTTTGAGTTTTGTCTTGGGTTGATTTTTTGGTTGTTTGATTGATTGTCTGTTTTGTGTTCTACTCACCCCCTCTTATATTTATAAGAAATGCTTTGGAGTAGGGTTTCTAATTCTTTTAATAATGCGCGGCAAAAATTCTCAAAAGATCTCTTACTTTTTAAATGCAAAGAAGAAGAGATTTTTATCAATTCTGGCAGATAAGCTCTCAACAGTCAGTTCATATGGCAATCACTTCCCTGTATTTTCTTTGAAAGGTAACCTAACCCTCTTTCCAATTTAATTACAAAGATGGTTAGTTTGATTTTCCAGTTTGAACAACTCCCTGTTTCCTGCTTATCTTTTTTTGAAAACTTAGCCTGCGTATCTCATGAAAGTCGATGCCTTCTCTGGAGCAGAAGCAATATTTCTAAATATAAAAAAGAGTTTTGATCTTCTGGTGGCAGAGATTCAGAGATGTCCCTTCTTTTGCCTGCCCTTGTCAACTTTTATCAACCTTGTTGACCTTTCTAAGTTAGAAAACATCACGTGGGTCTGTTCCTTTTTTGGGCTTCTTCTCTTTTTTTTTATTTATGTTAAGCCCAATTTTGAGTTGAGCCATGGGCTGATTTCTTTCTTTTCTTATTTTTTGAAGCCTAAGTTCGTTATCGTGGTTTTGACAAATCATGGGCTGGGGTTTTTCGATTTTGGGCTCTTGCATTCGATTTTAGTCCATACTGCATGGGTTTGATTTTGCCTCGTCTTTCTGGGCCTCCAGTTTGTCAGGTGAGTGTGTGTTTCGGCCCAATTTCAAAGGAACGCTAGTGGTTGCCCAAAATTGACATGGGCTTTTGTTTCCTTGTGCTGGGTATGCCAAATTAGGCCCAAACAATGCCCCCTAAGTCTGAATCGTTTTTTGAACGGTTCCAGACTTAAATGACTTTGGCCATTAATTTGCGCGCCAGTTTCTTCCGTTAGCCCATGTCTGCCACGTCTACCTACCACGAACTAGCCTGCGTGGGAAAATGGCCAGTTACTAGCTAGTCATCATTAGGTGACGTATTGTCTTCTTCTTCCATGATTCCGAGCTCTTTTTAAGCATTTCGAAACTTCAATTCCTGTTCATTTGAAAACCTAGCCCTTTCAGACCTTGATTCTGTCAGTTTTCCCCATAAATTCACTTTTCTCCCTCGGCCAGACTCTGCCTTCCTTGCCATTTCCCTTTTATCCTAGCTCAAAACTTCTAAACATGTTTTCTCCCAAGACTCGTGCCCAGGGTTCGTCTTCCTAAGTTCCTCCTGCTCACATCACTGGGCTGGGGTTGATAAACACGCCATTGAGGTTCGGAGCAAGCTTCACCATTTTGCCCAATAATCTAGATGAGAATGTCCTTCATCTTTTTGAAAACACTCTGGTGCTAGGTCCTCACTGGTTTGGTCATGTACCTGCCGAAATGGCAAGCTTGTTTAAAGAAGATGCTGAAGCTCCTCTGTGTTTCGAGAGTACCTCTGCCCTGGCTTCTCACTCTTGGGTCAGCAAGAATCTAAGCCATTCGTTCCCCTCCAATGAGGTGAGAAACATTTCTGTTAAGTGGGCAGATTAAATTGACAGACTTCTTACGAGATATGGGGCTCACTGGAAGAGTGCTGGAATTTATGATGCCATTCTCTTGTCCAAACAATCCATCAACAGGGACGAGAATTTGCTAGCTACCTCCCTCTGCTTTTGGAATTCTCCTAGCAATACATTTGACTTCCGCGTAGGTCTAATGGCTCGAACTCTATTGGACATGGCTCAAATCTTTAGGTTCAGGCCCTACAGAAGACCTGTAGATGCAGTGGGTGACTATCACAGGAGGAAGAACCAAGAGAAATTGGCCAAACCATTCACCATCTATCCAGCCTCAATTAACCAGAACTGCTCATTTTCCAACTATCTGAGGAATTTCCGTGCTGAGAAGGATAAGGATCAGTAGCATATGCTATTCCTTATGTACTGGTTGAACAAGTTCGTCTTTCCCAACCGTTCCTCAGCAATTCTGCTTAAGTACAGGCATCTGGTGGAGGCTCTGCACATTCATACTGATGTGGGGCTTGGACCCATAGTTTTGGCCCATCTGTTTAAGAATCTACATACTGCCACCCTGGAGAATCCCCAGAACCTATCGGCACTTGGTGCATTCTAGATGATCCAGATTTGGCTGCAGGTTTACTTCCCAGAACTGAGGTTTCCAGACATAATTATGCTCGAAAACCAAGTTCTGGCCTTCCCTCTAATGTTGGCAGAAGTGCCTAAGCGTTTAATCGAGGAGTACCTGATGTTTTTCAGGCACTGTACTAAGAGGTCAGCAGCTCAATGGCAGGTGGTGATCAGAAGGACCTATCCTTGGTTCCAGCCTGAATATTGGTTGTTTGTGAAGGAGCCAGAAAAGGAAGCAACCAGAATTGACTTCATGAAGAAGTTCTTGAGTGTCACCTTGCCAAGAGATTTGCCCAATGGTTGTGGAAAGCCTCCAAATTATCATTTGGAGGTAGAAGTCTACCATCCGAACTTCTGCGCAAGACAACTTGGATGCCAGATACGCAATAAAGAAGATAAACCACAGCGCAAATGCTTTTTATCTGGCCTGGGAACCAAATTCCTGTAGTTCTACCGAGTTTGACGCTTGGTGGAAAACCATATTTCAAGGTCTGCCTGCCTCCAGTACTGCACTCCAAGTTCTCTTTGATGGCTGGGATTCCTGGGTTGTTCATGTAGGAGAGGAAACTCACAGATTCATGGTGCAGACCATTGAAGATATTAACACACAAATCATAAAAGGTAGATTCCTGATTCTGTCTGTATTTTGCTTATTTTGCCTTTGTGATGATGCCTAATACTTCTTGTTCTATCTGCATCAGATCCCTCCCTTACAAGGAACATAGGTGGACAGTCTGTCCAGGCTGGAAAAGTGATTGGTAAGCCTTCCATCTTTCTGTTTCTTTTATTATTTTCTTGCTGGATTGACTTCTGACTTGTTTTCGTTTTCTGTGCAGTCACTTATGTCATTGCTGCTGGAGACTTGAAGCTTTCCTCTGGAGATGAAGACGGTGAAACTCAGGTAGAACAACCAGTTGTTGAGGTGACTCCTTCTGGCAGAAGGAACAAGAGGAAAGAAACTGCTCCAGTTCACGAGAGTACTGTCCAGCCGGAAACTTTAGGTGAAGTCTTCGAGAGTTCTGAGCTTTCCTGATCTTGTTATGCCCTTCCTTTCATGTGTTCTAATCGTCCTATTGCTTGTTTTTCGGTAGCCGAAAGTCCTCCTCCCCCTCCTACCAAGTCAAAAAGACTTAGAAAGAGGACTGTGGTGGAGTATGTGGCCACCGAAGGTCCTACAACAGCTCCTACAGCCTCTTCTGGCATAAATGAGGAGCTGATGGAGGCTTTTGAAGCTGTAGAGCAGGAGAAGGAACAAGATGAAGGGGATGTCCCTTTAAAGGAGAAGAGCAAAGATTTTGAAGAAAAGGTGAGCCTTTGTTTATTAGGGTTTAGGGTTTATTACTGCCTGAGCTTTGTGTTTGCTCTGTTCTAACTTTTGACTTCTGCTTACTTGTAGGAGGAGATTCCTGCTAAGGTGATAGCAGAAAGCATTGCCTTGGCCAAACAACAAAAGGAGGCTCAGACGGCTGAACCTACAATCTCATAACCAGCCCTTTTTGATGATGTGGAGGCAGAACACTCTGCTTCAGTTCGAGTGCCTGTGGTGTAAGCAGAATCGTCTACTTCAGAACTTGTGGAACAAGAAGAACTTCCCATTGTGGTCCTGATGTTCCTGATTTTGTGGTAATTTCTACTCTTATTCCACCTCCTACTGCCTTTTGTAGTTCTGTCCCGTTTTTTCTTTTCTAACTATCAGTCTTTGCAGGTAGAAGTGCCCAGAACTGCTGGGACCTTGGCAGTGGTGACCAGCCCTCTAAAGCCTCCCATCGTTGTCGTGAGTATTTTTGTACTTTAGTCTTTCTTTCTTTTCTTATTCTGACTCTTTTTGAAAGACTGACTTGAATTTATTTTGCAGATGCCCATCCATTCTCTTCTAGGTTCATCCACCACGGCCTCCTTTGCTGATCCAGAATTGGCAGAATTTGAAGCTATGGACCTAGATGCCCAGCTGGACAAACTGGAGAAACTTAGCTCCACTCAAGGCAAGGCAAAGTCCAAGGCAGTAAATGAGGCAATGGATAGGGTGAAGATCTGGCAATCCACTGAACTGGATTTGGACGAAAACCAAAAAGCTATTGACCAACTGATGAATGACCTGGATCTGCTACATAGAGAAAACATGGCTCCTAGGCCTACACTTGAGATGAGCCTTAGTCTGGCCAGAGATGTGCTCAACCTTCACGACCGTTATAAGGATCTCAAGCCCACCTTCAAAACCTCTGAGTTCTGCAAGGCTACTCATGAAGCCAATTTGGCCGATTATGTAAAACAGAAGGCAGAGCTGGATCAGATGGTTGCAGGATACAAAGAAGCCAAGGCCACTGCAGATAAGCTGGAGAAGCAGATTGAGGAACTTCAAAAATAGTTGGCAGAATGCAGGGAGTTGCAGAATAAGCTTGGGGCTGGACTGAGTTCTAAGACCAAGGCTACCTTCCTTGTGCAGAGCATGGTCTCAGCTTCCAGGCCAGCTTTGGAGATTGCAAAAGCTTCACGCCACCAGAGGGTGCTGCTTCAAAGGAACTTCTGACCAAGAAGAGCAGTTTGCAAGAAACCCTTAGGAAATTAGGGTTTTAGATTTATAAATTTAGTTTTGTAATGAACAATTTAGCCACAAAAGTGGCTATATTTAAATAAAAGTTATTTATTTTTGTGGAATTTTGATTTCTCTTAACAAGATAGAAATAATTTAAAACGTACTTAATAAATTACAACAAAGTAAATTTTGAACAGACTTTAAACAATAGTTTCGTTTTGCTCTCTCTATTCCAGGATCTGTCTGCACAGCCTGTGAGTCCCACATAGTTGGATAAAACTTCTTCAACCATTTGCCATTAATTGGTGCAGCATGAACATCTCCATTTTGATCCTGTAATCTGTATGCCCCTATTCCCAGGATTTGCTTAATTATAAAAGGACCTTCTCATGTAGGTGACCATTTTCCATAACTAGCTATGTGTGTTCCGAGGGGCACAATTGCGTTCCAGACTATTTATCCTTCTTCAAAACTCTTGTTTTTTACTATTTTGTTGTAGGCTCTTGACACAGCCTGTTTTCCTGCTAAGAGTTTGTTGAGGGTGTCAACCCTACTTGTATCTAATCCTTTCAGTTCTAGTAGCATGGCTTGAGAGTAGTCTTCCCCAACTAGATTGTGTTGATGAGCAATTTTGAAAGACTGGAATGCTATCTCCATAGGCAGAATCGCGTCATGGCCATAGGTTAGAGCATATGGAGTCATGCCAGTTGCTTCTCTTTTTGAAGTCCTATATGCCCACAGAGTTTCTGATAACTTCTCATGCCATTGCTTTGGATTTCTCTCAAGCATTTTTCTGATAATGTTGATGATCACCTTGTTACTTGATTCTGCCTGCCCATTAGCTTGGGCATAATAAGGAGTGGATTGAAGCAGCTTGAATTTGAATGCTTCTACTATATCCAGTATCTCTCCAGATATGAAAGAAGATCCTCTGTCAGTTGTGATTGATTATGGGATGCCAAACCTTTGTATGATCTGCTCTTCTATAAAGGTGATGATCTCTTGAGATGTAGTGAATTTAACAGGCTTGGCTTCCACCTATTTGGTGAACTAATCCGTGGCTACAATGATAAAACAATGCTACTTGCTACTGGCTGGATAGATCTTCCCAATGAGATCCATTGCCCATCTTCTGAAAGGCCATGGCTTTACTACTGGATTCATGGGAACTGAAAGAGCATGCTGGATTGGGCCGTGCCTTTGACAAGTCTCACATCCTTTGGAATAGTCAATGCAATCTTTCATCATGGTTGGCCAGAAGTAGCCATACATTCTAATTAACCAGCACATTTTTCTTCCTCGGTGAGCTCCACAGATTCCTTCATGAGTTTCTCCCATGACCTTCATGTATTCTTTCTTTCCAAGACACCTTAGAAGTACCTCATCCTTTCTTTTTTAGACCAAATCTCCATTCCACATAAGGTAATTCAAAGCCATGATCCTGACTCTTTTCTCAGAAGGCAAGGTTGGATACTGCAAGTAATTTATGATAGGATTTCTCCAATCATCTTCAGTGATTATGGCATAATTGACATCTATTGCCATTCCTCTGATAAGAACATATGGTAGACTTTTCTTTCCTACCTTGATGATCCTTTGCACATAGTCTTCAGGCATTTGTATACAAGTTGCTACCTGAGCTAATTCATTGGCCGCAAAGTTTTCTTCTCTTGGGATATGTTCCCAAGTAGCTTCCCTGAATTCTGTCAGAAAGTTTTTGGCTGCCACTAGATAGATAGCTAAAGAAGGACTTAGACACTTGTATTCTTCAGCAATCTGTTTTAACACAAGAATAGAATCTCCTAGGATTTTCACAGATTGGATCCCTAATTCCACCAGCATTTCTAGGCCAATGATTAAAGCCTCATATTCAGCTCTGTTGTTGGTGCATTGGAAATCTAGTTGGAAAGAATAACAGTGTCTGATCCCTAGTGGCTCTTCTAAAACAATCCCTGCCCTAGAAGCTATATCAGTCTTTGATCCATCAAAGTACAGTTTCCAAGGTGTAAGGTGGACTAAATAGATGGGATTGTTAAGGCAAGTATGAGCTCTAGTAAATAGATCTACATTTGCTATGTCCAAAGAGTCCATGTTTTCAATCTTTTCCCCTGGATGATCTGCTAGGAAGTCTGCTACAGCTTGTCCTTTGACAGCTTTCTGAGGCACATATTTGAAAGCAAATTTGGTCAAAGCCAGAGTCCATTTTCCAATTCTTCCTCTCAAGATTAGGTCTGTCTTGACAATGATGTAGATGGTGAATGGCAACATGTAGTGTCTGAGTTTCACAGCAATGAAGTATAAGGCTAGACAAAGCCTTTCAATCGCAGAATAATTCCTTTCTACTTTTATTAGAGTTCTGCTCAGATAGTAGACTGCATGTTCCTTCCCTTCCTTGTTATCTTGGACTAATAGACTCCCAATGGACACTTCTGATGCAGAAACATAAAGTTTGAGTGGTCTTCCTCTCTTTGGTGGGGATAGAACTGGTGGATTTGAGAGGTAGTGCTTGATTTCCTCAAAAGCTTGTTGATGTTGTTCCACCCATTTAAACGTCTGTTCTTGTTTTAATCTTAGCAAGGAAGAGAAGGGCTGGATTTTTCTTGCAGAATTAGATATGAACCTCCTTAGAAAATTAATTTTTCCTAGGAGACTCTGCAGTTCTTTCTTGTTCCGGGGTGGTAGAGCCTCTATGATGGATTTTGCTTTATTTTTGTCAACCTCTATGCCCCTTCGGTGAACCAAGAACCCTAAGAAATTTCCTGCTTGAACTCTAAAAACACATTTTTTGAGATTCATTTTCAACTTATGTTGTCTCATTCTTAGGAATGCCTTTATTAGATTTGATACATGATCTCCCTTATATGGGGATTTAATCACCACATCATCTATATATACTTCTAGAGAATGCCCAATCATATCATGGAAAACAGAATTCATTGCTCTTTGATAAGTGGCTCCTGCATTTCTTAAGCCAAAAGGCATTACAGTATACTCAAAAGCACCTATATGTCCTAGGCACATGAAAGCTGTCTTGTGGATGTCTTCTTCTGCCACCATAATCTGATTATATCCTGCATTGCCATCCATAAAATATAGCATTTGGTTATGAGCAGCTCCAACTACTAGCATTTGTGCCATTGGCATAGGATATTCATCCTTGGGGGATGCTTCATTTAAATTCCTATAATCCACACATATCCTAACTGCCCCTGTTTTTCTCTTCACAGAACTGGCACAATATTGGCTAGCCAATCAGCATAAATGGCTGGTCTGATGAATCCTGCTTTGAGCAATCTTTCTATCTCTTCCTTGACCTTCGGCTCTATGTCCATAAACATCCTTCTTCTGGCATGTTTGACAGGAAGGTAGCCTTATTTGATTGGCAGCTTGTGTTCCACCAACTTTCTATCTAATCCAGGCATCTCATGATAATACCAAACAAATCAGTCTCTAAAATCATGCAGAAGTGCAATGATTTCACTCTTGAGTGGTTCTTTCAACAGTGCGCTAATGAAAGTTGGTCTTGGATCCTCTTCTGTCCATAAGTTTATCTCTTGTAATGGGTCTTCCACTTCTGGTAAAGAATTATCTAGTGCTACTGGGGCAAAATCTAGTACTTCATCCTGTAAACTCTCTTCTTCTTGTTCTTCCGTGCTTTCATGAGTGAATTCTGCCATATTGATGGCTGGATTCTGCATAAAAAGCTTCATTTCTTCCTAATATATCAAAAATCTTTTTGTTATGGATCGGATTGTTGCAGCTCGATCCTTCTCTTATTGATTGTGACTAAACATCAGAGTTCTGGAGGTTTATAACAAAAGGTCTATTCCGGTCTTCTAGAGAACTGGCTAAACCGTCTTTAATGAGTCTCTGGGCCGTGACACCATGGGGCGGTCATTCTGGTTGACTCCAAGGAAAGTGAAAGGTCCAAGGTCATCATGATAATACCTTGCCTCAAAACACATGGCAGAGGGTAGAAATGGCCGTGGATCGGCCTCTACTATCTCTATGTAACCCTCTTCATTCCATAGGGCTAGTTGCTGATGTAGAGTGGAAGGAACACATAAGCTTTGGTGAATCCAGTCCCTGCCAAGTAATGCATTGTAAGTTGTAGACATGGTGTCTACCACAAAGAATGCAATCTTTAGCTTTTTGGTTCCAACTATGACATCTACATCCAGGATTCCATGAGTTTTAGTGATCCCCCCAGCAAATTTGGTGACCGTTAAGCGTGTTGGAATTAAATCCTTCTCTGTTCTTCCCATCTTGCTTAGCAATCTGTGGGGTAAAAGATTAATGGCTACACCTCTATCTACCATCACCTTGGGAATAGGAATACCCCCAAAGTTTGCTGTTATGAACGGAGGTCTGAGGTGATTGGCCATCTCCTTGGTTGGTTTGGAGAAGCAAAGCTGTTCTGCAACCGGTTTCAAGGCAGTTCCGTCTGTCTTGGTAGTAGGTGTTCGTTGTTCTGGCACCTCCTCTACCTCGCCAATCTGCATTCAAAACTTTCCTTGGAGAAAACGTCCCCTTCCAAAGTGTTTTCTTGTCCTTTCGCCTCCCTGAACTTCTCTGGCAGAATGAACAATGTTAATGCCTAGATCTCCTTGCAATAAACTCTCTAATTTTGCACCAAAAGCCTTAGTTTCTTCATCTAGTTCTCCATCATACTCCATCTGTTCTTCCCCATACTCTTCTGTCCAGTCTTCCTGTTCTCCTATTTCGAGGAGTCCAATCTAGTCATCTGCAGATGGTTCATAGTCTAACTGCTCCTCTTCATACTCTTTAGTCCAGTCTTTTTGTTGTTCTACTAGAATAGGTTCGGATTCATCTTGTGCTTGTGAAGGCTCAAGCTAATTGACTGAGGATAAGGCAAGATGGATAGAAGGTTCGCCTGGAAATTCTGCTTTCACCAGCTTTTGTGGCTGGCAGGTTGTTTGTTCTGTCTGAGGAAGTACTTTCGAATTCTTCCTCTTTTCTGGTAGAACTGGTTTCTAGAAGTACCTGCGTATCGTCCTTATTCTTGAGGAATGTGCAGTAGCCTTTGAACCTCCTGAGTTCTAGTTAACTCCAAAGTTGGTCTACCACTTTTCCCCATATAATACTATCTGCCTTCTATGATAGTTGTCAAGGGCTTTTCATTCTCGGACATCTTAATTGGTATTTCCTTCTTGGGCTGCTCTGTCATCCTTCTGCTGCGCTGAGCAGGCCTAAGATAGTCCTTTTGTCTTGTTCTGTCTTTAGATAGAGCCGGAATCGGGCCTTGTTGGTATAATGTCCCGATTCTGTCAAAAACACTGGGTGTGGGCTGATTCTGTCTGTCCAGAATCACTTCTAGCTCACTCTCGCACTTGCAGTTGCTGCACAATACTACACCGGCCGAGATAGTTGCCTTGGGCCTCTGACTAGCCTCCCTCGTGACTCTTCTGCCTTTGTTGGAGCTAGCTTCTGTTGCGGGTTGTTTCTCTTTTGTTCTGGCCAATTTAAGTTGACCATGTTGACTTGAGGCTGGGGAAAGGGATCTGTTGTAACTTATGGAGGTTTCTCCGCCAGCTTTAACCTTCCTGCTGTTCATCCTTAAAAACAACATAGCTATTGGTGGAATGGTTCCAAGAGTTGTGCAACCTGCAATACTGTTTGCCCTTGAGTTCCTCTGGCTTGGGCAACCTGTGGGGTGTCTCTATTGCCTTTTGTAGCAGTATCTCATCAAACAAAGTATCCACCTTGGTTAGATTGAAGGAATAGACTTTGTTTTGAGTTGGTTTGTTTGGAACAAACCCTCCTGTGAATGGTGGCGGCTTCTGATTATTTGGTAGCTTTGTAAGAGCCTTGCAACTAATGAGATGTTTTAGTTTCGCCATTTCTGCTACTGCAATTTCTCTTTCCTCCGAGCCTTCTGTACCTTCTTTTGATTCTACCTCAAAAGATGTATTGAAGAAGAAGGGGACTTGTAGTATGTGCCTTTGGAGGAGTTCCTCCTCTGTTGTTCTTCCCTAAGAAGCTCCTCATATTTGGATGCTTTATCAGCCAGTTCTGCCAGATCTCTAAACAACATCCCATCAAATCTTTTTCTCAGAGAGATTTTGAGGGTGGCTTGAGCCATCTGGATGAAGTGCCTTTCTTTCATAGGGATCCGGCACTTAATTTTGAGCTTTTTGAATCTGGTTATGAAGTCCTAGGCAGGTTCATTTTGTTTGAGGACAGCAAGATCACTGATGGTGACTTTTGGCTGGATCTTGAAATAGTAATCATGGAACACGTTTTCCATTTGCTCCCAGGTCTGAATAGAATTAGCAGTAAGACTGGTGTACCAGGTGAAAGCTTGTCCAGAGAGAGAATTCCCAAAAAGCCTTAACTTTAACAGAGGGTTATTTTCTATGGCTATGGATTGGACAAAAAACCTGCCTATATGCTCAACTGATGAAGCATGGAGATCTTCCCCATTAAACAAGGTGAAGTTTGGGACCTTGAAACATGATGATAGAGGTATCTGACCAATGTAAGCCAGATATGGCTTTTTGTAGGTGGGTCTTTCTCCTTTTCTGGCTTCAGGCTCCATCATCTCCTTGATCATTCTTTGTAGTGCCCCTATGTCATTCAAGGTGTTGACAGAGTGCAAATTTCGTCCCTGTTCTAGCTGGGCGTGGTCAATCCTGTGCTCCACCCTATGTTCTTCCTCTTCTTCAAAATCTGGATGATTCCTTTAGTTTGGCCCTGGTATGTTCCTATCATTGTTAGCAAAGGGGTTGATTCCCCATCTGCCTCTTCTGCCTCTCCCCGGTGGAGGAAATGGATTGGGATCCATCCTTCTGGGTCTGTAGGGTAACACAGCTGGTGCCTCAAGCAAAAGTGCCAAGGGTTGATCATGTGGGGCCACGGGTTATGGAATGAGTGGAGGTTCTGGCTGTTTTTGTAGACCTGAACTGGTGCAGGGCCTTCTGGCCCCTCCTGCTCTTGAATGGGGAGGGCTCTTCCCCTCTGTCCAACTTGGATCTCTCCATGCCCTGGTATTGCAGCTATTTGTGCGATGAGAGGGCTCTCCTGGTATGGTCATGCAAATCCTGGTGGGGGACCGTAAGGGAGATCTAGCTGCTGGACCATAACGTCTGGGTTTGGAATTCTGGTCATGGCAGCCTCACGATCCTTCCTGAACTGTCTGTTAACTTGCCATTGCATCATGACTGTCATGTTGTTTAGAGTATCCTGGCTCCTTTGTGCTGTAGCCTCCTGTCGGAATACAACTTCCTATATCTGATTCAACCTCCTGGAGCCAGTCCTGGAAAGTCTGCTTCCGGTGCTGCCATGAGCTGAGTGTTTGGCATCACTTTCTTTTGACTCCAATCCTTCTTGGAGAACTACCTGATTTCTTTCCATGGCATGGCGTGGGTTCTGGCTAGAGCTTCCAATATTCATATACTTTAGAAAATTTCTGTTGGAGTATGTATACTGAGAAGTCCCACCGGGCGTGCCAAATTGTTCACCCGTTTTGTGTTTGCTCCTGTGATGGAAAGGTAAAGTTCCCCATTGCCTTGAAAACCATTGACTGCTCAACAAGTCAACTTTCTTTAGTTTGCGAGCGTGCCACTACTAGCAATAACAATTCTAGTAGACTTCTTAAAATAGATAACTTGCGCCCCAAGTTAATGATTTCTAAATAAGCGATTGTGAATTTGGGTGAGGAATATCTCCCAAGTAAGTTCTTTTCCTGCCTCAGATTGGTAAGGACTTCACAATTTATCTCAGTACAAAATTCGTGGTTCGGCCAGAATAATAGATAATAAAGTGGACTGTTTTAGGCAGAACAACCTTTTACAAAACTAGAAAGACAAAAATTCAATTCTAGAAAGACAAAAAGAAAGCTAGAATTCCATTTTTGCCTAGATAGAAGTCTCTAATCCGGGCTGGACTGGGTATGTCTGTGCTGGACTGAACTGTCAACAACTTCACCTGCTAAGCTTCAGCTGTAAATCGATACCAAAGTTTGAGTTTGGAAGAGCTTTAATCTATTTCGAGCCCTGGAAGGCTTTTTGAACGGGCAGATCTTCAACTTCTTTGGTCTGAACGGGGAAGAAGTGGCTGGACTTGAGGATTACTAAGCCGGAACTGCACTATGGTACCTGTTCTGCTTGGTCATGGCTCTCCATAAATTTCTTGAGGTTTTCATTTTTGTGAAAACTCAAACTCTGCTTGTTTTGGCTTTTGCTGAACCAAATTTGTAACGAGAGGAATCTCGTTTTGAATGACTTATTTTCTAAGTTTGAACTTGGAAGCTCTGATTTATAGCTGGCTTCTTCTATGGCTTGAATGAGCTTTTGATTGCTTCAGTCTGTTTGAGGGTTCTCAAGGATCAAGTGATCATTTTGAGTTCATGTCTTGGGTTATTTTTTGGTTGTTTGATTGATTGTCTGTTTTGTGTTCTGTTCACCCCCTCTTATATTTATAAGAAATGCTTTGGAGTAGGGTTTCTAATTCTTTTAATAATTGGAGGCAAAAATTCTCAAAAGATCTCTTACTTTTTAAATGCAAAGAAGAAGAGATTTTTATCAATTCTGGTAGATAAGCTCTCAACAATCAGTTCCTATGACAATCACTTCCCTGTATTTTCTTTGAAAGGAAACCTAACCCTCCTTCCAATTTAACTGCCCTTTGTAAGAGTTCAAACTTTGATGGTTAGTTTGATTTTCCAGTTTGAACAACTCCCTGTTTCCTTCTTATCTTTTTTGAAAACTTAGCCTGCGTATCTCTTGAAAGTCGATGCTTTCTCTGGAGCAGAAGCAATATTTCTAAATATAAAAAAGGGTTTTGGTCTTTTGGTGGTAGAGATTCAAAGATGTCCATTCTTTTGCCTGCCCTTGTCAACTTTTATCAACCCAGTTGAAATTGTAAACTTTTCTAAGTCAGAAAACATCACGTGGGTCTGTTCCTTTTTTGGGCTTCTTCTCTCTTTTTTTTTTCAAAAAAAAAATTTCTGTTAAGCCCAATTTTAAGTTGAGCCATGGGCTGATTTCTTTCTTTTCTTCTTTTTCGAAGCCCAAGTTCATTGTCGTGGTTTTGACAAATCATGGGCTGGGCTTTTTGGATTTTGGGTTCTTGCGTTCAATTTTAGTCCATATTGCCTGGGTTTGATTTTGCCTCATCTTTCTAGGCCTACAGTCTGTCGGGCCGAGTGTATTTTGGCCCAATTTCAAAGGAACGCTGGTGGTTGCCCAAAATTGACTTGGGCTTTTGTTTCCTTGTGCTGGGTGTGCCAAATTAGGCCTAAACAATTCCCTTCTCCCTTATTTATTATGATGTTTGGGGGCCTGCTCAAATCACTACTTCGGCTGGAGCTCAATGTTTTGTCACTTTCATTGATGACTGCACCCGAATGACTTGGGTTTCCCTTCTCAAATGCAAGGAGAAGTCAATTTAATGTTTCAACAATTACATAAAATGGATATCGTCTCTACAACATCACTGAAGCTTCGTTTTTGAAGTAATGGATTAATGATATGCAAACCAAGTCAAGCAATTTTAACGTACACCAATAGAATCTTAGAGGATTAAGAACTTAATTTGTTGTATTTTTTTCTTTTTTCTTGTTCTTTTTGGGGGGATAGATAAGGATTTACATTATCTTTTCTACATGCCACCCCATTTAAATATCATCTAATGACTGAAAGATTGACACCAAATTTTATTTTTTGGCTTTTTGGTCCCTCAATTTTCAAAATCATTCCCGTGGTCCTTCAACTTTAGTTTCATTATGACAAATGGTTCTACAGTCAATTTTGTTATTTTTTTCGTTAAATGTAGGGGAAAAGTGTCTTTTTATATTATTTTTAATTTTCACCAACCCCAAAAAAATAAAAATAAACTAAAAACTAAAAAACCTTCTTCCAATCCTCGCCATGTACCCCAACAATACACCATGTGCCAAGTACGTACTCAAATTTGACGGCACAACCATTTCTCATAATAAAACTGAAGTTGAAGGACGAAGAGAACAATTTTGAAAATTAAAAGATCAAAATGTGAATTGGGTCAAAGTTCAAGGACCATTGAACCTAAAATTCTTTATTTTTTGGGTAAATTGCAGAATACTCCTTTGAACTATTTTGATTGTCGAAATTACCACCCTGAATTAATTTTTCAGCAAATTTAGCTCTCATATTAAATTTATTCGCCAATTTCTCCCCTGCCGTTAGCTTTTTTCACAATTCCATCTAAATGCTCGTCAAATATAAGGGTAAATTTGATATTTTACAAGGTATTGTATTAAGAAAATAAGAAAATGTAAAACAATCAAATAGAGAAAAAGCCTCCCCCCCTCTAATTTCTTCTCCCCAATTCCCGCCAACCAGCAAAACCCAGAATCAACGCCCCTCCCTTGATTTCTTCTCCCACATTCCCCCATAGCCTCGTAGAACCAACCCCCCCCCCCCTTGATTTCTTCTCCCTCCATTCCCCGTAGTCTCATAGAACCAGCCCCCCCACCCTTGATTTCTTCTCCCTCCATTTCCCAACAACCAACCACCAACCACAAAACCTATCCCCCCTCCTACCCCCCATATGCCCCCTCCCCCCCCCACCCCCCCTCCCCCACCCCCCCCTCCCCCCCCCCCCCCCCCCCCCCCCCCCCCCCACCCGCGCTGGGTGTTTCTTTCTCCCTAATTCCCCTACAAACCCCCACCCCCCCCTTTTTTTTTCCAATCCCCCAACCTTGTAGAACCCAAAACCAGCGCCCCCTCACCTTCGATTTCTTCTTCCCCCACCCCCACCGATTTCTTCTCCCCCCATTTCCCAACCACAACTCACAGACCCATCCCCCCTCCTCCCAGCCCCACCTGCAGAAACCAGAATCCCCTCTTCCCCATGCCTCTGATTTATTTCTCCTCCATTTGAGCTCTTTAAAGAACCAATGAAAAAAAAAAATTAATTCAACAGTGAAGCATATACTTAACATGGTACTTTTTTTTAACAAAGATTTCGATGGAAATTCCCAAAAACTAACAATGGGGGTTAAATTGGCAATATAACTTAGTATGAGGGCTAAATTGACAGGAAAAAAAGTTCAGAGTAGAGATTTCGGCAAGCGTGATAATTTAGGGAGTATTAGGCAGTTTACCCTTATTTTTTTATAGTATAAAGTAGGAACTAATAATTATTCTATGTCAATATCTTCTCCCTTGTGATGGGCTTCTTTAATGTTTCTTTTTCTTTTACATTAGAGGAGTGTATGATGTACATATATGAGAATACTTTACACTCAGAGCTGCCTTACTGTGGACAATTAATGATTTTCCCGCCTATGGAAATTTATCTGGTTGTGTCGTTAAAAAATATAAAGCTTTTCCAATATGTAGTGATGATACACCTAGTCACAGGTTGAAAAATGACCACAAAATCTGTTACATCGGGCATAGAAAATGGTTACCGACATATCAACCATACTGGACGCAGCGTGCAGCTTTTAATAGGAAACCTGTGTAACATCCCACATCGACCAACAGAGATGGGGTGATATGCCTTATATGTACATACCCGCCTCCATTTAGCACGAGGAATTTTGGGTGCTCACTGGCTTCGGAGTCATAGGAACTCCGAAGTTAAGCGAGTTGGAGCTAGAGCAATCCTAGGATGGGTGACCCACTGAGAAGTTGCTCATGAGTTCCCAGAAACAAAATCATGAGGGCAGATAGGGGGGCCAAAGCGGACAATATCATTCTACGGCGGAGCCGATCCCGGGACGTGACAATTTGGTATTAAAGCCATTCTGCTATGTGGTGCGAGTGTGCCGACGAGGACGTCGGGCCCCTAAGAAAGGTGAATTGTAACATTCCACATCGACCAACGGAGAGGGGGTGATGTGCCTTATATGTACATGCCCACCTCCATCTAGCACTAGGCCTTTTGGGAGTTCACTGAATTTGGAGTAATGGGAACTCCATTAAGCGAGTTGGGACTAGAGCAATCCCAGGGCCCCTAAGAAAGGTGAATTGTAACATTCCACATCGACCAACGGAGAGGGGGTGATGTGCCTTATATGTACATGCCCACCTCCATCTAGCACTAGGCCTTTTGGGAGTTCACTGAATTTGGAGTAATGGGAACTCCATTAAGCGAGTTGGGACTAGAGCAATCCCAGGGCCCCTAAGAAAGGTGAATTGTAACATTCCACATCGACCAACGGAGAGGGGGTGATGTGCCTTATATGTACATGCCCACCTCCATCTAGCACTAGGCCTTTTGGGAGTTCACTGAATTTGGAGTAATGGGAACTCCATTAAGCGAGTTGGGACTAGAGCAATCCCAGGATGGGTGACCCACTGGGAAGTTGCTTGTGAGTTCCCAAAAAAAAACCGTGAGGGCAGAGAGACGGGCCCAAAGCGGATAATATCGTGCTACGGCAGAGCCAATCCCGGGATGTGACAACCTGAATATGACATGGCTCCAGAGCCATTAACCGGAGAAGAATTGCTACAAATTAATTATACATGGGGCTTGAAAAAAGGGGGAGGTGGAGGTGAAAATGATAGCGACAAAGTTTGTTGGAAGAAGAAGTTAAAATTCTTTGATCTTGAGTATTGTAAATACCTTCCTGTGAGACATGCCCTTGATGTTATGCACATTGAGAAAAATGTTTGTGATAGTATCATTGGTACGTTGTTGGAGATCCCTGGAAAAAATAAAGTTGGGATTGCTGCTCGTTTAGATTTATTGAACATGGGGGGCAAGACTGATTTGCAACCCGAGTATGGACAAAGACGTACTTGCTTGCCTCTAGGGCCTTGGAATTTGTCAAGAGCAGAGAAGAGAGTGGTTTGCAATTATTTCTAGGGTATGTGAAGGTCCCTAAATGTTATTCTTCAAATATAAAAAATCTTGTATCTTTACAAGATTCAAGACTTCTTGGCCTTAAATCACATGATTGTCATACCTTGATGCAACAATTGCTCCTTGTGGCAATTCGTTCTGTTTTGGAGAAGCTTGGAAGGTATCCAATAACTCGTTTGTGGTTCTTCTTCAATGTTATATGTGCAAAGATAGTAGATGTTTCCAGGCTAGATAAGTTGGAAGAATATGTAGTAGTTACTTTGTGTTTGCTTGAAAAATACTTTCCACCTTCATTCTTCGATGTCATGGTTCATCTAGTAGTACATCTTGTTAGAGAAGTTCATCTTTGTGGGCTAGTTTATTTTAGATGGATGTATCCTTTCGAAAGATATATGAAAGTGCTAAAGGGGTATGTTCAGAACCGTACTCATCCCAATGGTTGCATTGTTGAGCGGTATATAGCTGAAGAAGCTATAGAATTTTGCACCGAGCATTTATATGATGTTAGTACAATTGGAGTGCCATCAAGCCAGAAGATAGGACTTTCAAAGCCATTATTAGGTTGCACAGTGAACTTAGTTGATCGATACCTGTTGAACCAGGCACATCTATATGTCTTGGAGAATATGGAGGAAGTCCTACCTTATATCGAGTAAGAGTTTTATTCTTTAAGTAGTCATTTTAAATTATTCCTTATGTTTATCTTATATGTTTAAGACCGTAACGCATGAATTTTCCATGTCATGTAGGGAACATATGATCCACATCAAGACCACTTATTCAAAATTTAGAAGGAGAACAAAGTGACTGCAAGAGAAGCACAATAGCACTTTCATTCAATGGCTACGCTTTAAGGTATATGTTATTGAATAAATATTGGAATTTTAAATTTCTTCTTTCTATGTTACATTGAATTAATATATGATTAATTTGCAGGTTCAAAGTGAACTTAATAGGGAAGACAATAATGGCGTATCAAAAAAATTTGAGGTGAGGGCTAGCAGCTGGTCCAAGCATGGCAGTGCCATCATATATGAGTTATCTTATTAAAGGTGTTAAATTTAACATCAAGGCACAAGATGATGTGCGGGCAGTTCAAAGTAGTGGAGTTTATTTACTTACACATACTATGCAAGTTGCTAGTGCTAAGGATAAAAACCCAATTGTCTCAAATATGGGTTTTTATGGTGTCATTAAAGATATTTAGGACCTTGACTATCAAAAGTTTACAATTACTGTCTTTAGGTGTGATTGGATAGATAGCACTTCTGGCCTTGTAGTTAACGAACTTGGATTTACCCTTGTAGATCTAAGTAAAATTGGACATAGGAATGACCAATTTGTTATGGCTTCTCAAGTCAAAGAAGTATTTTTTGTTGAAGACCCAATGCATCATGATTGGTCGGTAGTGTTATTAATGCCTAATAGAGAATATAATGATGTTATTGGTGATGATGTTAGTCAAAGAAGTATTTTTTGTTGAAGACCCAATGCATCATGGTTGGTCGGTAGTGTTATCAATGCCTAATAGAGAATATAATGATGTTATTGGTGATGATGTCTTAGGTGATGTAATAATTGAGTGTGAGCCATTTACTAGAGGGATGCTAAATGTTGACACATTTGATGAATTGGCGGGTGAGTTTGGGAATCAAAATATTCGAGATGGGTGTGAAGATATATGGATTGAATGATGCTTGTAATTTATGAAATTACTTATGCCCTAAACGGCCGTGTATGAATTTTAATTTTGTAATAAATTGTAATGTGTTTTTTGCACTTTCATTAAGCAGGTTTTGGGCACAAAACTATTCACTACTACAAAATAACCCTTGCGCGACGAATAATTTTTCGTCGCGCAAAGACACTTTGCGCGACGAAACTCAAAACTTCGTCGCTAAAAACCTTGCGCGACCAACTTTTGCGCGACGACAATACGTCGTCGCTCAAAGTCTTGCGTGACCAAATTTTGCGCGACGAAAAAAAATTCGTCGCTCTAAGTAACTTTGCGCGACGAAAAACAGTTCGTCACACAAAGCTACTTTGCGCGACGAAACAATTAACTTCGTCTCGCAAAGTCCTTATACAAATAAATAAATTATTTTTTAAAATCTTTGTTAGAAAAATATATTATTGTTTTTTGGATTGGGTTTTTATTAGAAAATATATTTTTTAAATTGACGATCGAATTAGTTCATTGTATTCATATAGGGTCAAAGAGTGTAGGTATAAAAAAATCATCAAAATCGGAGTTAAAATAACCGTTAAATCGTGATTTTTCATTTATAACCGTCGAAAAGTTTTGTCCCATTACTTGATCTCTGAATGTTTATTTCTTCCGATTTTTAGCGTATATGATCTCGAAGTATAAACAAACAAGTTTGACGGTTGGATCATTCAAACTCGTTTCATAGAATGCGTATGCCATCAAAATAATATATTCACTAACAATTAAGAGTTTATTTATACTTTTGTTAAATATAACATAAGATTTTGTGGTATCCACTAGTGTAAATATTTTAAATTGAAGATCAAATTCAGTCATTGTATTCATATAGGGTAAAGGAGTGTAGCGGTAAAAAATCATCAAAATCGGAGTTAAAATAACCGTTGAATCAAGATTTTTCATTTATAACCGTCGAAAAGTTTTGTCCCGTTACTTGATCTCTGAATCTTTATTTTTTGCGATTTTTGGCGTATATGATCTCGAAGTATAAACAAATATGTTTGACGGTTGGATTGTTGAAACTTGTTTTTTTGAATGCGTATGCCATCAAAACAATATATTAACTAACAATTAAGAGTTTATTTATACTTTTGTTAAATATAACATAAGATTTTGTGGTATCCACTAGTGTAAATATTTTAAATTGACGATCGAATTAGTTCATTGTATTCATATAGGGTCAAGGAGTGTAGCTGTAAAAAATCATCAAAATCGGAGTTAAAATAACCGTTAAATCGTGATTTTTCATTAAGAACCGTTGAAATTTTTTGTCCCGTTACTAGGTCTCCGAATGTTTGTTTTTTTACAATTTTTGGGGTATACGATCTTGAAGTATATACAAACAAGTCTGATGGTTGGATCGTTGAATGGTGTGTGTATATATATATATATTTACTTATTAAGTAGCTTTAAATTTATTTATTTTGTACGTATAACACTTAAGAAATTGGTATATACATTTATTAAGTAGCTTTAACCTTATTTATATTTTAAATCGTAAAAAAAAATAATTTTATTATTCATAACAATTATTTTTATAAATATCGTGCTACGAACCAATTTTTCGTCTCTCAAAAGTTTGCGCGACCAACAATTCGTCGCGCAAAACTCTAAAAATTTGGGCGGGTACCAAAAATGGGACGCGGGATGAAAAAAAATTTTTTTTTTTAGACTTTGCGCGACCAATATATATTTTCGTCGCGCAAAAATTTGGCGGGTACCAAAAATGGGACGCGGGAATTTTTTTATTTAATTTTTTTAGACTTTGCGCGACCAATATGTATTTTTCGTCGCGCAAAAATTTCAAAATTTGGGCGGGTACCAAAAATGGGACGCGGGATTTTTTCTTTTTTTGACTTTGCGCGACCAATATACTAATATTCGTCGCGCAAAACTTTGCACGACCAATACTCCAATATTTTTCGTCGCGCAAACTCCAATATTTTTCGTTCGTCGCGCAAAGTGATACGGTTTTTAAAATGAAAATAACTCCACCATTTTCTAAATGTCTTTCTCTACTCTTTCCTCTCCTCTCTCTTTCCCTCTCCCCAAATCCCACCATTTCTCTCACTCTCACTCCTCTCACTTAATCTCTCATCATCTCTCTCTTCACTATCTCTTACTCTCACTCACTCTCTCATCTCTCTTTTCACTATCTCTCACTCTCACTCACTCTCTCATCTCTCTATCACTATCTTCTCTAATTCTCTCACACTCATTTCTCTCTCTCATTCTCACTCACTCTCAATCTTGCCAAAAGGTAGATTCTCTCCAAATTTTAATTTTTTTTTCATTAATATGTGTTTTTGGAGTTAGTTTTGAGTTTGTGTGGGGTTTGGGGTTGAGTAAAGGGGAGGGATTGGAGTTTGGGTTGGATTTGTGGTATAACAATTTTAGGGGAGATTATCCCTTTTTTTTTATTGTACTTTGTTAATTTATGTGTACATTTTGAATATTATATATATATTTATTGGATAATTTGATCACTATTTTTCATATGTAATTTTATTTTGAATATGTCAATTTAAATTAAAGTAATTAAATTAAATTTAAAAAGTAAACATTTGAATAAATTAATATAATTAAATTAATATCAATTTAAATTAAAGTAACAAAAAAAATCATACAATTAAATTTAATTTAAAAATTAAAAATTCGAAATAATTAATATAATTAAATTAATATTAAAGAAATAATAAAACAAAAAGTCAAAAATCAAAATATTTCGTCGCGCAAATATTTGCGTGACATTAATATTCGTCGCGCAAAACTCTAAAAATTTGGGCGGGTACCAAAAATGAGACGAGGGAATTTTTTTTAAATAAAATTTTTAAAATTTTTTCGTCGCGCAAAGTCGCTTTGCGGGACAAATATTTTTTCGTCGCGCAAAGTCGCTTTGCGCGACCAATATTTTCGTCGCGCAAAGTTACTTTGCGCGACCAATATGTTTCGTCGCGCAAAGTCACTTTGAGCGACCAATATTTTTTCGTCGCGCAAAGTCTCTTTGCGCGACGAATGAAAAAATTTCGTCGCGCAAAGTCTTTCTCCACGATCTTTGCGCGACGGAATCTGCGCGACGAAGTTTCTGTCGCGCTAAAATTTGTGCGACTATAATGTATTTTGCGCGACGAAATTCTCTTCGTCGCGCAAAGTGAAAAATGTAGTAGTGATTAGTACTAAAAAAATTGGGTTCAAGATTCAAAAAACGACAGTCCTTATAAAAAATGTCAAAAAACATAGTCTAAAATATATCAAATGTCGTTTTTTAACATACGTCGTGTAAACCAAAAACTTTGAATACAAAACACGTATGTTTTAATAAAATTGACATTAAAAAACAACGTTTTGGAAGCATTCAACGACCGCAATGTACTTACCGACGTCTGAAGCATAACTTACAAGACTTTTCATTTAATTCAAAGAAATGTAAAAAAGAAGAACGACGACGGTATTAAGCAATAGTTGTTAATTATATCACGTCGGAGATGCCTAAAGAGCCGACATTTAAAGCCACATAACATGACTCCAATCCCAGAATACCGACATAAAAACTGACTACGACCATCAACATATATTCTACGTCTTCTTTTACAGCCACAAAAGGCTTTTGCGTTTAAATATCTAACACGAAAGTTCTTGTCAATGTCACAAACATTACAACAAACAACGTCTTAGATGACAAACTCGACAGTAGAATAACAAAAAGCATTGTGTTAACATTGTACCACGCCTTTTTTTTATTATCTCATAAACGAAGTGGAAAAGCAACAAATAACGACGGTTGTGGAAACAATACTATCGTAATAGATATTTATAATGTTGTCCTTGGTAAAGTAGTCGACGTGAAAACTTGTTTGAACGTTGTACTTTTAAATGGACGACGTTATATATAGGTCAACTGCATCGTTTCTTTTTAACCAATGTCATTACAACTAGTGTACACAGCGATTGACCGATAAACTCATACGTCTAAGGTTATTGAAACGATGGTCTTTTTGTTCCCAATGACGTATAAATCATAAAACATGGCTGCCTTTTCATTTTCCCGACGTTGTACTGGAATGGCAACGTCGTGTGTAGAAACAAAAGCGTCGCATGAAATGACTATAACCTCATTCTTCACATATTTACTGCCGTTAGTAAGATTTACCATGTCAACGTTTATAGAAACAACGAAGTAGAAAGCGGATTTTAACGACGATTCTATAAATAAGGGTGACATAGTAGAACCTAATAACGTTGTCTTTGGTTTACTTAATGACGTCAGAATTTATATTTCACGTCTCTAATTTGCTCATGTGTCATGGAATATAAATAAAAAACGAAAATCCTGTTTTGTTTTTTTGGGAAATTGACTTACATAATCACTAAAGATAAACCTTAATCAGAAATACTCACTTTACAAAACTTAACCACAAATTTCACTTTCCAACTTGAATATACCAAGTTACCCTCCATACAAATTTCACGTCTCAAAAATTCATTTCTCAAATCTGAACCCAGCTCTCCAGCTCTCTGACTCTCACTCCAACCAGACTGCACCTTCTTCATCGGCGCCCAGCCCCTCCAGCGACGCCGTCCATTTCCCTGATCAAAACCCAGTTCTCCACCCATCTATCCAGTTCTCCTCCAAATTCCTCCTTTTCCCCAATCAAACGACCATAACTGTTTGAAGAAGATAATTTTATTAATTTTGTTGTTGTTAATTTTCTCTGATTTTCTATGTATGTTTGTGAGAAATTTTTGGTCTTGTTTGCACAGGGCTGATTTTGGCATGAATTGGGGCTGTAATTTCACCTTAAGATTGTGGTTTAGGGTTTCTAAGAAATGGATTTAAGCTTGTGGTTGTTGATTCCTTTTTTCAAGAAATTAACAATTCAAGCTTGCTATGGTTGCTGACAGAAACAAATGCTAAGCTTGATAAATTTCATTTTCCTCATAATATCTAGATGGTATTCGTCCGTGCCATTTCATATTATCTTAGTAGTTTAGCTACATTTTCCTAGGGCACCCTGAAATGTGGAAAGCCAGTTGTTGTGAAGACACTTTCTGCTCGGTCGAAGCAGGGAGTCCCTGAATTCTTAAATGAGATTATTGCTATATCAAATGTCAGGCATCCAAACCTTGTTGAGTTGATTGGGTGTTGTGTTCAAGGAGCTAATTCTGGTCTTATATTGTGTATCAGACAGACCATGTAATTATTTAGTCCTCGTTGAATGAAATTGAGCACAATTATTTAGTTCCCCATTGTTGAGGAAAAATTACTATAAAATCTTTATTTTTTGGTGTAGGGGTGTAAGTATGCGATTCCAGAGCGTCTTGTTCGTTTTTAAAGAGATCACGTTATATACATTCTGTATTGCTTGTATTTGCCCTGGTATTGCATGTATATTTCTTCTATATAGCCCACGTATTGCTTGTTTTTAAAGAAATCTGTATTGCTTGTTATATTGTGGTTGTATTGCAGGCTCGACAGCAGTACAATGGCAATTCAACTCCTTATTCCCAACTTCCCAAGACTAATTTTATTTTCAATATAGACTTGAAAAAAAAAGTGTTAGAGAGGAAATACATTGGAAATACATGGGCAATACATGGCAATACATTGGCAATATATATTGGCAATGCATGGGCAATACATTGGCAATACTATTATGAGGGTTATATGAAGGGAATACAAAAACTCCATAATCCCATTAATTTCAATCCAACATAGACTTGAAAACAAAAGTGCTAAGGAGGCAATCATTAGCAATACAGAAGCAATAGGAGGGCTATACAGAGGCAACACAAAAACTCCATAATCCCACTTTTTTGCAGATAGTCCATATAATCCATTTCATTACAGATTTGAAATTGATAAAGTACAATGAAACCAGAGCATGTTTATTAACAAACTACACTGTAAAAAACATCTCCAAAGCAGTCGAATTTGCAGCATCTACTGTTGCAACCATTCCTCCTTTTTCAGAACCATTGCCACTCAAGGAATTCATAGCTTCTTTACGGACTTTCAAAACCAAAGGAAAACCTACAAAATAGAAATGGAAAGTACATAAAGTTCCAAGCGATCAATTACTATCAACTATGATGTGTATATTCTATCAAGGACATAACCCAACCATTTTTTAAGTGATGAAATATAGTAGCATTACTTACAGTAATTTCTTGGTTTTTTATTAGAGAAATGTACTTCATAGAAACATGACAATCAATGCAAACAATTAAATTCTTCATCACCCTTACTATTGCACTCTCAGGAGTGTTCAAAAAGCCAAAAGCAATGAAACCAATACAGAACTGGTGAACCTAAAGTGAGCTATGAAACCTATTTCAAAATTCAAAACAGAATGAACTACTTAAAAAAACTGTCCTTTTACTCTCATATTGCAAATTATTTGCTCGTGAAATTTTTTCCAGAAACTTATTTCCTTTAAACAGGATTAGACGCCAAACCCCTAAAAATCAAAATTGAAGCAAAAACTGACCTAACTAACCTATTTCTATGCTAGAGAATATCAAGATTTGATTTTTATTTTTTGTGTTATTTTGAGCAAAATGATTCCTGTGTATTGAAGAAGGAGAAAAATAGCTTAGAACTCGAAATTACAAAAACAAAGTGACAAAGGATCATAAGAGAGCACCTGGTGGCAACGGGTCTGGCGGGTTGCTGTTGTTGATGTGTCCTTTTCTATTCCTTCTGTTTCTCCTTTGTGTAGGCTTTGGGGGGGTGTGCGTGGTCTCCTCCTAAATTAAGGTGCTGGTCTCAGATGCTCTACGTGCGACAGAGGAGAGAAGAGCTAGAGAGTTGGGTTCAAATCAGAAATGAATTTTTGTGAGTGGATAAAAGGTGAATATTGAAGTATTTATAAGGAGGGTAACATGGTACTTTCAGGTTAGAAAGTGAGTATTTGTGGCTAAGTTTTATAAAGTGATTATTTCTGATTAAGGTTTATTTTTAGTGACTAAGTAAGTCAATTTCCCTATTTTTTTTAACCATATTGTATTAGCTAGCTGTTAGTTGCGGGAAAGAGGAAATATGTTTGTGCATGTGTTTGGGTTTACAGGGTAGTCCGATTGAATGGTTATACACGCCGACACCACCATCAGTTTGCTGACACAAGGTGGGGCTTTTGGCATAGTTACATGGGTTGGATCTTTAATAGCACTCATCGTTTTGGACAAGTAAAAACACACACCTCTCTCTCTCTCTCTCTCTCTTACCTTTTTTTGAACTTTTTTAAACGGAAATTTGCAGTATGGTGGACTCAAGAACGTTGGAAGATTTGAAGAAGCAGCCATTCTGTAAGTTTCTTCATTTTACACACCTGGTACATTCAGTTCTTCTTGGAGGTTTACTACATGTTGTGGGTGGATTTTCCTTCTTGGTTTGGGGACTGGTGAGATCGTTTACTGGTTAATCGCCAATTTAAATTTCCCTAATCATTTTATTAGTTCCTGAACTTAGACCCGATTTGCATTTGAGTACCTCAATTTTCAAAATGGTTCTCGTGATCCTTTAACTTCACTTTCGTTAGGACAAATGGTCATGTCGTTAATTTTGTTAACTTTTCTATTAAATGCAGGGGCAAAATGGTATTTTTGTATAAAAAAATTATTAAAATATGAATTAAAAATTTAAATTAAACTCTCTCTCTCCCCATCTATCCCGATTTCTACTCCCCCCAAACTTAATTTTTCTTTAGGGTTGTTTTTCTAGTTACTCCCCGTCAGTGCAATAAGGCAGCGCATGAGGTTGCGGCCTTTATGTCTAGAGTAGGCGGTAAGCACGTTTGGGACCAAGTGTGGCCTGAGTGGATCTTTGATATTTTAGCTAGTGATGTAAACCTTGCTATTCGTCTTTAATAAAACTCTCTTCTTTTGGGGAAAAAAAAAAAACTTAATTTTTTTTTTGGTTGGTTTTTTATTTGATTTTCTTTTATTGTTATTTTAAAGATATTATTTTTTATTAATTTTTTGGTTTTAATATAAAAATACCATTTTGACCCTACATTTAACAGAAAAAGTTAACAAAATTGACAGTATGATCATTTGTCCTAACGAAAGTGAAGTTAATGGACCACGAGAACCATTTTGAAAATTGAAATATTCAAATACAAATCGGGTCTAAGTTCAGGAATTAATAAAATGATTAACCCTACTTTTAAATGGGCACACCCCATTCTCTATCAAAATCTTATACCAAAAGTAAGTAATGTGAAAACTTTATACAAAGCGGTTGTCGTAAGTGTAAGCCATGTAGATAGGTCATCCATCCAAATACGTATTTATTTATCTACATTTTTAAATGTAATCAATCATAGAAAAACTATCTAAATTAAAAAGTTGAATATTTTGGGCTTGAATCCAGAAGCCCCTTCAAAAGGGGTATTTTCTCCTTTGTCAACCCAATTGAATCATAATAGTATGGGGTCTAGAGTCTTGTGAAAAAGGATATTCACTTGCAGACCAGTGATATCATATTTGAACCTTGATGGCACCTTCATAGTGCGTGCACGTGAAAAACCCCCTTCCCCTTTTGCTTGTATTTTTAATTTTTTAATATTTTTTTAAGTAATGAATTTGTATAGTGCATATACAAATTTCTTTGATCCTTTATAGTTAAACATGCTTTTTCACATAGGATGCTTAGAATATGTAATTATGAAGGGAAGAGGAATCTACATAAGATTAATTAAAATGCATGCTTAATTGATATACATTGAGAAAGCAGTAGATTGATTTCTAGATTGCTACTCCACTGGAATTGTTAGATAATTAATTAGAGTTTATAGAATAATGGTATGGAATCTAAACCTTAGTTTTTCCCTATTTTAGTTTATTTGCATTTTCAATTCTATGCTTTATCTCCTTTTCTTTTTCAACAAACAAATCAACTTTGAATCAACTAGGTTAGCAGTTGAATTAACTTGGGTTGGATTAGTTTTCCATCTTTTTCACGCACTCCATGTGGGTATGACCTCGCACTTACACACGCTTATTCTATAATATCAATTCATGCGCTTGCGAGTTTTATAAATTTAAAACTTGCACCTTCAGGTGGCAAACAAAGATGATGAGGAACTTCAATCTAAGCATGACTTAGAAGAAATCACCACAAATGGCTTCTTATTCAAAACGCTTCCCAGTGGACTTATTCACTAACCCAAAAGAAATAAGTAAAAAGAGAGGAGGGGAGGAAGGGTAATGACACTTCACCTCCCCCTCCTCCCCCCCTTCTATGGAGTTGTTCTTTGAGACTCATCAAAGGAGAGTGGCTAGAGTTTTTTTGTGTCACTCAATACGAGCCCAACTTTTAAGATTAAAATAAGATTTAATTACACATACATCCTTTGATATTATGATTTTGGCATGAGGAGTGGTATTGTACTACTTAGGCCTTGGAGTGGTTTTGTGCCACTTCAACTTTAATTTGATGATTTGGGAATTAAATGAGATTTTTGAATTTGAGCCCCTTAGAGCATCTACAATCATGTTCTCTATTTTTTAGTTAAAATTTAGCTAAAAACACACAGAAAATATTTTAGGAGTTCTCTATAAAATTTGAACTCCAATCATACTCTCTAGTTTGGAGAGTCATAAATAATATAAATTTTTTTTAACTCAATATAATTGGTCCGTCACTCCTTCCTTGTTGAACAGGAGTTTTCGAAACACGAAAGCGGCCAAGTCTTTGTCCAAATAGGATTGAAGCATTCATGCCTTCTTTAAACGATTGCAAGCGGCGTGGAACTTTATCATCTGCCACACACCGAGAGTAGAGAGGAAGAATTCCTCTTGCTTTTGACTCCGTGGTGGGTTCACCACCACATCCTCATCATCCATTCTTTTTTTGTTCTTTCTTCTGCAATTGATTGCAAGATTAATTCCCCTTCAAAGGGGAGGCATTCTTGTTTTGTCGTGAGCCATAGAGGATATGTTTCTTTCTCTTGCACTCATTAAAGCTTCACAATGATCAACTTCATGCTTGTGATAAGTGGCAGCCAAGAAAATTTCAGAAATGGGTGAAATGGGTGAAACCACAATTTTTTGCAGGTGCCGTTTCTAGTCACACCAAGTCAGTCAAAAATGGAAACAATGGCCAGAAACACCACACCAAGTCAGGCAAAAATAGAAAAATAAAATAGCCAGAGACACCGCACCAAAGTCAGGAAAAAATGGGGAAAAAAAAATTAAGGTCTATGTTCAGTTGATATGAACATGGAAAACAAATGGAAATAAAAATAGAAAGGAAGAAGAAGAGGGGTGTGCATTTTCAATGGTTCTTGAGAGGAGAGAGAGCTGAGAAAAAAACATAAGAAAAAAAGCAAGAAAAAGGGATGACATAGATGGGGCCTTGCTCGGTCAATTGGATACCTGCTTGAAGCTATTCTCTCTCTTTACTGCCCTGCCCGGAAGATCCGTGATTATGATGTCTAGAAGAGAAGAAAAATGGGTTTTGTCATCAAAAAGAGGAGAAAAGGGCATGAATGACAAAACTCTTCGTTATTTTATAACTTCTACGCTGAAGACATCTCTTTTTTATGTACATATGATAACAAATCGGGAGTCAGTGTAGGCCATGGCCTATAGTGGGCACAAGGTGAAATTAATTCATCTCTTTTAAAAGCAAAAATCTAAGCCAATCAAAGAGATGAGCGGGGGGTTGCTCTCTCGTCGTACGAGGAGAGCCGTTTTTAGGGTTTTAGGTCTTTCACGGGGTTTCTTCTTCTCAGTACCGGGTATTAGGGGTTGACGGCTGCTTCAAGGCTACAGCGGTGTCTGCGGGCTGGTGTTTACTAGTGCAGTGTTTCTAGGGTTAGGGTTGTGTGGTGTGACTTGGGGAACACGCTCGGCACATTACTGGGGCCGACATGGTTCTGGAGGATTTTGAGAGCTCTTTTGAGCGGCAATTGGATCTGACTGATCGGGAACGAGTTGGAGTGGTGATTGGCAGTGCGGCAGTATCGGACCGCTTTGTTGGTTTTCCATATAGTCTGGTGGCTAAAATTGTATCGCAGCAAGAAGTTCATCGTGATAATTTTATTAAGACTTTTACTAGCCTGTGGAAAGGATCTGACGAGGTTTCGATCAAGGAGATAGCCCACAATCGATTTTGGGTTCGATTTGTTTGTGATCGGGACCGCCAAAGGGTTCTTGACATGGAGCCTTGGACGTTTCGTAGGTCATTGATTTTATTGGCTGCAGTGGCTGAGGAGGACTGTATTCATACGATGGCGCTTACCCATGGCACCTTCTGGCTCCAGATACATGGGGTCCCAGGTTTCTGTATGACGGTGGCTGTTGCCAATGCTATTGGATCGACGGTGGGTGAGGTACTACGGGTGGATAATAGGGATGGGCAAGACTGTATTGGTCATTTTATTCGTGTCCGGGTTCGATTTGATGTTCGTCTGCCTTTGATGAGAAGGACCCCCCGTCACTTTTCCGGAATTGGGGGAGAAGATCATAGAGTTTCGCTATGAGTATCTCCCAGAATATTGTTTTGCTTGTGGTTGCTTGGGGCATCCCACCTAAGACTGCGTGAAGAAACATGAGGCTCTAAGAGGCAAACTCAACCCTAAGGACCTTGCTATTTTCACCTCTGCTTTTGAGGGTCTAGAAGGTGTCATCAATTTGTGGGGGAAACCGATTGGGTCGTCGGCAAGGCGTCTTTCCTCTCAACAGCATGGCTCGTCATATACGGAGAGAAAGAATGGTGGGGAAGTGTCCGGTGGGCACTCTTGGCGTGCGTCTCGTCATGACTCTGAGGAAGCCATCGACACGGCCTCCTCTCCTTTTAAACTACGTCAACGGCGAGAGGCTTTCCCATCCAGCCCGGGGATAGCTCCCACGACTGGAGGTCGTTCAACAGATGATGATGGGATATGGGGTATCTCCCCTTCTGTTGCTGGCGTGATAGATATCGGTTTGGTGCAGAATGTCAACCTGGGTGTCAAGGGTACCCCTTCAGCAGTTGATCAGCGGGGCACAGGTACGGTGGCCCATGTGGCAGGCATACCTTCTGTTTCAATGGATCCCTCTCGGACTGTACAAGCTTCTGCTGCCCCCGTTGGGGGAGACACGAATGCGGTCATTGCACAAACTAGTGACCCTTTTAACTTTATGCCTATAATTGAGAAAACAGCACGTAAGGTTACGGGTCGCGGACGTGGGAGGCCAAGGCGGGTGACAGAGCCCAGCGGGTCTGGTATACAAGGGGTCTCTACGCCTCATCTAAAAAGAAAGCATATGGCAGATCATATGGGGGTGGACGGTAGCGAGCAGGAAGTTAATGGTGCTCTCGGAAAACGACGGCTATGTGATAATATGCCTATTATACAGGCGGAGGAGACCAGCCTTGAGGGGTCTCCCCGGTCTCAATGTTAGTCTTCAGTTGGAACGTTCGGGGGCTTGGCAACCAACGAACGTTCCGTGACCTGAAGAGCTTTCTTCAGGATAAGAGGCCAGATGTGATTTTCTTATCTGAAACACGAATGACTGCAGTACAGATGGGGAAATTACATACTAGGTTAGGGCTTGGTGGGGTGGTTTGTGTTCCCCGTGTTGGTTTTTCAGGAGGTCTATGTCTACTCTGGCGGGTAGGGCTCCAGGTTGATTTACTCTCTTCCTCTCCTGGACATATAGATGTTCGGGTTACTATGAATACTTCTGTGACTTTCCGTGTGACTGGTTTTTATGGTCATCCTGACCAAACCCAGCGCCATCATTCATGGAAGCTACTGCGGCGCTTGGGTAGAGTGGATCTTGGACCCTGGCTATGCTGTGGGGATTTCAATGAAGTAATGGAATGCAATGAAAAGAGTGGGAGCCGTTTGAGACGTGATGCACAGATGGAGGATTTTAAAATGGCCATTACAGATTGTTGTTTGTTTCAGTTTGAGTTTACAGGTTATCCTTATACATGGAGCAATAAACGGAAGGATACAGCTCATGTGGAGGCTTGCTTGGATAGAGGGTTTGGAAATTTGGCACTTCTGCAACATTGGGGCAATTTCACGTCCCATCATTTAGTTGCTTTCTCCTCTGACCACCATCCGATTCTCATTGCATCTGACAGGCCACAAGGTGACAAAGCTAGAGGTCCTAGAGGTCGTCGTCGGTTTCATTTTGAGGAGGTATGGACTACGGAAGTTGACTGTGAAGAGGTTGTTCGTCAATCTTGGCAGAATGCAGTGTCACCCCTTTCTAATATTGCCAACTGCGCCAGCAACTTGTCACGCTGGTGTGCCGAAAAGGGTGGCCAGGTCCCCAAGAAAGTTAAGGAGTTACGGCGTAGGTTGGCAAGTCTTCAATCAGATGAGCCGTCGACGCAGACTTTTCATACTCGTAGTCTCATTGAAACTGAACTTGATAAGTGTCTTGAACAGGAAGAAATTTATTGGCACCAGAGATCGCGGGTCCAGTGGCTTCAGCATGGAGACCGTAACACCTCTTTTTTTCATAAGCAAGCCACAAGTCGCAGGAAGAAAAATGCCCTGGTAGGGATACTAGATGAAAATGATCGTTGGCAGAGTGAATATGATAAAATAGGTGGAGTTTTTGTGGAGTTTTTTACAAATCTTTTTACATCGGATATGGGCGTTGCTGATGTGGAGGTTTTTAGTGCTGTCCAAGCGCGAGTGTCCTCACGTTCTTATCACAATCTGCTCCTCCCGTATTCTAGGGATGAGATCGAAGTAGCTCTTAACTCTATTGGCCCGTCAAAAGCTCCAGGTCCAGATGGTATGCCTGCACTCTTCTATTAGAAATATTGGAGCATTGTGGGTCCGGATGTTAGTGATTTGTGTCTGAGAGTTTTAAATGGTAGTGATGGTGTTAACGATTTCAACCATACGTTGGTGGCTCTGATTCCGAAAGTTAATTCTCCCACCCGTGTTTCGGAATATCGTCCTATCAGTTTATGCAATGTCCTCTACAAGATTATCTCCAAAACTCTTGCCAATAGACTGAAGAAGGTGTTACCTGAGGTTATTTCTGAATTCCAGAGTGCATTTATTCCCAACCGTATGATTTTGGATAATGTCTTAGCAGCTTTTGAAACGGTCCATTGTTTGAAGAGACGGGGAAAAACAGGCAAAAAGAAATTAATTTTGAAGCTTGATATGGCCAAGGCCTACGACAGAGTTGAATGGAAATTTTTGGAGCAGATGTTGCGGACTATGGGTTTCCCAATCCGGTTTATTCAATTAATTATGGGTTGTGTGACTACTGTTTCTTATTCGCTGTTAATTCAGGGGCGGCCATTTGGGCGTATTATCCCTTCTCGAGGCTTACGGCAAGGGGATCCTATATCACCGTATCTTTTCCTTATTGTGGCTGAAGCCTTCTCGGCTCTCCTCCAGCAGGCTGAGAGGGATTCTAGATTACATGGTGTCTCCATTGCCCCTTCTGCTCCTTCTATTAACCATCTCTTTTTTGCTGACGACAGCCTTCTGTTTTGTAATGCTGGGACAACTGAGGCGCTAGAGCTGAAACGTATTTTTGGAGTGTATGAGTCGGCTTCTGGACAAAAGGTCAACCTTGGCAAATCCGCTCTTTGCTTTAGCCCTTCCACCCCAAGGGTGTTGCAGGACGACATTCGTCAGCTGTTGAACGTGACTCTTGTCCCTTGTCATGAGCGGTATTTGGGCCTCCCTACTATCGTCGGTAAGGATAAGAAAAAAATGTTCCGTATGGTGAAGGATCGAGTTTGGAATAAAGTTAATGGTTGGCAAGGCAAGCTTCTGTCTAAGGCCGGGAAAGAAGTGCTCATCAAATCAGTATGTCAGGCAATTCCTTCATATTCTATGAGTGTGTTTCGATTGCCTGTCGGGTTATGTCGCGAGATTGAGAGTATCATTGCCAAATTCTGGTGGGCTAAAAATGATGGTAGAGGTATTCACTGGAAAACATGGAGATTTATGTGCCAACACAAGTCTGATGGGGGGATAGGTTTTAGGGAATTGATAAGTTTTAATCAAGCTCTTCTGTGTAAACAAGGATGGCGGCTGCTGGAATTTCCTCACTCACTGATTGCCCGGATGTTTAAGGCTCGTTACTTTCCACATTCTGATTTTTTGGCAACTTCGAGTGGGTCCCTTCCATCGTTTACTTGGCAGTCGATACTATGGGGGCGGGATCTGCTCCGGCTGGGCCTAAGGTGGCGCATTGGTGATGGCCGGTTGGTTAATATCTATGGCGACCCTTGGGTGCCTTATGATCGTTTTTTCACTATCCAGTCGATCCCTACTCTTCCAGTTACCTCCCGAGTTTGTGATCTTTTTACCGCTAGTGGCGGGTGGGATGTTGGGAAGGTTTTTGCTTCTTTCTCATTTCCAGAAGCTGAAGCTATTTTATCTATTCCCTTAATGGGTGATACTCTGGATCGGAGAATCTGGAACTTTACTAAAAATGGAAGGTACTCGGTTAAGAGTGGGTACTGGGCTGCTCTGGAATATAAGAGGCTGGAGGAGCTGTCCGCAGGGGGCGTCGCTGGCCCTTCCTCTTCTTCCTTGAAGAGTTGGAAGCACTTGTGGAAGCTGAAAGTGCCACAAAAAATCATGCATCTGTTATGGCGTGTGGCTCAAGATATCCTCCCTTCCAAGGAGGTCTTATTCCGGCGCCGGATTACACAAGGGGAGGTCTGTTGTCGCTGTTTTGCTGCGAGAGAAACTACGTTACATGCGTTGGTTGGATGTGATGTTTGTCTGCAGGTGTGGAAGGCTTTAGATTTTCCCAGTGATTTCCTTCTTCCTACTTTAGCTGACGTTGGAACCTGGATGGATGCAGTTTGGTCTATTATTCCCCCTGATAAGCAGTCTCTCTTTGCATTTACTGTGTGGGTGTTGTGGAATGAACGTAATGGGGTGCTGTTTGGCTCTCAACCCACCCCTTCCGGAATTTTGGTACAACGAGCGAAGGACTATGATGCTGAATTTAAACGATATTCTGCTGCCAATCATAGGAGTTTATCCTCGCCGGTTCGTGATATTAAATGGAGGCCTCCTACGGGTAATTGTTTCAAGTTAAATGTGGATGGGGCTACTGACATGGAGACGGGAGCTAGGGGAGCTGGTGCCATCGTCCGTGACTCTCATGGAAAACTGGTTGGGGCTCTAGCCATGCGGGCGCCAAGTCGGATCTCTGTACTAGCAACAGAGCTGTATGCTCTTAAAATTGGAATCTCTTTTGCGTTGGATATGTCCCTAGTGCCTCTGGAGATTGAGTCTGATTCCTTGCAGGCAGTTTCTATGGTCAACAGTGAGGAGGAATGCCTTGCTGCTGAGGGAGGTCTGGTGGATGGAGTGCGACGCCTTCTGGTCAGGTCTGCGTCTACTGCTGTTCGACATATTCCTCGCCAAGCGAACAAGGCTGCCCATCGCATTGCCCGATTCAGTCTACGCGATCAAAGTTTGTCGCTCTGGTTGGATGTGGGTCCTTTGTGGCTTATGGACGCTGTTTATGATGATTGTCACGAGTCTACTGTCGTTTGATTTAATATCTTCATGTGTAATCGGGCATATGTGGCACTCTTTTTCCTCCCCTGAAGTTTTTCCCATCGGGTTTTCTTTAGGGAGGTTTTAATGAGGCCATACTACCCATGCCGACACTCCTTTGTCATGTTGATTAATTGAATGAAGTCTTTCCAAAAAAAAAAAAAAAAAAAAAAAGAGAGCGGGGCATCCGCACACAGTGAGCCTATGCTGGCTCCGTCCTAGGTTTGGACCATATATTAGATATTGGGACCATATATAAAGCACCGGTATATATCAGACTAGAACGTTATCTATATCATGTAAATTCCATCATTTTCCCTGCAGTTATATATCGAGATGACCTGACAGTGAGGTATTAAATTAGGATGCTATATTATACATTATATAAGTATATAATATAATAATAGAAAATATACTATAATAACATATTTATATATACTATAATATATATATTCTAAATGGGGAGGGTTCGGGTTGGGGATTAAAATACCATCTCCGCCCCTCCTCGAACACCATACCTAAAAAATTCATCGTACTCGTCACCATATCCGTTTTTATCCTTCATACCCAACTCATTAGGTCAAATTCCCGTGTAGACTTTTACCCACAGAAAAAATTGCCATCCCTGTGCACTTGTGGTGCACACATTGAGATGACAAGAAGTCCGTAAGTTATTCAGATCAAAAAAGAAAAGTTAAGGTATTAAATTACGAAGCTATATTATGTGAGGGCAGGGCCTATTTTCTTCAAACCTCTATTGAGGTCCAATTATTGACCCCACTCATCATATGCGATTCCACTCTAGTCAATAGCTACCAACACATGTTTTTTAGCGGATGCTTTGTTTTACAAGGAAGCAAGGTACGTAGTATACTATAAATACTCTCCACAATGCCCATCTTCTTTTGCCAAACTCAGATCATCAGAATTATATATCATGTATATTTAAGATGGGGCTTTTGGGCATGTTTTTTATGAAGTCATGTGGAGAGTTTTGGGGAGGACATGGAACATACAAGACGTATTCACATTGGCTGTGATTTTGGCCTTGCATTCTCTTTGTGCATTTGCGCCCTTTCATTTCAATTGGCCTGCATTTTGGGTGGCCGTCACTTTGTACGTTGTGACGGCTTTAGGACTCACACTATGCTACCATAGAAGTCTTACCCATAGAGGTTTGAGGCTTCCAAAATGGCTCGAGTACCTCTTTGCCTATTGTGGTGTTCTGTCACTTCAGGTGTGTGTATATATGTTCGGAAATGCTTATTATGCTTAAAAGTATAGAAAAGTCCCTAAATTTTAGATCTATTTTAAAGGTTCGTACATGAACTATTGTAAATGAATTACTCATAATTTATAAACTTCAATCCTCATCCTCATATATTATAGTAGTTAAAATATCACATTGTCAAAAAACAAAACTTAGGCCAACGCAGTGGTTGTGGCCCTGCCCCTTTCCCCTTGCTTGTCATCTAGGATCGAAATCCTAGGATATTTCTTTCCTCCCAATATTAAAATAAATTAATTTTTTTTTTTTAAAAGAACAGAACTTAGTGACGGGACATGTATAAAAAAAAATATTTATTTCATGTTATGTATTCATAATCTCGGTCATATCTATAACTTCCAGTGTATTATTCTATATGCCTAGTATCCATGATAACGCACTTAATCAACAGATTAAAATGAAAAAAATGTATATACCTTTGTTGGTGTTTTGGACTTTCAGGGTAGCCCGATTGAATGGGTGAGTACCCACCGGTACCATCATCAGTTTACTGACACAAAGAAGGACCCTCACAGCCCTATCCAGAGTTTATGGTTTAGTCACATGGGTTGGATGCTTGATGGCCGTCGTCGTCAGTTTCAAAAGAGGTAAAAAGTACACACAATCCCTCCTCTCTCTCTCTCTCCTCTCTCTCTCTCTCTCTCTCTCTCTCTCTAGTTGAGGGATATTTTTGTAAGACGAATTATGCATTATGTTTCAATGATCTGAACCATCCAATTTTTAGATATTCCCTAAAAATGATTTCTGCAAAAAATACTTGAATCTGAAACTATTTGACCACTCAATTAGATGGTTGTTATTATAGGCTTTTCTTGAAGCATTGTATTCGTCTATTTTATTGATCCCAACTAGATGCCTTTATGATTTTCAATTTGCATGCTTTTTTTTCAAGGATAGTTTATGAATGAAAACTTGAAAAATAGACTATTTGAATAGTTGAAAAAAAAATTAGTAGGGGACCACAATAGGTGTCCCCAATACAAGAGACTATATATATATATATATATATATATACTTATTTTATTTATTTTTTAAATGAGAAATTTACAGCTTGGCGGACTGAAGAATGTTGAAGATTTAAGGAAACAACCCTTCTATAGGTTTCTTCTTCGTACTAACCTTCTACATTCAATTGCTCTTGGAGGTGTACTAATTGTTGTGGGTGGATTTCCCTTCTTGGTTTGGGGAGTGGTGAGATCGCTTACTCGTTAGTTTACCTTACTTATTCTCCCAAATGATCACTCTCTATTAATAACTGCTTGACTTGACCATTTTTATTCGTAGTGTTATATGTTGGATAATATGATTTCCCACATTGGAAATTTGACCAAATAAAACACAATATATAATGATTGATTAAACTACTAAAACTCTACATATGCCGAATATGCATATGGTTAAGTTGGAGACAGTATCAATATTTGTAGTAGTGGGCTGCAGATTCGTCCTTCTAGAATCTTATTATGGTATCAGAGTGGCCGGTTTACTAAGCCCGATTGAACCCAAATCAAACAAAAACCCTGAATTTGACCCTGAAATTGAAACTGGAATTGAAGAAAAAATAGTGACTAGTGTGGCCCACTAAAAAATGGTCCCACGTGAGGAGTAGTGTTGAAAAATATGACATTATTCATGAATTTAAAAATTTCCTTGTTCATCTAAACAAGCCCTAAATCTAAAAATCATGTTTAACTTCTCCATCCAAAACATGTCCTAAATTTAAATTCCTTATAATTTCAGGGGGTGAGGACAACATTTTTACACCACGCCACTTTTCTAGTAAATTCAGTTGGCCACATGTGGGGAAACAAAGCATGGAACTCCGGTGATACGTCGACGAACAATTGGTATATCGCATCTATTCCCCACTTTGCTATATTTCATCATTACTAAATGTAAAATTGGGATACTAACATGTTTTATGTACATGATATATTTTTAATAATTTAGGTGGCTGGCAATTATTGTCTTTGGAGAAGGCTGGCATAATAACCACCATGCTTTTGAATACTCAGCTCGACATGGGCTGGAATGGTGGCAAATTGATTTTACTTGGTACACAATAAGATTTCTTCAAGCTATTGGACTGGCAACAGATGTCAAGGTCCCGACTGAAATTCAAAAGCAATGAAAAGCTACATATGGTAGAATCATGGCTACTCAAAATTAGGCTTTGATTAACATTTATTCTACTATGAATGTCATGGATGACTTGCTTCAAATCCTATATATGTATTTGTCTAGTATTTCTTTGGCTTCTAAAATAATCACTTATTGTCGCACCATAGAATAATCAATTATAAATCATACAATTAGTTCCATTTTCAATAGTACTCATAACTATTGCAAGGCTATCAATTGCTTGCAGACATCCCTGTTTGTGCAAATAATCTCGCGGGAGAATATTCGCTCCTAGATCCTTCAACCTTCGATCTTCCTTCTCTCTCTTCCTCGTTTCATGTAAAAAATATTGGAGTAAATAGACCACACCCGGGGGGTGTTGGCCAAAGGCCCTCCGATGCCTAAGTTAGTTCGATTGTTTGTAGGAAAACAATAGCTAAGCAAAGGGTACGGAGTTTATGTATGGTGTGAACCGGGCGGCCGGAGCCGTGCGTGGTGGCTGGAGCTGTGTGGAGAAAATATGGAGAGTGGAGAGGGAGATAGAGCTTTGGTTATTTTTCTCGTGTTTAGGAGTAGGTTTAGATGTACCTTGAATGATGAATGAGGTCGTCTATTTATAGGAGCCTCAGGGCTAGGGTTTTGTAGAGAATATGCTGAGTTTATTCTCTACCCAAATTCGTAGGGATCGAGTCGGACTTAGATAATATCTGATTTAATGATATTATCTTCTCTTTATTGAAGATAATATCTGAATTAAATGATATTATCTCTTTTTATGAAGATAATATCTGAATTAATGATATTATCTTCTCTTTATTATGATAATATCTAAATTAATGGTATTATCATATTAAATAAAGATAATATCCCATTAATTAAGATATTTATCCCAATTAATTAATTGGCCAGATAAACTGGTTCAATTAATTAATTTAAGAGATAATCTTCTTTTCCACGTGATGTGCCTTGATTGGAGACGAAAATATATGCTCCCACAAATGCCCCCCCAGCTTCTGCATGGCGCTTATGTGGCATGTAGGAGATTAAATTATTTTTTTCGAGCTCTCTAACTATGTTTGGGCTTTCTTCTGTGAGTTGGACTCCTTTTGCAGATCGAATTCCCGATTGGTGTAGGCTCTTGACTGTTATTGGAGTTGGATTTCCAATAGAAATGAGCTTGCGATCCCTCCTCGACCCGAGTTGTCCAACTTGTATAAATACAAGGCTTCTCTTCACTCTTTCTCACATCGCAAACTTAACTTCTCTACTTTCTAGCTTGAGAAAGATCTTGGAGAATTTGTACTGCTTGTTGAAGAGAGGAGTTGTCGTGCATCCCAAGGTAAGTCGAGCACGTATATTTTTTCTTCGCCTTCTCTTTTTTGAGGCGAGGACCAGCTAGGTGGGACCAGGCTGGTTGATGTCGTCACTGGCGGTCAAAGACAATTGGAGCGGTGGTGGCAGCTGGTTGCAGCTGAGTGAGTATCGAGAGGAAGACAATGGTCTGCCCCTGCCGAGGATGTTGAGAAATGAAAGCGGAATGGTCCGGATCCTGATGATCTGCCTACTGGACAGGAGGAGTGTTCTGCTAAACTCCCCTAAAAGAGGAAGGCTGATGTCAAGTGTTCAAGAACCCAAGCCGAATGAGTTTAGAGATCGTGATATGCTTCGTGAAGTAGTCTGTGCGTGGTCTAGCTCACTTGTTTAGAGGCAAAGAGATGTGAATGCTCCTTTCCGAAGTTCGAGTTGTTTGCACCAGTCGAAGAGTGGATGTCGATGTGGGAGGTCTGCTCATCCATCCAACCATAACGATCCATGTATTGAGTCACAAGTAGTCAAGCAGGGGGTTGATTCGTCGCCGCCAATTCCTTTAGAAGTGTGGTTGGCAGAGGCTATGAAGGTTCTTCTGCAACGCCAGCGAGTCATCCAAAAGTGGACAAGTCCAGCCTTGCAAGGGATGCATGCGTGTCTGTTCTACTCACGACGCATTTTCTAACAAGTCCATCTGCTTGTGCTGAGCTGGTTTATCAAATCCGGCAGGCTTGCGATCTTGCTATTTTTTGAAGTCTTTCCTTGGAAAAACAAAAGGAAGCAACATTTCATCTGCTTCAACACCGAATGAGCTGAAGAGCAGGTGGCTGAAGAGGCGGTAGCTGAAGAGGATGCAGCAGAAGAGGATGTCGTCGATAAGGTGGTGGCAGACGTCATAGATCAGGCGTGCGGAGCTACTAAGAGTGTGGCTGATTAGGTGGATGCTGAAGAGGCTGTAGATTAGGGATCTCCTGCTGGCGTTTCGGAGTAGAGGAAGACTCTTTTATTTCTTTTCAGCTTTTGTAGTCTGCTTTTTGTTTAGAATAATTGGTCTTGTTTGACCATCTTCTTTTTGTTTGAACTTGGCCGGTTGGTCACTTTGCTATGAAAATTTCAGTCTATTTCTTCACTTCAACTTGCATATTGATTTGTGAATAGCTTGAGTAACCAGCATGTGTCTTGATTGCACATCTCCCTTTGGAGATTCATGAGTGTCAAGGTCCCCCTTGAAGGACTCCGGGCGTGTTCTGCATATCCCTTAAGATGGCTCCCCTTAGGAAGTTGGCGAGTGCCAGGGCCCCTCTTAAGGGGCTCCGGGCGTGTTCTGCACATCCCTTAGGATGATTTGGTCGTCGCCCTGCGTCTCCCGAATGACGTTGTTTATGAGCAATTGTGTGACTATCCTGCCTCCCTTAGGAAACGGATAGGAACCTAGATACTTCCCACAGAAGGCATGGAGACCTGCTTTTAAGAAATTCCTGGCTCACCCTGCGTCTCCCTTAGGATGCTTTTTACGGGTTGAGTCTCCCGAAGGACGCTTCTGGTCGTCGCCCCGCGTCTCCCTTATGACGCTACTTATGGGCAACTGTATGACTATTTTGCCTCCCTTAAGAAACGGATAGGAACTTGGATACTTCCCGCAGGAGGCATGGAGACCTCATTTTAAGAAACTCCTGGCGCACCCTGTGTCTCCCTTAGGACGCATTTTTAGCGAGCTGGGTCTCCAAACGGACACTTTTAGTCGTCGCCCTGCGTCTCCCATAGGACGCTCCTTATGGGCAACTGTATGACTATCCTCCCCCCTTAGGGAACGGATAGGAACCCGGATACCTCCCTTAGGAAATTCCTAGCGCACCCTGCGTCTCCCAAAGGACGCTTCTGGTCGTCGTCCTGCGTCTCCCTTAGGACGCTCCTTATGGGCGACTGTTTTGCGGTGACCTGCCTGCCAATGAACCGTGAGCCGTTGTTGGTAACCAACAATTATGGTTATCCAAACCAGCAGATGATGTTTCTCCATATGAATCGCTCCATATTGGCTTCTTTAATAGAGGATAAAGCTTCAGCCTCGATCAATTTAGTAAAGTAGTCGGTGGCGACGATCATCATTTCTTTCTTGGCGGGCGCCGGTGGAAAGGGACCCACTAAGTCGATGGCCCATTGCATGAATGGCCATGGACTGTTTTGCGGATGGTAGACTTCGGCAGGCATGTTAGGGATCAGCTTGTATCGCTGGCCACGATCACATTTCTTAACATATTCGGTGGAGTCGTGGCACATGGTAGGCCAAAAGTAGCCTATGTTTAGAGCCTTCTGAGAGAGTGACCTGCCCCCAAAGTTGTTGCCACACTCACCGTCGTGAATTTTGCAGAGAACCTCAAATGTTTGTGGGTATTTTATGCAAGTGAGATGAGGGCCGGAGTATGATCTGCGAACGAGCTTGTTGCCTTGCATGTAATATCACGCGGCTTTCTGTTGGACCTTCCTAGCTTCGGACTTATCCGTTGGTAGATTTCCATTCACTAAGTAGTCGATTATGGGGTCTTGCCAGCTGGGGTCCTCATCAATCTGCATTGAGTCGATTGGCCCTATTTCTTCGATGCTTGGCCGGTCAAGGTGTTCAACTGGGATGCATCATTTGAACTAGGTGTCCAGTGCTGATCCTAGGCTCGCCAACGCATCTGCATGAGTATTCTCTGCCCGCGGAACTTGTTGGATGGTGAAAGTAAGGAATTCTTTCAAAAGTCCTTGGACTTTGTCGAGGTACTTGACCATTCTTGGATGCTTTGCCATGTACTCACTTGAGGCTTGATTCGTGATCAGTTGGGAGTCTGAGTAGATGGTCAATCTCTTGATCGACAGTTCTTTCGCTATGCGCAGTCCTGCAAACAATGCCTCATATTCTGCCTCGTTGTTTGAAGCAGAAAAGCCTAGTGTGATAGCTTGTTCCAACAAAGTTCAGTCTGGGGTGATTATGACGACTCCTGCTCTCGCTCCTTTATGATTTGATGTTCCGTCTACATGCAACTGCCACATGTCGTTAGGTAGGTTCGAATCGGTGGGGGAGGTGTCGTCTGTTTTTTCCTTGCTTTTCGTGACCATCATCTCTTCTTCGGCTGTCGGAGTAAACTTTACAACAAAATCTACTAAAGATTGGGCTTTTATAGTAGTCTTCGGCCGATAAAGGAGGTCGTATTGACTGAGTTCAATAGCCCAATTCATGAGTCGCTGAGAAGCGTCGGGGCTGTGAAGGATCGATCTCAAAGGAAATTCTGTTATGACGATAATTCGGTGTGCCTGATAGTAGGGCCTTAGTTTTCTCGCAGAAACCATAAGCGAAAAAATGAGCTTTTCCATTTTCGAATAGCGAGTCTCTGCATCGAGGAGAGCTTTTGAACTGTAGAATCTCGGATGGTGTACCCCCAGCTCTTCTAGGACGAGAGCTGAGCTGACAGCTGAGTCGGACACCGCCAGGTAGATGTACAAGTCTTCGCCTGGTATCGGTTTTGAGAGTAATGGAGGTGAAGTGAGGTAAGTTTTCAAGTTTTGAAAAGCTACTTCACACTCGTCATCCCACTTGTCTTTGTGTCCCTTCTTCAAGGCTTTGAAAAATGGTATGCACTTGTCGGTAGATCTTGAAAGGAATCGGTTGAGAGCTACCGTCCTACCCGTTAGACTTTGTATCTCTTTTATTGTGGCAGGTGACTTCATGTTGAGTATAGCCTTGATTTAATTTGGATGTGCCTCAATTCCTCTTTGGGTGACTAAGTATTTAAGGAATCGGCCGGACGAGACTCCAAATGTGCATTTGCTTGGGTTCAACTTCATGTGGTCTGCTCGTTCGAGAGCTTTGACTAGCATGTCGTCTACGTAGACCTCCATAGTCTTGCTAATTTGCCCCTTGAAGATTTTGTTCACTAACTTTTGGTAGGTTGCCCCGGTGTTCTTCAGCCCAAAGGGCATGACTTTTGTAGCAGTATGTACCTCTTTCGATGATGAATAAGGTCTTTGCCTTATCGTCTTCATGCATCATGATTTGGTTGCAGCCGAAGTAGGCGTCCATGAAGCTTAGCAGTTGATTGCCGGAAGTTGAATCGACGAGCCGATCAATTCATAGCAGTGGGAAGTTTTCTTTAGGGCATGCCTTGTTGAGGTCGATGTAGTCGACACACACTCTCACAGGCCTTTATCTTTCTTCGCTACTAGAACAACGTTCACCAGCCATTCTGCGTAGGAGACTTCTTCAATAAAACCGGTAGCTAAAAGCTTGTCGACCTCGACTTCAATGATAGTAACTCACTCGGGGGCGAAGTTGAGTCTCTTCTGTGCTACAGGCTTGATAGCTGGGTTGACGTGTAAGCGATGATAGATGATCTGGGGATCGATGCCAGGCATGTCGGATGTTGACCATGCAAATACATCTTTGTTGTTTTGGAGGAAGGCTACAAGCTCTTCCTTTTCCTCTTAGCTTAGGCGCGAGCCGATCCGCTCTGTTCTCTCTGGCTTGTCAGGATCAAGGGGTACTAGCTCAACGTCCTCCTCGGGCTTCCATCCTTCTTCAGGATAAACCTCCGGACGGATTCTCACAACTTGGTCCTGATTCTTTGATTGTTATTAGGGAATAGTTATTCTCTTTCCTTTTTTGTCTGCTCGGCCGTCAGGAACGGGATCTGCTTTCTCTTCTGCTTGTTCCACTCCCTTTAGAACTGTTTGATTCATAGGGAGGAACTGTGTTTGCTTGCCTATCTTCAGCCCTTGAGCCGAGCATTTCCTTGCCATCGCCTGATCGCTGTTGATTTGACCGATACTGCCCCCAGGGATTGGTTAGCGAATCTTTTGATGTGTGGCCGAGGTGACGGCGTTGATCTTGTTGATCCATGGTCTGCCCAGAATGCCATTGTAGGGTGAGACTTCATCAATGACCATGAACGTTTGCGAGTTGATTATTGGTGGGGAATAGACGTCGAGATCTATTGTGCCTATGGTAACCGTTGTTGTGCCATTGAAGCTGGTTAGTGACTTGGCTGATTTATTGATCTTTGCCTCTAAACCTATATGTTGGATGACCTCCAATTGTAGGATGTTGGCTGCACTGCTCTTGTCTGCATGGATTCGATCAACCATGGCCTAAGCAGTTTGAATGCTGATGACAAGGGCGTTGTTATGTGGCACGTCGAGGCCGAGCAGATCTTTCTTTTGGAAGCATATTATAGGATTGTCTTCTGCTAGCAGAAGGTCGGTCGAGACTTAGGAGATCGTAGTGGCCTGTTTGATCTTCCTCTTCTTTTCCTTGCTAGTCAGCCCAGATTCCTCGGAGTCGGCTAGGATTGTGCTAATCCTTATGACCTTTTTGGGCGGCTCCTTGGCGGTGTCACGATCTTTAATCCGCTAGATGGCCTGCTTCGCATTGAATTTTGTGCAGCAACCTTCTTGTGCTTTCCAAGCGAAGCAATTGTTCGTAGTGTGTCCATGCGTCCCATGGAAAGCACAGTATTTGCTAGTATCCTTCTTGTCCGGATCTCTTTTCAAGGGTGGCGGTCTTCATACCCAAGGTTTGTTTTTCACTTGGGCTAGGATTTGATGTATAGGGATGGTAAACTTGGTGTAGTTCTCTCCTGCCTTAGCGTCCCCTTGTGGGTGTGACCTACGCTTGTCCTTATTCTTGTTGCTAAATCCATCGCTTCTTTGGCCTACCCGTTTAGTCGACTGATTTTCCTGCTTTGTAGACTTCTTTGTGGCGATTTGATCGTCATCCCAGAGCGCATAGCATTCCGCGGTCACGTAGACCTCTGCCAGAGTCTGGCAGAGAGTGATAGTCAGCTTGCGGTACAAGTCGTGTTCAGCCGAAAGACCTTTCTTGGAGGCAGATGCCGTGATCCGATCGTCACATCCTACAATGTTGGCCTTTTCTGCTTTGAATCTCTTGATGTAATCTCGAAGGGATTCGTCTGACTTTTTGCGCAGGTTATATAGGTGGTCAGGGTTCTTCTTGATCGTCCGGTAAGACGTGTACTCTTTGGTGAATACGTATGCCAACTCCTTGAAGCTGCTGATCGACCCGGATGGTAGGGTGTGGAACCAGTCTTGAGCTACTCCTCGCAAGGTCATTGAAAACACCTTGCACATCAGTGCATTGTCAGCCTTGTAAAGGATCATGACACTTTTGAAGTGTTTTAGGTGGCTCTCGGGATCGAAATCTCCTTTGAAATGTGTAAACGAAGGCATTGAGAATCGCTTCGGGGAAGCAGCCTGCTCAATTTCAGGGGTGAAAGAAGTAGAGATCGCCTAGTCCATCTCCTTACGTAGTGCATCCTCGAGGTTCTCGCCAGTCTTCAAGTCTCGAAGTCAATCATTCACAAGCTTCTCAACGTCTTTCGCACACATTGCTAGTCGATCACGTTGGCGACCTTAGCGATTTGGGCGACGCTGATTGACCTCCTCATTGGGCTGCGAGGGTCGACCCTCTCGTCTGCGCTGCCTAAGAGGCGTGTTGGTGGTCTGCTCTTGCGAGAGATTTTCTGTAGCTTGGCGACGAGAATTGGTTCTCCGAGAGCGGGCAGTGGAGTGTCTTTCTTCACGGTCCTCATTGTGAAGGTTACCAGGTTGACCTCCCTAGGGGCCTAACCTTTCGTGAATATTTCTCTGCAAGCGGGCAGCGGAGCGCCTCTCTTCACGATCCTCATTGCGGCGATTGTCAATTTGATCTCCCTGGGAGCCTAGCCTTTCAAGAACATTTCCCTGCGGGCCCATGCAAGCACGGACGTCAAGTCGTGGGCCGAGCCTTTCTCGCACGTTGCTTTGTGTGTGGCTTGCGGATGCTTGTGACATGCCGGCAAGCTGATCACGTTGTTGTCCCTCTCCTTGTCTGCCCATTCCTGCTCGACCTGCTTGGTACCCATCGAGCTGCCGATCGGTGCGTTCATCTATCCTTCTTTCTTCGCTCGGTTGTCCAAGGTTTTGAACTAAGTTTATTTGGTGGAGGAGCTGCCTCATCAGATTGGTTTGGTCGTCCATCCTCTGAGCTGGCTAGTCAACTCTCAAATTATGATATGCTTGACTTCGTGCATCGGGAGGAGAAAAGGGTGTGGAGCCTAATTGCACACGGGCTAGGGTTTCATTGGAGGTATATGCAGGAGCGTGCGTCGAGCACGGAGGCAATGGAGGGAATGCTTGAAGTTGCTCCAAGACCGGGCCTAAGTCAGAGGTGGTAATGAGCCCACCTTGATGGGAGGATCCACCATGCTCCGTGGCGGTGCCACGGAGGTTGCTAGATCCGGCCGCGGGTCCAGTAGGTGGTACGGTGGTGAGAGGTGATGGTGCCACCATGTCGATCGCGGGATCGTGGGTGGAGTGGCTTTGGGCCATTGCGGATTTAGCCATCGCGGCGGTTTTTTCTCCTAAGGCGTTTGCTTTCAACCATGGTTGTTTGGAAGGCTTCAGTGGATTGGAAAATAGGAGGAACGGATTCCTTGAGCACGCGTTGAGTATAACTCGAACTCTCAATGAAAGCACCAAATGTTTGTGCAAATAATCTCGCAAGAGAATATTTGCTCCTAGATCCTTCAACCTTCGATCTTCCTTCTCTCTCTTCCTCGTTTCCTGTAAAAAAGACTGGAGTAAATAGACCACACCCGGGGGGTGTTGGCCAAAGGCCCTCCGATGCCTAAGTTAGTTCGAGTGTTTGCAGGAAAACAATAGCTAAGCAAAGGGTACGGAGTTTATGTATGGTGTGAACCGGGCGGCCAGAGCCGTGCGTGGTGGCAGAGCCGTGTAGAGATAATATGGAGAGTGGAGAGGGAGACAGAGCTTCGGGTATTTTTCTCAAGTTTAGGAGTAGGTTTAGATGTACCTTGAATGATCAATGAAGTCGTCTATTTATAGGAGCCTCGGGGCTAGAGTTTGGTAGAGAATATGCTGAGTTTATTCTCTACTCAAATTCGTAGGGATCGAGTCGGACTTAGATAATATCTGATTTAATGATATTATCTTCTCTTTATTGAAGATAATATCTGAATTAAATGATATTATCTCTTTTTATGAAGATAATATCTGAATTAATGATATTATCTTCTCTTTATTAGGATAATATCTAAATTAATGGTATTATCTTATTAAATAAAGATAATATCCAATTAATTAAGATATTTATCCCAATTAATTAATTTAAGAGATAATCTTCTTTTCCACGTGACGTGGCCTGATTGGAGACGAAAATATATGCTCCCACAATCCCCATCCACAATCGAGGCCAACAATGCTCATGGTTTCTCAGGCGTTATCGTTCCAAACTGCTTCTTCCTATAGATTTTGAGTAGCCAGGATTCTACTCTTTGAAGCTTCTCGTTGCTTTTGATTTTGAGTTGGGAACATAAATTAGAACACTACCTATGTTGCCAATCCAATAGCTTGAAGAAATTTTATTATATACCAAGTAAAATCAAATTGCCACCATTCTAGTCCTTGTCTTGATGAGTATTCAAAAGCGTGGTGGTTATTATGCCACCCTTCTCCAAAAGCTAACAGTGCCACCCACCTAAATTATTAATATTAATATCCCAAGTTTACATCTAGCAAGATGAAATATGGCAGAGTGGGGAATAAATACAATATATCAATTGTTCACAGACATATCAACTTTGTTCTGTTGTTTCTTTGCCCACTTGTGGCCAGCTGAATTAATTAGAAAAGTGCTATGGAAAATAAGTACCATCCTCACCCCCTAAAATTACAATTTAGATTTAGGGAATGTTTGGATGGAGAACTTAAACATGGTATCTAGACAAAATTCATGTTTTAAGGAATCGTATATTACGATTTAGATTCAGCATTAAAAAAAAATTTAGAATATGAAAAGGTCGTAAATTTTATTTCTAAATTCACTACAAAACAGAAGCCCTTTTGCGAGGGCATTTTGTTGTTGCAAAAGGCCTTTTGCCGTCGCAAATATCTTTTTTCGACGGCAAAAGTCCGTCGGCAGTCGTCGCTAAAAGCTCGGTTGCAAATACTTCATTTCCGACCATTCCGTCGGAAATAATGTATTTCCGACGCCCATGCTTCGTAGCTATTGCTTAAATTTCTATCGGAAATAGATTTTTAAAACGACCCTACATATTTATTTCTGACCATACATGTGGTCGTAATTACTTTTTTGATTGTCGGAAATAGTTTTTTTATCGTGATTTCTTGTTTTTGTGAATTCATATTTTCAACCAATGAGTGTCGTTAGAAATACGTTTACCGACAATGATGTATTATTTGTGAGGGCTAGATTTCATCGCAATTATCATTACCGACCAAAAGAGTTTGTGGAAAATATATAATAGCTCGTCGGAAAAGAGTATAAAATAATATTTTCGATGGGCAAATTATGTCGGAAATATATATTTCCAACCACATTTATTTGTCGCAAAGTTTGTTGCAAATAGATTAATCCTGTCAAAAAATATTTTCGACGAACAAGTGGTCGGAAATATAATTGTTTCGACCCGATTATGTCGTGGGGAATGTTGTCGGAAATAGACAATTATTGTTGGAAACTATTTCCGATGATAAATTGTTTGTTGGAAATATGCATTACCGAGAGGGAAATGCAGTCGAAAAATGTAATTATTTTTAAAACATTAATAAAAATAAATTTGAATTATAATATTTGCTAGAAATAGTTTTCTAATCATCCGTATTTAATTGGTAATAATAAATAAAAAAATCATACGACACCATACTGTACTAAAATTTTATGCATTCAATTAAAATTATTCTAAATAGTTAAAACATAAACAATCCTCATCATCCTTAAAACATATAAGCAATCCGCAAATATATCAAAACTTTGAAATTCAAAATACATATTGTAGCAAAATACAATTGATGTTGCACTACTCGTCTTCGAGGTGAGCATCTGAACAACTTTCTACATTGTCCTGTCAAATAAAAGATAATAATTAATAAGACATAAATCATTTGAGAATAAAAATAACAAATACAATATTTAATAGTGAGCAAAATATTGAAATGAGAAGAAAAGATTTCACCATTAAAGCAGATTGTCTTGAGCGTGCATAAGTATTTGAGTTGTTTTCCCTCATACTTTGAACTAGATCTTTCAATTCATACAGCACACTTTTCAAGTCCTTCACTTCCTCCTTTAATTTCTCATGCTCTTCTTCACATTCTAAGCATATATGTTTATTACAACCTTGGTCATATTAGGGATACACATCTTTTGTACTATAGCCACCACCTAAGCCAAGAATACGACCGTGACTTGGCCCACCAATAACCTCCTTGTATATATCCCAATCATCTACTTCATTCTCGTCTTCCGTTGCAACAACATTTTTATTCTTCATTTTTTCCTTCAATGAAATAGTAGAAATATAAACATGGATATAAAAAAAATGTCATGTGAATAGAATTTTAAAAAAATGAAAAAGAAAAAGAGAAACAAACTAGGGGCAACATACAAAAAGTTCTTTAGCCTTTTCATTTGGCCAACTTTCTTCTCCTCCATTCTTAGGCTTACTTACATGGAACTTTTTGAAACAATCAATTGGACTCGGTTCAATTCCAGTTCGATCAAGCTATTAAGATTTAAACAATGAAGTTTGTTAGGACCAAATTTGGAAATAACCACAAAAGGAACAGTCAACAAAAAGCAACAACCAAATGGATATTTTTACCTCATCTTTTCTGTACTTTTCCATTGGAACAAAAACTGTGGTATGCACAATTGTGGATTTCACCCTATTAGACTTGTTTCTTTTACTTTTATCCTGCATGGAAAAAGTAAATCATAACCTAAGGCATATAAGGCATCTATAAATAAAACAAAGCATACACTAGCCAGTCATAACAATATTATTTTAAATTGAGTTTTTACCTGCCATGTAGGCTGCAACCAATGATCAACCAGTTTAGACCAAACATCTTGAGATATCCCTAATGGGCAATGAGTGTATCTATCACCAGTAGTCTTGTATTTCTTCAAAAACGCTATTTCTCAATGCGGACATCCAATCGGAATATCGCAATTTAATATGTTGTTCAAATGCCTCCCTCATCTCTTCTTATGAGCACATGTGTGTATATCCTGTTGTGTCAAAGCGATCACACAGTAAATCCATTTGAGTTGATGGAAATGTTTTAAATGTTGGCCATGCTCCATTGATAGCCTGATAAAAAAGCACTCCTATAGTTCGCACAGCTCCAGTGGTTATAATCTTGAAAATTTAAACCAAATTTAAATAAATAAATAAAAATGAATCTACACGAGAAATGGCTAACTTTGTAGGCCTTATACATTACCTTCCTCTACGTATTACAATTGGAGTGCCATTTCCATCTTTACCCTTAGCCTTCCCTCTACCTTTTTTTATTCCAACAGTTGAACCTAATTAAAAAAAAACAAATATTTGAAGTACAAGGTACAAAAAAAACTAGCTATAGGATCATATATAATAAAAAAATTATCATGTGAAGGTTCAGTTTAAACCTCATATATATATATATATATATAAAAATTACCTTCTTCATTTGATGGTTCGGTTTCAAGGGGCATGTCTTCCATTTCATTATCATGTGATGGCTCAATGGGGTCATCGTGTTGGTCTAAGGAAGGTCTAGATGACTGAGGATGTGTAATGTTGGATGCTCTATTCTGATTCTTTCTCTTTCTTGCCCTGGCTACAATTTATAATAGAGCAAAAAAATTGGAAATTAATTGAGAACTAATCATATAATTGAAATATATATATATATATATATACACACACCAATGGAGATGGATGCATTGATAACAATGGAGGGTTTTATTTTTATTTTTTATTGGACAACAATAGAGGTTTGAAGGATGAGCGATGGTAAGGGTTTGAGAAATTAACATATTTAAGTTAAATGAATTAAAATGGTTTAGCAAAAATAATTGAATTAAAATTAATGGTTTCATGTTGTCTATTGCCAGATCAATAAGTTGATGCCACTAGCATTACTGTATATCTATAAGTGGTAGGTTATGAGTTATTTTCTTGGTGCATATACAGTGCTCCATTTTCTTGTCCGTGTGTATAATAGTGAACCAGTGGGCATATTAAATTATTAGAGTTATTTAAAGCCGCAAATATGGGCATGCATGTTTTCAAAACATAAAGTCCATTATTTTCCATGCAGTTATTCATTGACATGACATGACAATAAGGTTTTAAATTAGTATGCTATTGTATAATGATGGGGCCGACATTTCCAAATATAGTGAGGATTTTGCTAAGGACGGTTGCTTATGTGAGAAATCATAACTATCGTTTTCTTGCAATTAAGAGCATATATTGCGATGACAATGCAGTAAGATATACACCACATTATATATATATATATATATATATATATATATAATGGCCAACCTTTTCCAAACTCAGATAGTGCAAACCTTCTAATTATATGGGGCTTTGGAAAAAAAATTATAGAAAATTTGAGATACGGTTCAAAATTTAGAACATAAGTTGGGTTTAATCTTTGCATTTGTTGTCGTTAATATAAGTCCTTTGACTTTTCTGCCAAATAGAATTACATTATTTTTTTTGTATTTTCTAATGTAGATCTATGATTTTTTTTAATTATCTAGTTGTTCCTATTATACCCTTGAAGTATAAATCGTGTAGAAATTAATTTATAGGACCATAATTATGAGATTTTATTATGTTTTAATATAGGGATATACATAAGTTAATAAATCTCATAATTTTAGGACACTTTATTATTTTGGAGATACAACAAAATAACAATTTTTATTTTTGTTCATTCAATGGCAGAGGTATATCGTATACTCTTGTAGATATATTATCTTATGGTGTAGGTATATTGTCCTATTGCCTATTGCACAGGTATATATATATTTTTTCATACTTTCAATAATGTGTAATAGTATTTTATGTACTTTTTTTTAATAGGTAACATACAATTTTGCTTTTCTATTTTTGTATCTAACTTATACATAGTGTTCTAATTTATGTTCCAAACTTCTAGGTAGTCTTCTAATTTATGTTCATAATTTATAGGTCACACGATTTATCACTAAATTTTTGTCGTTGCCAATTTTGAGTAGCTAGGATTCTACTCTTTGAAGCTTTTCGTTGCTTTTGATTTTGAGTTGGGACCTTCACATCTGTTGCCAATCCAATAGCTTGAAGAAATTTTATTATGTACCAAGTAAAATCAAATTGCCACCATTCTAGCCCTTATCGTGCTGAGTATTCAAAAGCGTGGTGGTTATTATATATGCCACCCTTCTCCAATAGCTAACAGTACCATCCTCACCCCCTAAAATTATAATTTAGATTTAGGGCATGTTTGGATGAAGAACTTAAACATGGTATTTAGACAAAATTCATGTTTTAAGGAATAGTATATTTTGATTTCGTTATAAATTGGGTTCATAAACGAGGAAGTTTTAAATTCAGCATGAAAAAAAATTTAGAATATGAAAAGGTAAAATTTAATTTCTAAATTCCACCTAGATTTTGTTTCTTTAAAATCCCAAAACAATGCCATTTTAATATATATAAAAACCACGTATAGCCACAACAAAACCACCATCGGCATCGCCACCTCCTAATTAAGCCACAACTAATTCTAGTGTCGGTCACTTTTGGTGTTACAACCCCAAACCCGCAAACCACCTCCTACCTCAGTCACTTCATGTTAGCGGGCCTCAGTAGTCACTTCTAATCAGTTGTAGGATTGGGGAATCGAAGTAGAAAATAAAGTATATCAAATACATATGATTTAAAATTTACATGCTAGAGTTAAATATTTCGAACTTAATCATGTCTAATTTATTTTAGAGAAGCCACTAAGTTAAATTACAAGTTATCGATTATTAAGTGTATATAATATCAATAATGCTAGGGGCACCAACTTCTTTACCAACTTTTTAATACCAACCAATGTAAACTAAGTGTAAAAAAACCACATATAGCCACAACAAAACCACCATCGGCATCGCCGCCGCCTAATTAAGCCACAACTAATTCTAGGTCGGTCACTTCTGGTGTTACAACCCCAAACCCGCAAACCACCTCCTACCTCAGTCACTTCATGTTAGCGGGCCTCGGTCACTTCTAATCAATTGTAAGATTGGGGAATCGAAGCAAAAAATAAAGTATATCAAATACATATGATTTAAAATTTACATGCTAGAGTTTTTTTTTGAGAAACTACATATTAGAGTTAAATATTTTGAACTTAATCATGTCTACAGAAGCCATTAAGTTAAATTACAAGTTATCGATTATTAAGTGTATATAATATCAATAATGCTAGGGGCACCAACTTATTTACCAACTTTTTAATACCAACCAATGTAAACTAAGTGTAAAAAAAACCACGTATAGCCACAACAAAACCACCATCGGCATCGCTGCCTCCTAATTAAGCCACAACTAATTCTAGTGTCGGTCACTTCTGGTGTTACAACCCCAAACCCACAAACCAGCTCCTACCTCAGTCACTTCATGTTAGCGGGCCTCAGTCACTTCTAATCAGTTGTAAGATTGGGGAATCGAAGCAGAAAATAAAGTATATCAAATACATATGATTTAAAATTTACATGCTAGAGTTAAATATTTCGAACTTAATCATGTCTAATTTATTTTACAGAAGCCATTAAGTTAAATTACAAGTTATCGATTATTAAGTGTATATAATATCAATAATGCTAGGGGCACCAACTTATTTACCAACTTTTTAATACCAACCAATGTAAACTAAGTGTAAAAAAAACCACATATAGCCACAACAAAACCACCATCGGCATCGCCGCCTCCTAATTAAGCCACAACTAATTCTAGTGTCGGTCACTTCTGGTGTTACAACCCCAAACCCGCAAACCACCTCCTACCTCAGTCACTTCATGTTAGCGGGCCTCAGTAGTCACTTCTAATCAGTTGTAAGATTGGGGAATCAAAGCAAAAAATAAAGTATATCAAATACATATGATTTAAAATTTACATGCTAGAGTTAAATATTTCGAACTTAATCATGTCTAATTTATTTTACAGAAGCCATTAAGTTAAATTACAAGTTATCGATTATTAAGTGTATATAATATCAATAATGCTAGGGGCACCAACTTATTTACCAACTTTTTAATACCAACCAATGTAAACTAAGTGTAAAAAAAACCACATATAGCCACAACAAAACCACCATCGGCATCGCCGCCTCCTAATTAAGCCACAACTAATTCTAGTGTCGGTCACTTCTGGTGTTACAACCCCAATCCCGCAAACCACCTCCTACCTCAGTCACTTCATGTTAGCGGGCCTCAGTAGTCACTTCTAATCAGTTGTAAGATTGGGGAATCAAAGCAAAAAATAAAGTATATGAAATACATATGATTTAAAATTTACATGCTAGAGTTAAATATTTCGAACTTAATCATGTCTAATTTATTTTACTGAAGCCATTAAGTTAATTTAGAAGTTATCGATTATTAAGTGTATATAATATCAATAATGCTAGGGGCACCAACTTATTTACCAACTTTTTAATACCAACCAATGTGGCAAATAACATGATAATCCATGTCACATGCCACATCATTCATTTTAATTCTTTCTTTTTTTTGGTTAAACCATTTTAATTTATTTTCCAATTGAAAAAACATTTTTATTTTATTTAACTTTAATATCTATATCTCTTCATTGAAATCGACCGTGGCTCATCCTTGAACCCAATCACCACCGCCAGAGTCCCGAGGCACCCTCCATTGCCGCCCAATATCACATCCCTACCATTCCTCTTGTAGTCATCACCCTTTCATCCTCACAAAATCTGCAAACTTTTTCACTTGGTTGCGAAGTCATGATTAAAACACCATTTTGAGATGAACAAAGTCCATGGCTGATCTCTAATCTCTGTGTGAATCTCCCATCTGCCATGTTCTCCATACCATTTTTCGCAAAATCGATTCTAGGTTGTCAGTGCGTGGGATGGCAAGAAAAGGGATTATCTCTACAGAGACGGATGCAATAACAACAATTGAATCTTTCCCTTGTTAAAATAAAAACAAATTGAAACACAAACCTAAGAATGTGGAGGAGAAAATAATAAAGAAATGTGCGAAATCTTTTTTTTATTTTTTTTATTTTTATAAATTTATTTAAGGTATAGCTCGAATGGTTTATTATATAGGAGATTACCAACTCCAAGCGAACGTTGGGTTTTTGACCAAGCAATTAAACCACATAAAACACTTGCACGTTAAGAACAAAATTTGATCCCAAAGAAGAGATATCAAAAACCGACAAAGCTTGTCCAAATCATTCAAAACCAATATGAAATTAGCTTACAATTTTCATAAAATAGAGTTAAACCAAACATTTAGAATTTCACTGTCAACGTAAATTAGATTAGATTAATTTTTGTATTTTGAAATATTCATAAAAATTCCAACAATGGTAAGGGTTTGAGAAATTAACATATTTAAGTTAAATGAATTAAAATGGTTTAGCAAAAATAATTGAATTCAATGAATGGTTTCATGTTGTTTATTGCCAGATCAATAAGTTGATGCCACTAGCATTACTGTATATCTATAAGTGGTAGGTTATGAGTTATTTTCTTGGCGTACAGTGCTCCATTTTCTTGTCCGTGTGTATAATAGTGAACCAATAAGGCAATGGGCATATTAAATTATTAGAGTTATTTAAAGCCGCAAATATGGGCATGCATGTTTTCCATGCAGTTATACATTGACATGACATGACAATAAGGTCTTAAATTAATATGCTATTGTACAAGGATGGGGTTGACATTTTCCGGATATAGTGAGGATTTTGCTAAGGACGGTTGCTTACGTGAGTAATGATAACTATCGTTTTCTTGCAATTAAGAGCATATATTGCGATTACAATGCAGTAAGATATACACCACATTATATATATAATGGCCAACCTTTTCCAAACTCAGATCGTGCAAACCTTCTAATTGCTTAAAAAAAAAAAAAAAAAAAAAAAAAAAAAAAAAGTATTAGAGAGATTTGGAAGTTCAAAATTTAGAACATAAGTTGGATTTAATCTTCGCATTTGTTGTCGTTGATATAAGTCCTTTGACTTTTCTGCCCCTGAAGTATAAATCATGTAGAAATTAATTTATAGGACCATAATTACAAGATTTTATTATCTTTTTAATATAGGGATATACATAAGTTAATAAATCTCATAATTTTAGGACATCTTATTATTTTGGAGATACAAAAAAATAACAATTTTTATTTTTGTTCATCCTATGATAGAAGTATATCATATACTCTTGTAGATATATTATCTTATGGTGTAGGTATATTGTCCTATTGCCTATTGCATAGTTATATATGTGTTTTTTCATATTTTCAGTAATGTGTAATAGTATTTTATGTACCTTTTTTTTAAAATAGGTAACATACAATTTTACTTGTCTATTTTTGTATCTAACTTATAGGTAGTATTCTAATTTATGTTCTCAACTTCCAAGAAGTCTTCTAATTTATGTTCCTAACTTATAGGTCACACAATTTATCACTAAGTTTTTTTCGTTGCCAATTTTAAGTAGCCAGGATTCTACTCTTTGAAGCTTTTCGTTGCCTTTGATTTTGAGTTGGGACCTTCACATCTGTTGCCAATCCAATAGCTTGAAGAAATTTTATTATGTACCAAGTAAAATCAAATTGCCACCATTCTAGCCCTTGTCGTGCTGAGTATTCAAAAGCGTGGTGGTTATTATGCCACCCTTCTCCAAAAGCTAACAGTGCCACCCACCTAAATTATTAATATTAATATCCCTAGTTTACATCTAGCAAGATGAAATATGGCAGAGTGGGGAATAAATACAATATATCAATTGTTCCGTGGACATATCACCAGTGTTCCGTGGTTTCTTTCCCCACTTGTGGCCAGTTGAATTAATTAGAAAAGTGCTATGGAAAATAAGTACCATCCTCACCCCCTAAAATTATAATTTAGATTTAGGGCATGTTTGGATGAAGAGCTTAAACATGATATTTAGAAAACAAATCATGTTTTAAGGAATCATATATTACTATTTCGTTATAAATTGGGTTGATAAACGAGGAAGTTTTAAATTCAGCATTAAAAAAAAAAAAATTAATATGAAAATGTCGTAAATTTTATTTCTAAATTCCACCTAGATTTTGTTTCTTAAAAATCCCAAAACAATGCGATTTTAATATTAAAAAAAACCACATATAGTCACGACAAAACCACCGTCAGCATCCCCACCCCTTAACTAAGCCACAACTAATTCTAGCGTCGGTCACTTCTGGTGTTACAATCCCAAACCCGCCAACCACCTCCTGCTTCGGTCACTTCTTGTTAGTGGGCCACAGTCACTTCTAATCAGTTGTAAGATTGGGGGAATCAAAATAGAAAATAAAGTATATAAATAAGATCATGGTTATAGGGTTTTGCAAAACAAGAAATGTTACAAATTTGTGGACTTTAAGTCACAAGTTTTTTTAGAATTTTTTATATAGAAAATTTGATATAGATCCAAACTCTCGTTGAGGAGTTGTGCTTAATGCATGGATTTGGAGACTTTTATCCAAGTCTTTTAACTTTTGTGCCATATAGGATTACATTTCTTTTCAAATATTTTCTGGTGTAATCTTTTTATTTTTTTATTTTTAAAATCATTTTTTATTCTAATGTTGCCCCTTATGACTTGAATTAGGTAATAGTCATTTATGTCATATTGCCTATTGCCTATCCATTGGTATATATATTCTTTTTCATAATTTGTCTATTTTTTGTATATGACTTATAGATAGTCTTCTAATTTATGTTCATGACTTGCAGGTAACATGATTTATCACTAAAAAAATTTGGTTGCTAATAATAACACTATTTTCATGTATGTCATGTACATAACTTAATGTGGGTGCTTGTCTGATCGATTGATATAATATATGGGTCTTTACTTTTTATTGATTAAATTATATTTTATCCATATATTAGGAATACTATCAAGGAAAGAATTCAAAATTTAAAGAGTAATGCTACTCTTACCACATTCTCATACCACCTTATGTGGAAGTTGAAGTAGACAGCCACATCAATTAAAAAGTGTCAATAAATCATAAGGTGATATGAAAATGTGGCATACAAATATAGTAAGAGTAGCATTATTCAAATTTAAATTATGGAATTCAATTACAAGGAAATAATACATTAAATTTAGATTTTCAATGTGTTTTCCTTATTTACATCAAAGGGTAAAATCAACACAACAAAAAAACTAATAAATGTCAAATGACCTACATCTAAAACAAAACGTGTTGACTAAACCCAGTAGCAACTAATCATTTTGAACCTAGATCTAAGAAGCCCCCCTTTTTTTTTATTTTTTTTTTTATTTTATAAACTCAATATAATTGTTCTGTCACTCCTTCCTTGTTGAACATGAGTTTTCGAAACACCAAAGCAGCCAAGTCTTTGTCTAAATAGGCATCGGCGGAACTAGCAACAGGTAGCCTTTAAAAAATATTAAAAAATATTATATGTATTTTAATGTGATTTCACTCTATAAAAGATTAGTAGTCCACCAAAATATAGCCTAGTAACCCAGTGTCCACTCAACCTATAGGCTTATAATCATCTTATATTTAATTTGTTTGCTCACTTAAGAGAATTTCCAATGGAGATGTCAAATAATATGTATCAAAATTGAATTTGATGGCTGATAACTTTAGTCAATGAAACTATGATACATTATAAGCACACCAAACAATGGCTAGGACTCATATAAATTTTATTTGAAAAAATCTCATCCAGTCTAGCCCACCAAACAGGGCCTATTAACTTACGACGCCGCATTATATAATGGCCAACTTTCTGCAAACTCATATCATGCAACGAAAGATCAACCTTCTTGTAATTAAATGGGGCTTTTGAGCACGGTTTTCGTTAAGTCCTGTGTAGAGTTCTGGGGGAGGAAATGGAATATACAAGACATATCCATAGTGGTTGTGTTTTTGGCTTTGCATTGCCTTTGTTTATTTGCACCCTTTCATTTCAACTGGGGTGCATTTTGGGTGGCTATGGCTCTCTATCTTCTGACTGGTTTAGGAGTGACTCTCTCTTACCATAGAAATCTTGCCCACAGGAGTTTCACCCTTCCAAAATGGCTCGAGTACTCCTTTGCCTACTGTGGTGTTTTGTCACTTCAGGTATATAATATGTACATACATGAAATTATTCTTATCCATCGATGTGACTGGAAAAGGATTTCATGTGATCAAGAACGTTTCGTATGTTTTTTTTTTTCATTGCATAAACTGACAAATTATGCTTATAATATAGCAATATACAGGCTGGATTGTTGTTCTACCAACCTTGCACCAGAAAAAAAATGCTCAAGAATGCAAATCAATTAGCTAGCTGTTACTTAGTAGAAAGATAAAATATGCCTTTGCGTGTTTGTTTGGGTTTGCAGGGTAGTCCGATTGAATGGGTGAGTACGCACCGGTACCACCATCAGTTTACTGATACAGGGAAAGACCCTCACAGCCCTATCAAGGGTTTTTGGCATAGTCACATGGGTTGGATCTTTGATAGCAGTTATCGGTTCGGACAAGTAGAATACAAATCTCTCTCTCTCTCTCTCTCTCTCTCTCTCTCTCTCTCTCATACATTCTTCGTTCTTTTTATTTAAATGAGAAATTTGCAGTATGGAGGCCTAAAGAATGTTGAAGATTTGAAGAAGCAACTCTTCTATAGGTTTCTTCGTCATACTAACCTTCTACATTCAGTTCTTCTTGGAGGTTTACTATATGCTGCGGGTGGATTTTCCTTCTTGGTTTGGGGAATGGTGAGATTGGTTATTTACTGGTTAATTTCCATTAAATTTAAATGGGAACATATGGTCTTTAAAAATTTATATCCAAAAGAGACAACCTATGCTAATGAGTCAACAAATACATCATGGGATGAGGAAGTATATATCAAAGTTCAACCTGTGGAATTTAAAAACTTGTGACTACATATATGGGTTTAATCAAGTTGACTAAAGTGGATGTGCTCCCCACTCTCCACCAGAGTTCAAATCCCCCTCCCCGTATTGAATTTTAATTTTAGTTTTTGACCTACCTCCTCTACTATATTATATATAATATATAATATTATATAAACTTAATAATTGTAATTTAAGTTAATGGCCTCTCTAAAATAAATTAGACATGATTAAGTTCGAAATATTAAACTATAACATGTAAGTATTGAATCATATATATTTGATATACTTTATTTTCTATTTCGATTCCCCCCAATCTTACAATTCTAGCTCTGCCACTGACTTAAAGTGACTGAGGCAAGAGGTGGTTGGTGGGTTTGGAGTTGTAACACCAAAAGTGACTGACACTAAAATTATTTGTGGCTTAATTGAGGGGTGGGGGTGCCGATGGTGGTTTTGTTTCTGGCTATATGTGGTTGTTTATATATTAAAATGACATTGTTTTGGAATTTTAAAGAAACAAAATCTAGGTAGAATTTACGACCTTTTCATATTCTAAATTTTTTTCACGCTGGATTTAAAACTTCCTCGTTTATCAACCCAATTGATAACGAAATCATAATACACTACTCATTAAAACATGAATTTTGTCTAGTTATATGTTTAACTTCTTCATCCAAACATGGCCTAAATCTAAATTCGTTATAATTTCAGGGGGTGAGGACCGTACTTGGTTTCCACAACACTTTTCTGGTTAATTCAGTTGGCCACATGTGGGGAAAGAAACCATGGAACACCGGTGATATGTCAAGGAATAATTGGTATATTGTATTTATTCCCCACTCTGCCATATTTCATCTTGCTATATGTAAAATTGGGATATTAATATGTTTTATACATCATCTTTAATAATTTAGGTGGGTGGCACTGTTAGTTCTTGGAGAAGGGTGGCATAATAACCACCACGCTTTTGAATACTCAGCTCGACAAGGGCTAGAATGGTGGCAGTTTGATTTTACTTGGTACATAATAAAACTTCTTCAAGCTATTGGATTAGCAACAGATGTGAAGGTCCCAACTGAAATTCAAAAGCAACGAAAAGCTTCAAAGAGTAGAATCCTGGCTACTCAAAATTAGTCTTTGAAGATTCACCCTACTATGGATACGATGGATAATTATAGCTTCAAATCCTATATGCATTTGTAATGGGGTTAATATTCCTGCTTGGTGTGGATTCTGCGATTAGTATCGTATTTCTATGGCTTCTAAAATAATCACTTATAATCATATTGTGGAAAAATCAGCTATGAAAAGTGTGTAATTATGAATAAAATTGACCACATGTTGAAAGTGTGCTTAGTTACTTGTTTGGTAAAAAAAAAATTTACTTTCATTTGCATTCACACTGATTAGTTAAGATTAAAATAAGAGTTAATTACACATACATCTCATGAGATTTCTCTTGTTTTCACATAACCCCCTGAAGTTTTGAAAATTACACGACCACTCCCTTGAGATTTCCAAATCATTACATATGTGACCCCCTTGATAGAATTCGAGAAAGAAAGAAAAAAGTACATGTTTGTGTCTTATCTTCCAATACTCGTTACAAGCAGTTGGGCCAGAAAATCAGCCCACTCATCCTATTCCATGTTTATTTACTTGTGTTTTAGGGAGTATATGCAGGCCCAATTCATGGCCTATACATCTTTCTATGCAGGCCCCCCCGCCCATAGAATACGAGAGTTGGGTGATGGCATAGGAGTGCTTCTATAGTGAGTGGAAAGTTATAAGGGGTTTTTTTGAGGGGTATGTAAGAGCCGTTGGATTTCATCCAACGGTGAGTTTTTAAAAGAGGGTGCATGTAGAACCGGGTTGAAATCTGACCCGTTTGGAAACCCAACTTCAGCTGAAGATTTTTCCCTCTCTGTGAAAAACTCAAGAACACAATCCTCTCTTTTTTAATGTAATGCAAATCCACAATTAGAAAGATCCAAAGCTCCCAAACTCTATAATCGCTCCATTGTCATCAGCTCCTTGGGAGGCCTGCGATCTATGGTATCCTCGGTATGATGATTAATGGCTTTTACCTAGCTATTGCCCTGTTTTGATTCTATGATTGAAGTGAAAACCCCTTCTCTTTTTCGTTCAGCAGAAGAGATTCCAGATGAAAGCAAAGTAGCATATCTCTTTTTCGTGCTGCTGCAGTTGTTCCTGGATTTTGGTAGAGATGGAGTCTCCACTACGAAAGAATCCTCTCTAATGTCCACCACATTCTTTGAAGCTGACTGAGTTCGGAGCTCCCGATTGACTTTGAGAGGTAAGTTCACTCTTGCTGGATTGATTTTGTTGGGTTTGATTTGTTTTTTGTGAGGGTGAGAAATTTGTCATTTGTGGCATCAATAATGCGTCATTTGCTCTGCTATCAATAATGCGTCATTTGACTTTGAGAGGTAAGTTCACTCTTGCTGGATTGATTTTGCTGGGTTTGATTTGTTTTTTGTGAGGGTGAGAAATTTGTCATTTGTGGCATCAATAATGCGTCATTTGCTCTGCTATCAATAATGCGTCATTTCCTTATGAATATTCAATATACTTAGTTGATTATTTTTGTTTGGAGGGGGATTGGAAAATTATGAAATGTAGGTAAAAGATCCTAAACTTAGGCTTAATGGCATTAGAAGTAAGCATTTGGAGAGGATATTGGGTGAAGTTCTGTAATTGCTGGTTTGAATTACATTTGAGTTCTTAGTTGAACATGTTGGTTCTAATGTTATTTTTTCCAGATTATTTCACAAGAGATGACGTAACTAGTATTAATTTTGCTTGTGTTTTGTGTAATCAGAATCCAACAAGCTAGGCTATGCGTGTATTGTGTCAATTTGGGCAATGTTTTGTGTAAGTGGAATGCATTGCTAAGTTGTGATGCAGTAATGATTGATTAATGAATTAACATTTGCTATGCAGTAATATAGAAGTAGATCAATAATATACGTGGATAAAATGTCTGGGGGCTCAGAGAGTGACGACTCTGTAACAGCTAATGGGAGGGTTTACATTCCTGAAGTAAGAAATGAGGAAACACCAGCAGTTGGGATGAAGTTCGACTCGCTTGACCTCGTTTATAATTTCTATAATAGATATGCATTCTTGGCTGGCTTTGGTATTCGACTTCATTCCAGCTTTTGGGGGGAAAAATAAGAAAGAGATTCTGAGAAAAGAATTTGTATGTTGCAAACAAGGTGCATACCGGAATGATGAAACTCGGGAGAGAAAAAGACAACGGGGAATAAGTAGATGCAATTGCAAAGCTAAGATTGTGGTTGTGAAGACACATGGGAGCAAGAAGTATACCATCTCTCTTTTTGCAGAGGGACACAATCATAAGATGACACCCTCAGGAAGAATGCATTTACTGAGATCACACCGTCGTATTTCAGATTCTACAAAAGTACTTACAAAACAGTTGGGTTCGGTTAATATTCCCATTAATCAGAAGGTAAGTATTTTCGAGGTGCAATCCGGAGGAATGGATAAAATCGGTTTTATGAAAAAGGATATGTACAATCTTGAATGTAGTGTGAATGAGAAGCTGAGGAACCACGATGTTGAACTAGTGACCGAGTATTTTATGGGTGAACAGAAAAAAAATGAGGCTTTTTATTTCAAGATTGAGGGAGATGGCGATAACAGGTTTAGTCGATGTTTTTGGGCAGATGCAACTTCTAGACGGGCGTACGGGTTTTATGGAGATGTTGTTGTATTCGATACCACATTCAACACGAATAGATACGACTTGACATTTGCACCAATGTTGGGAGTTAATAACCATGGTCAAACAATTGTCCTAGCATGCGCATTTTTGAGCAAGGAAACGACTGAGTCGTTTATTTGGATGTTTGAGGAGTTTAAGAAAGCCATGCCAGGTGGCGAACCTAAAACGATCATCACAGATCAAGATGCGGCAATGAGCAGAGCGATTTCAATAGCCTTCCCGACTACATTTCATCGACTTTGCATATGGCACATCACATCAAAGTTCTCTGTTAAGTTACCACATTCTGCTTATAAGGAGTATTGGGGTGAATTCCAGAAAGCCATATGGGATACTGACAATAAGGATGAGTTTGATGCAAAATGGAATATTGTGGTTACAAAGGCTGGTTTGACTGACCATCCATGGCTAAGTTCAATGTTTGATTTAAGGGAATCTTGGGTTCCAGCCTACGCACGACACTTTTTTGCCGCTGGAATGTCAAGCAGCCAAAGAGCTGAATGTTCTCATGGTTTCTTCAAGCAATACATATCAAGGAAAAATTCGTTGATGGATTTCATAATAAGATTTGAGAGGGCACTTTCTCATCAACGTCAAAAAGAGTTAGTTGCTGATCACGTAGATGCATTTGAAGTGGGTCAATGTATTCTACCGATGCCAATGAACAAACAAATGGCTACCTTGTACACAAGGACAATGTTTCAAAAGTTTGAGCAAGAACTAATACAAAGTACAGCATGTTTCCTAGAGCTGAAAACAGAGGATGCTTCTAAAGTTGTCTTTAATGTGAGCGAAAGGAAAAATTGGGAAACAAGAGTGGCAGAAGTCGTATATGTCAAAGATTCTAACCACGCATCGTGTAGCTGCAAAAGATTTGAATTTGTTGGAATTATTTGCAAGCACATCCTAGCATTGTTCAGAAGGGACCAGATTGAATATATGCCCGATAAATACATTTTGAAGAGGTGGAAGAAAACTGCGAAATTTGGATTGGTGTCAGATGCAAATGGCAACGAAATTAAAGACTCTGCAGATCCTGGTCTTTTAATAAAGCGGAGTACAATGTCCCGACTTGCTTCAGATGTGGTTGAGGATGCATTAATGTGTGAAGAAGGATGTGAGCTACTGTCAGAGACTCTAAAAAGTTTGCAGGTGAAGTTGAAGTTGTTGAAGGATGGACCAAGTAATAACGAAGTTGGAGGGTCCAGCTCTCAAACACAATATATGAAAGACCCTAAGAGAGTAAGGTGCAATGGAGGGTCGAAACGAGTAACGGGAGCAAAGGAAAAGGCAATGAAGCGAGGGATTAGACACTGTCGGGAGTGTGGACACATTGGTCATGATAGAAGACAATGCCCAAGAAATTTGAACACACCGTAAGATGTTAACACTATTTATAATAAGACCTAAAATTTGAATAGGTAAAGTTCTTATGTGCTTCTGTTTGATGTTTATGCAGGACATCACCGTCGAACAATGACGAATCAACTCCAATAGATCTTAGTGACCCATTATTTGACGAATTTTACAGGATGCACGGACCAACTCAATGATTTAGGTTTCTATTATACGAAGCCCGGTTATTATGAAGACTAATGATCAGGTGAAGTTTTGTAGATGCAGTTTTATTATTATTAATTTTTTGTTCATGTCCACCGATGAGCTCTGACTATGTCCATTGATAATTGAAATGAAAATTTGCTTGGTTTCATTCTTGCATGAAATTTGGACACATGTTAATTTTACGTCTTCTCCCTATTTAGAAATTTTCATGGACATTAGATAAAGCATCAAATTTTGATTTATGTGAACAAGCAATGACTTTTACCTTGTAAAATGGGTAGTTTATGGTGAATTATGTTTGAATAGAGATTTATTGATTATATGACAGGCTAATGCAGCATTTCCAGCAGCCAGCTATTGTTTCCATTACCAGTAATGATTTCCAGCAGCACGCATCATTTGTAGCAGCACCCACTTTTTGCGAATGTTATGTTCTAGTGTTTTACTGGTGATTAAGATCTGAGCTGGACTGGTTATTAGGTGCACGATTTTGCAAACATTCGTAGCTGAAGGATACTTGAAGCACTTTGTTGGAACAGAAAGATTAGAAAGCAACGTGTAAAAAAGTACATTGCAGCTAATCACATTTCGAATGGTTGGGTAATATTAAAGGGTACACTAACATTTGAACTACTCATAATTCCACACACAAAAGAAAATTTGATTGCAAAGCATTTTATGTGCTCCCTCTTAGCAATAGCACGATCTCCCCAATAAACTGAACAACGGTAGCCACAATCACTAGGTCGTATTGGTCAGCTTCTTCTTAGCAGGTCTCGCGTGCTTATGGTCACTCATGTCCCCAGTGATTTAGACAAAATAAATATTCAGCAATATTTGGAATTTTATTATATATACATAAACCATAAACCATTCACTACACAATGTATAGCACATGGCATTTTACTTATGACTCACGTGTCATGATAATGGGGCTTTACTGATTACCAGGGTGCTGTGATATTGACTGCTTATTGAATAATATTTCCATAGTTGCAAAATATAATGTTAGACAGAAGGAACACATGATGACTTGCAAGACATAGTCCCAATAATTATATATGAAGCAAATGAAACTGATATTTGTATTATTTTATATTAGATAATGACATTAAGGGAACATAGTTCTAATTTGTGCAATACCACGATCACCCCCAACCAACAGAACAGCTGTAGCCGCAATCACTTAGCCGTATCGGTCGGCTTCTTCCGAGCAGCTTTGACGTGCTTATGCTCATTCATGTCACCACCATCGTCTAGTATCTCTCTCACAGCATCAGGGGACACATAGTCCCAATTATAACTTGTATGAGTTGTTGCCGCGAATGCTCGGAATTTTTCGAATCCTTCGTTGAATGCCAACTCCAGTTCACTGTGGTGCTCTTCGCATCGCATATGGTTCATCAAACAACCTTTAATTTCATCATTCATTACTGCA